CATCATTCAGTGTTGCTTCCTATCCTAATACTTTGTCCAACTCCACTCGTCCAGTTCCTTCGTATCATAGACATTTGAATGAGGTTGATACCATCTCAAGGCCCACAATGGAAACACAACAAAATACTATGGAACAGAATATTTATTCAACACCACAAGAAAGAAATCCCATGAAGAACCATATGGCAAAAACTCAAGCCAAGCAGGTAGAACACAAGTCATGCATCATTTGTGGTAAAGCTGACACGGGTAAGTTTTTACAGCGCTTAATTTTCTGACAGGATCACCTCTTTTAATACTTTGACATGTGTCACTGATCTAATGAACATTGTGAACAGGAAATAAGTACATCAGCTATACAATCAACGAATCAAATATTGAACAGTATAAGGGATGCTTTAGACATGTACCAGAAATTAGAATTGGAGATGGTGTTTGTAAGAATTGTTATGCAAAGGTAAGTTTTTAATTTTAATATCAAAAACTAATCATGATTTTAAATAGAAATACAAATATGTAAGTTTTAATTGCTAAAAAAGTATTCCAACAATGCACATCAAATTAATTGCATGTCAACTTGCTATCTCTCATTATTTTCATTTTCATTACATGTGAACATGTTCAGGTCACTGGTTTATCTATCAACAAGGTTAAAAGGAAGAATAATGTAACAACAACTAAGGGAGCAACAACAACAACACAAGAGAATAGTCCACTTTCTCAACCTCTTCCACCTTCACCTCATGGACATCTAGGTAGTGTTGGTGATACACATGTGTCGCATGCATCTCGGGTGTTGCCATCACTCAATACTAATCCTACTAGTAATACTAATACTATCAGCACCATGCATCATGCACAATATGCATCTCATCATCATGGTTATCCTTCATCATCTGCAGGAAACATCCATCACCATGATGGATCTAGAATGCATGTTCATTCACATCATCATCATGTCGACATGCATCATGCTAAACAGTATGAAGCAGAATACAGTAATGGTAGTAGTGGCAGAGTAAAGTACTATCATAACGACATGCAAAGTCAACCTCCTCCTCCACCATCACCACATTATACATATGTTGTACATGATGGATCATCAATGCATGCACATTATTCATCATCTTATTCTCCACATCATAATGCACCTCCACCACCTCCTCATTATCAAAGTCATTCTCGTTCACCTCCTGTATCACCAACACATGTAAATTCTTCATCATCTTCATATAGAAAATCTCATCACTACCATCCATATGCATCCAATGAAAATTCTCAATATTTAAATGGACCGAATAGTACAAGTAGTGGAGGGAGTAATAATGTAGGAGCTGCTAGCAGGGGAGGTATGGTGCAACCATCTTTGCATGACCCATTTGTGAGATCTTCACCAATGCAACATCCCCATGCAACCACTTCTCCAAAATCTCCTAGAAATGGCACTGGTACTAATACATCTGTTCCATCCATTATGGAAATGATGGGAACTGCACCTCCATCCTATGCGATTGGATCAAATCCTTCCAATAATGCAATGCAGACTGTAAATAATACTTCAAATAATGTTAATAGAAATTATTCTAATAGTCCATTGCATGCATTCAACAATGGTCAAAATAAGCATGAAAACGCAGCAAGAGTTGAAAATGGTGCACCTCCACTTTCTTCACACAGATATCATCCATACAGCAACAGCAGTAATGGTAGTAATGTACATAGAACTAGTTCATCAGGCAGAGAAGATGTGATACATTCACCTAGGATTTACACTCAAGAACATTTGCAAAACTCTCCAAATCCTTCCCCAATTCGTGTGGCATCCATTGTGGCAACAGGTCCAGCATTGCCTGGAAATGTACATGTAGCATCTGGTATTCCTCAAGCATATTCACCACCAATGGTAACCAGTACTAGTAGAGAGGATGCAAAAACGTCTCTTCCTAACATGAATGTTCCACCTCCTATTGTGAAAAAAGAGGAAAATGAAATTATTCCAAAATTTGAAGTTAAAATGGAAACAGAAACTTTGGAAAAATCAGATTACGAGAATAATACAGCGCTTGTTGCTACATTTGAACAAGTTAAGGAAGAGGATAAAAACATTTTGAAGGAATTATTCATAGAGCCAACCGTGAATGTATTCTTGACATTTGTAACAACAACTGGCACGCAATCACCAACTACTAGACTTTCCATTCCAAAAAGTATTGGATTGAATCAATTGAAAGATGTCATTCAAAAAAGATTGCAAAAGAATAGAGAAGAGGAAAGTAATGTGCTCCAACTTGGAGATGAAATGTCGATTGGAAATATCATGCTAAAAAAGGATGAAAATAATTTTGTTGAAATTGATGACCAATTCTGTTCAATTTATAGATTTGAGCATCATGACTCATTGAAAGTATCTCTAATAAATGATTCCGTCTTGTAAATATTAGAATATTTGCAACGTGTTGTTTATTGCAATATTTCCATATAAATATTCTGTAGAGATATGTCAGATTTTCGGATTTCCAATCAAATCAAATTACAAATATGGTCTGGTCTCTCTTATACCAAATCCTAATTAAATTAAATACAAGGTTATCATCCTTTGGAGAATTTAATTTTTTGCCTTCTTATTTTGTGGAGGATCAACAATTTTACTTGATGTACTATTTCCATCACTAATTTTCTTCAATGTAGCAATATCGCTCATAAATCCTTTACATATTTCCTGCAACTCTTCCTGCCGAAAGGGATTAATAAATGTATTGATGATTGTCTTTTTTCCATGCGTATCGGAATCTTTGTATTGATGATGAATATCCATAAGTAATTCTGTAATATAACCTATCCGATATTGATTTAATTGTGATGATGAAGCTTGCTCCGAAGAAGAACTTGCTCTTTTCATTTTTTTTTAAAATAAATATTATAAAAATTGGTTTACCGATTCTAGTAGGTATTGGGAATTTGTAAAGATAACTAAAATTTGCATCTGATTATTGCTAACAATGTTAATTTTTATGAATTTCTTGCTAATTTTGATTTAGGTCTAAAGGTTAATGATGCAACCATTCCTGATAATCTTTAAGATCATAATATTTTATCAATCTGATCTTAATAAAATCTATTAAACTCTCCACAATATTGATTTGGGTACTCAAGGAATTTCAATCATTAAGAATTGTACAGTCAACTTTTGGGTTAAGCAGGTCAAGAATCATTCTAAATGTAAGGGCACCTATCTCTCCATTAGATACTATTATTATTTTCCGAATTGTTTATGATTTGTTGAGTAAGGCAACGCTATTGACAAAAGAGACTCGTTTAGACAACATTTTGGCTCTTCTTTCCCATTGGTGTCAAAAGAAGAGAGTTACTATTCTTGATATAAAAGGAATGAATGATTAAATTTAGAGCATTCCACGTTGGAGCAGGAGAAACTGGAGGTGTTGATATTACTCGAATTTACAGGTTACAAAAAATTCAAGCTTCTAATACACACAGTCCAAATGATACAACTAGAGCTTGCTTTGGAAAAACATTGATTATATTGTCAGTAGAAACCACAAGTTAGATATAAGCAGAGCCAAAAATGATTTAGAGTTTGATCTAGGGTAGAATTGTTGAAATATCAAACATTCTTTCCAAGAAATAGAATTGATAGGGAACTACAACAATATCAGAAGAAAAAGAGTTCAAATGCATTAACTCGTTTTCTATTGCGTCGAAATGATCGAACAATTCTGAAGAATCACTTCCCATTACCCACGTGAAAGAGTCTATTGTTGTTGTATCTAATTTGGGTTCTTTACTGGGTTGTTCTTGTTCTACATGTGTTGTTTTTCCAAGGGGTCTACCGAGTTTGCTGACATTTTGTGTTGGGAAAGAAGCTAGTAATATTGCTTAGTGTTAATGATAGTTAGTTAAAAACCTTAAATCTAATTATACTTAATCTATGTATTTATCATTTTTCATGAATGTGCTCGTCTCGTGGTGTAATGGTAGCATAGTGGACTTTGAATCCATTGACGGAGGTTCGATTCCTCCCGAGACGGTAACGTGGCGAGCCATGAAATTTTGATAAAATGGGGTTTGGCAATTTTAATTAAAAGCAACGTTCCATTTGTTATTTCCAATTATAATATTTATTTTGGTTTAATCATAGGTTGCCTTATTCAAATATCCTTCTTCTCCAATATCTAAAGGAGTTGGATTAGTGCTCAAGAAGAACATTACTCGGTCATAATTTTCGCCATTAGCTATTCCTCTATGGCATACACCTGGGTGCAATTTCAATAAATTAAATGCCTTACAAACCACTTGACAAACTTGTAGACATTCTGACTTTTCTTCAGTCATAATTTCAAATGGTCTAGGGAAATATTCACCTGGTGGCATATCTTGTCTGAGAGGTCCACGAATAAATTGAGTTCCATTCTTTTCTGTCACATCACAGAGAGGAATGAATAAATTGCTGACATTTTCACCATAATCAAAGTGCCAATCTTGAGTGACATTTCCATTCTTTGGTGCAGTGATGAAGCCATATGAGAGAATAATACGATCCTGTTCGTCTAACCAATTTGATTTAACCAAACTCTTAACCCAATCGTGGAATTCCTTTTGCAGTGGATGATTTTCGAATACTGGTGAAATTTTCCCATTATTGTACAAGTTCACCCATGTGATTTCATTAATTTTTGTAGCTTCGTCATCAAGTTCCACTGGAGTATTAAGGGTTGCTTCGTGAGCTGTTTTCAGCATTTCAATTTCAGTATCATTACACTTTCTAACATGTTCGATTCCTTCTTGATGAAGTGTTACTGCAGTTTCCTTCCAATTAACCACAATAAAAACACATTGTGTACATTCATGCCAAGCATAGAGAATTGCAAAAGGAATTAGGGAATTAGAAACAATGGAAGGAAGTTGCAAAAATACAGTAATTGGATACAAGGTATTCACCAACCAACAAATAATTCCCAAATTGTTATAGCTATGATTAGGAGTAAGCCAATGCTCAACAATAGCATACCAAGGTAGGTTCTCAGTATTGTGCATTGATGGATAAACTCCTTGTGCACTCACAGCAAAATCGAAAATTCCTGTACTAATCTCAACAGCTGTCAATAAGACGGTAAACAACTTGAAAATCTTGTAATCACTACTTAATGACATACACCAAATAGCCAAACACAATTGAGTAAGAATATCAGCCAACCAATCCCATCCACATCCCATCACTGAAGATTGACCAAAATTTCTTGCCAATGGACCATCCACCCAATCCAATAAAACACTTCCAAATACCAAAACAGAAATACTAATCGAAGACCAATTACATCCCAAATTCATCTCATCATTCACAATGAGTGCTATCAATGCCACCACAACCATCACAATTCGCAAATAATCAACAATATTTGCATAGTACAAGCAGAGATCGAAAAACGAAAGTCTAACTCTGTGAGTGATGTAATCTCCAACCTTGGGAGCTGTTCTCTTTGGATGATTATTATCTACCCAATTCCCTTCGGAATCAATGTAGAGACATGAAGTGGTAGTAAGGGTCATTGTTTTAGCCTTGTTTTTTTTTGTTGATGAACCTGATGAATGGTGTTAGTGAACAGTGTTGTATTCCAGAGTGCACTTGTAAAGTGTTGTGAGAAGTGATTTATTGGTTTGGAGCTAAAAAGTTGCTAAATTTGTGCTCCAGTTTTAAATATGGAGATTAATCAAATTTCAGATCTGAAACGGAATCATTGGTTATAATTAACAATGCATTCATAAGATTGTTCCCTTAGCATTCTTCTTAAATGATATCGAAGAGATTCCTCCTCAGAGGACTGTTCCAAAGTTTCTTCTGAATCATCTTGGTCACTGAATATTGGAAATTCATCGAAATCATCTTCATAGAGAGCATAGCCAAAATATTCCAAATCTTCCTCATTAACTCTTTCAATAGTATCTTGTTCTTTAACATCAAACTCTCCATCAATAGAAACTTCAGATTCCTCTTCAAAATCCAATGAAGAAAATTTAGTTTGTATTCCTCGTGTTCGTTTCTCTTCCTCTTCCTCTTCATCAATACCATCTTCATTTGATTCAGAAATTGCATCTTCTTCAATTGGGGTGAATTGCATGGAAGGTGGATTATCCAATTCCTTGGAACAATTCTCGTAAAACAATTCACTACAGCCGTACCAATTTTTGAGATAGAGCTTTTCTTTGTGAGCTCTTTCCTTTCCGTAGACTTCTTCATGGACACGAATTGACACTTTCAGTAATTGATCTTGAAGGGAATCTCCTAAATTATCCAAATCGACATGGTATAGTTCGCTGTCATCTATAAAGTTGTCATTTGCAATTGTTTGTAAAGTTGAATCATCTTCACTCTCCTCTGAAGTGAGATCTTCATCTATTTGAGATTCATTCAGAATATCGGGGATAGATTCATTGCTGAAAATGGTTGGCTCTTTAAATTTAAACTCTTCTTTTGGTTGCAATTCAGAAACTGTTTCAGTACCATTCTCTAATGCAAAGTATTGCTTGAGATCTGTATCGTTCAAGTTATAAGGATCTTTGATTGGTTGATAAAACATTTTCATTCCAGTAATTCTCTCAAATGATTCCAATATTTCCGTATGATCCAATTTTAGATCTGTATCAAGATTGTCATCACATGTTGGCAGATAGGCATCACATGGATCGATATAACACTGTTCATATTGTTCAGATGACTCCTCAAATACCAAATTCGCAGTCTTTCTTGAAAACTTTCTCTCGTATGCATTCTCAAGCACCAAATGAATTACCCTCTTCAATTCATAAAGATAATCCTCAATCACAGCAGGTTCAAAGTATTTGACACCTGCTTTTCTGGCCAATCTTTGAATTCCAGATCGAAGTGCGTAAAATATAAACTCTGGATCATTCTGTGAAGAATCATAAAAATCATCATCATTATACATCACCTTACCTTCTGCATAAATTGCATTGCCAGCATCAAAATCTAGGGATTTTTGAATTTCATGAATGTATGAGTAAACCATTTGTTTTTCATGTTCAATTTGTTCGTACAATTCGAAAGGTTTTAGAGATAATGCTCCCTGTTCAGATTTTGGAATTCCCATAAATTTTTCTACCATATTCCTATAAGTACTTGAATCAATTTCACTAGAAACCAATTCATATTGATCTGATATTGTTTCCTTACATAGAGGAACCCCAAATGGAAGAATTCGTTGTCTATAAGAAGATCCTTCAAATTCCACTTGATTTTCTGGAATTCTATCCCAATTAAATCCAGAGTATTCCTCCTCTTCCAGACTATCATAGCAAAGAGGTTCCTTCCAAGTTGCCATTTCAGTAAAAAACATTCCTCCCTCACAAACAAATCCATCTTCTCCATTCTCTTCGACATATTCTGTCAATCCATTCAAATGTCTATTTTCATCATAAATCTCATAACAATATCCAATAAATGGTTGCATAAACATGTTGGCCCAATGTTTACACACAAGAATCATACTCTTCCTATCTTCAATCTTTTCCACAAAATCAAAAATAATCTGCCAACAATCATCAACTATTTGGCTATGGGAATGAATATTGTAATTATTTCTCTCTGGAATAATTCTTGTTTCTCGAAAGTGTGAATTTTTGTCATCCTGCTGTTTATCAGAGCAAAGATTTTCTTGAGAGAGAATTAAATATTTACTCGGTTTAATAAAGTTTGATGAATAATGATCCAAAAACTTTCGTTTTTTCTGAGAGAAACCCCTGCCACCAAGACCATTTCCATTCATTTTTTATGTTGTTGTGTTACAAAACAAAGGTTCTAGTTCAGGATCCTTCTTCAATGTCTCTCTGAAGTTCTCAATTAGAGATGGTCCTCATCTTCATGTAAGGTTAAGGTAGTTGTTATTTTACTTTGGAAATTAACTTAATAAACAATGAAACAATTTTAATCTTTAGTGGTTATTCATTCTTCATCAACTCGGAGACATCCAAATTTCATATTAAATAATAATAGTACAAGAATAAATAATTAAATACTTAGATACTTATTCACATGATAAAAAAAATGCAAAGATTAATACAAAGAAAAAGCTTATTCCGCACTTTTTCTTTCATGAAAATGTCGGGTCTGTCATCCTCATCCTTCAAAACAACCTCATCAAATAATAATATTAATAGCATCAATTACATCAACTCGAGCAAGGCTTTGGAATTAATTTCCTCAACAATAAGAAAAATGAGTGCCGAATATTCGCACAGTTTGATGAATCATCATCACGAAGAACGTCACCAACGATATAGCGAGAGAGGACTTGAGGAAAGTATTGTTATGGATGAAGAAAATCAGCCTCATAAATTTGTATTAATTAATGGATTGGAAATTGCTGCGGAAATTAAAGAGGAAATTAAAAGAGATATTGAAAGAATTGTTGAAAAACAAAAAGGTGGACAAGTGAGAAGACCAGGATTGGCCGTGGTTATGGTGGGATCGAGAAAGGATTCATTGACCTATGTACAGAGAAAGCAGGAAGCGTGTGCCGAGCTGGGAATTGAAAGTTTTAAAACACATTTTGAAGATGATCAATCAGTTACTGATGAGGATGTGATTAAAACTATTCAACAGTACAATGCTGATGATAGAGTGCACGGAATACTTGTGCAATTACCACTTCCATCACATTTGAATGAGGAAAAGATTTTGGAAAGTATTTCTCCAGCTAAAGATGTAGATGGTTTGACACAATTTAGTTTTGGATTAATTTCAATGAAGGGAAGAAAATTAGTTGATGGTATCAATTTTGTTCCTTGCACACCACTTGGAATAATGGAAATGATTAGAAGAACTGCCCAAAAATTGAACATGAATTTGGAAGGGTTAGATTCTGTGGTTGTTGGAGCTTCGAATATTGTTGGTATTCCAACAGCTTTGGTACTATTGAATCAACTTCAGACCTCTGTACAGCTGCTTCACATCAAATCACAAAACATTCCAGAAAAGATTTCCAAGGCTGACATTCTGGTAGTATGTTGTGGATGTGCTGAAATCATTAAACCTGAATGGATCAAAAAGGGAGCTATTGTAATTGATGTAGGATTGACACCAGTTGAAGACAAGACACAAGAACGAGGATTCAGATTGGTAGGTGATGTTCTCTTTGATGATAATCTCAAAAAGAGAGCAAGTGCTGCTACACCAGGTAAGTTTTATTTACGCATTTGTTGATATATTTCATATTCAGTTCCTGGAGGCGTAGGACCAGTCACTATTGCATCACTGATGAAGAATACCTATCACAGTTTCTTAAGCAAAAACCCAGATTTACACTTGTAAATATTACACATGATTGTTTGTCATTTCAATGCAATCACTTTCATCTCTGAATGTATAAATAATTCCTCCTCTGTTGGATTGTAAAATTTTTACAATGTAATCTCCTATTATATCACTCGAGAATTCCATTGGGTTATTTGCATCCACTTCACTTGGTTTCTTTATATAGGCAGCAATTCTCAACTCGTTCAATAAGACTTTCCACTCTCTTTCTTCCACTTCCTTTCTAAAGGCCTTCACAAGTCCAAACAAACCACAAGCTGCACAAGTTACCAAACCACTCTTTCCTTGAATTACAAAATCACCCAAAATATCAGTAATAATCGTATAGCTTTTAACACAACCCAGAAAGTATTTAGCATATATCAAATTACTGGTAAGAAAGCTGTCCAATACTTGTCTGAAATCGGAAATGGATGTATCTGTTGGATAGCTCTTCTCCCACCAACAACCCAACGAGGAAATCACATGATCAATTCTGCCATACTTTTTCAATATCTCATTCCTAGTATCCTCCACTGCCTTTTCACAATCCAATTCATAATTGTCTTGGAACATTGGCACCAACCTTTCTGTCCAACCATTATTCACTTTTTCAATTTCTTTCTCCAATTGAGAGAGACGAGCTTCACTACGGGAAGGAACAATAACTCTTGCACCTGCTTGAAGACACTTTTTTACTATACCACTTCCCACAACCCCTGCACCTCCTGCTACAAGTATTATTTGATTTTCAAGAGACATTTTTTTGATCAGTTAGTACAATTCGGATTATCATTGGATAGATGTTGTGCTATTACAAATTGATTGAGTTACAATAATGGAATTTATCTAAAAAGACTGTTTACAATCTTTTTTAATTTTGGGATTCCAGGACAACTACTATGAAGTAATACTTCTCTGTAATTATCAACGGTAATTGGGAGCTTTTCTAATATTTCAGAATAGGATTGATAATTGGAAAACGATGCAAGTTGAGAATAGGTAACATTATTGGTTCTATTTGAATTATGTCATTAAGTTGGATTGAGATTTCTTTGCGCGTTCGTAATTTCTGAGAAAATCACACAATAGGATACAACCAAGTCTGTTGCTTGATCAAGTTTTTATTGTAATAAATGAACTTGTTGTTCATAGATATTCACAAACTTTCTGTCCAACCAATCAAATCCACTCCCATATTCACAACAAATACCAAAATTAATTCACCTTTCACATGTGCCTTCTATTTGGCAAGTGACTTGGCCAAAAAACAAAAAAAATAGTCTTTCGTTTTCAGCTTCTTTCGGAAGATCAACACCAACCCCTCCAAACTTTCTTTAACCAAACAACTTTCATCACCAACAACAACAATAGACAATCAACTACAACAACACATGAACTTTGCATCACGATGGTCTTTCAAACACTACGACAAAAAATGAAACTCTCCAGTTCGAGCAATGATGATGGTGGAAAACAACAAGATGATTTAGCAGGAGGAGGTGCTGATGAAAAACCCTCCTCACCACTACTAACAACAACAACCACTACGACAACGAGTCCATTGTCATCTTCGTCCTTTATGGTTGCTTCGATGGGCATGGCGATGGGATCGGGTGGATCTGGACAAGCTTCTCTTCCGGGTAGCAATAATAATTATAATAATAATATTAATAATATTAATAATAATTCGAGTGGTATGAATACGAGTAGTAATACTAGTAATTGTGCTAACAATAATTATCAACAAGGTAACAATGGAAAGATTAGCTTGCTTTTAAAGATGGTTCGGGAGGGAAATTATGAAATGGTTGAAGCCATGATCAATAACAGAGAAGCCGGAATAAATGATTGTGATACTAGTGGAGTAAGTAAATTTTCATATTTCTTTATAATTTAACTGATAAATTAATTGATGATTAGTGCGTAAGTATTTAAAATTCTAATATGAAGATTTTAATGGTGATTGAAATGAATTTTAATTTACAATAATGGATAAAACGGAAATTAGACTGCTCTTGGTGTAGCTGTAGATTCTGTAAATATGAAAATGTTGAAATTCCTCATTAGAAGAGGAGGCAATACTAATGGAATAATTTATGGAAGAAGTATTTTACAATATTGTATGGAAAGAAATCTTATTCCATTTGCTTCCTATCTCATTAGAATGGGTGCCAAGCCAAAAACAGTTACCATTCCAACAAATCCAAGCATGGACATTATTGTTAATCAAGTAATTGCTACTCAAGTTGAAAAATTTATTAATGCTCTCCGTATAAGGAATTTTGAAAGAGCTAATTATCTTATTACTAAGAATCTTAAACATAACATTCTCATTGTGGATTGTTTGAATCAAGAACGTGAAACACCACTCTATGTATTATCTAAACATAACAATCCAGAGGCAGTTGAATGGTTGATAAAACATGGAGCTCAAGTTGATTTGAAAGTTATGGATCGCAACATGAATTCTCTTCAAGTTGCTATTCAATGCAAACACTGGAATGTTGTCAAGACATTAATCAAAAATGGAGCAAATATGTATATAAGAGATGAATTTGGATTGACCTGCGAAGAAAGAGTCAAACATAACGGAATTGATTTGAATGCACTTGTATATGGGAATGTGCCTCAACCTCAAATTGTTTCACCTCCTTCATACCAAGGCAATTTGATTATTAACCAACCAACTCTTAATCAACCTCCTCCTTCTTACACATTCCAACAAGCTCAATCTATCTATCAACCAATACTCTCAAATGCGCAACCTCAAACCTATCAACCTATTCAACCACCACCACCAAACTATTTCCTTCAAACACAACCATTTGGGCAATCAACTGCTCCACCACTCTATAATAGCGTGTCTAGTACTTTACCTCCTCAATATCCTCCATCAATCAATAATAGACCGCATTCTCCATCAGTTCCTAGAGTAACTGAATCAACCTTTACTCCTTCTCCAACTGTGATTTCTACTCCAGTTGATGTTCTAGATTGCATTCCACAACCTTCCCAAGTTTCACCAGTTTCTTCTGAAACATCTCCTCCTGAAGACTCTCCAATTCCAGTTCCTAACTTTGATGCAGGCTCACCACCAATTACATCTTCTGATTCTATGGCGGTTCATTATGTTGGTGATGAGAATAGAGAACATGACTTTGATCCAGAAGAACCAAAATCTTTGGAAATGATTTTGAAGGAAAGATATAGAAAGATGCAACTTTTAGGCAAGGGAACTAACGGATATGTATACAAGGCAAAGAAATTTAATAGAGGAAAAGATGATCCTCCAGTAATTGCTGTAAAATTGGTAGATTTCTTTAGTACCGAAGCTCTCAACAAGTCTCTCAAATCTGCCATGAATTTAATCAAATTAAGACAAGACCATATTATTGGTGTTAGAGATGTTGCTGTTTTGAAATGCAAAATTCCAGAGAATAACCAAAACTCAAACGATCTTACAAACAAGAGTACGCTCTGTGTGGAAATGGATTACTACGACAAGGGAAGTCTTGAGAGCCTTATCAAACAAAAAGTTGTTTTGAAAGAAGCAGTCATTAAGAAGTTTATTTCTCAAATCATTGGTACCCTCCAATACATGAACAAACACAAGATTGTTCACAGAAACATCAAACCACATAATATTTTACTGAGAGAATGGGATCCTTCTGAAAATATTGACACTGTTTTAATTGGATTCCGTTTATCCAAATCAGTCAGTGATTCTGCAAGTGATATTCAACAAGCTGGTTCTCTTCAATTCATTCCACCAGAACTTTTGGACATTTCTGAAGAATTGGAAGAAAATACTGCCATGTTTGCTTCTGCTGACATTTTTGCTTTGGGTGTAACGTGTTACCAACTCCTTACTTTTGATACTGTCACCATGATTAATGGTCTCATTATGAAGTATGGTAATGAAGAAAAGGTAATGAATCATCTCAGATCAAGCATTATCAAGAATCAACACTATCCATACTCTACAGGACTCGTTGAATTGGTAATTTCAATGCTCAGATTAAACACTGCTGACAGAATCACACTTGATGAAATTTTGGATCGTCTCTCCACTCTTCAATAAAGACACTATTGTAATATTAAGATTGTATTCTCCATTGCTAAGAGTGATTGGATTGACCCAGCCATACAGTATGTTGTTGGATGTGTTCTTGGTGCAATCCATTCCTCGTGCAAGATATGATTAAAAGAAAAACACATGTCTACGTACGTACTAATTCATTGCCAAATTACAATCAAAATTTAATACGTACGCATCTCACTTTAAATTCAAACATTTTCCAAATTTTCAGTTTCCTCCAAATAAAAAAAATGAAAGCACAAATCATCACAGACTATGCCAAACCTTCCGAATTAAAATTGGACTGGGATTTGCCAGCCTTTGATCCGAAGAGTGATCAAGTAATGGTTCGATTAAAATCAGCCTCAATGAATCGTGGTGATTATACAATGAGAAGTGGAGCAGCTAAGAGTTTCATTTCCATGCAATTTCCATGTATTTTGGGAAAGGAAGGAAGTGGTGTGGTGGAGAGAGTTGGAGAGAAGGTAAATTCAATTCAGGTTGGAGATGAAGTGGTTGGAGTATTTGGAGATTTGATTAAAACTGGAGCCTATGCTGAGTTTGCAGTTTTTAAGGAAAAGGAAGTGGTGTTAAAACCTAAATCTTTGGATTTTGATCATGCTTCGATAATACCAGGCATTGGAATGACGATTGTGGAGATGTGTAGATCACATGATTGGATTTTGCCAATTATTGAAAGAGAGGCAGATAGAGTTTCACTTGGTCAAGAATTAACACCAGAATATGAGGAATCAGAAAAGAAATCATTGACCATTGTTGTGATTGGAGCAAGTTCAGGAACAGGATGTATGGCTGTGCTGTTTGCCAAGAACTTTTTATCGAGATATTTCAATACCAAGGTAATTGCTGTTTGCTCTGAAAGGAATTCCACATTTGCCAGAGAGCAACTCGGTGCTGATGGAGTAATTGACTATACTAAGACAAGTGCAGCATTTGGAAACAATACCTTTCATTCAGGTGATGAAAAATTGAGTATTTTCCAAACTCTTAAAAAGGATTTCAAGATTGATTTTGTGGATATGGTTATGGATTGTGTTGGAGGATATTATTATTACGATGATTTGACAAGACACTTGAAATGTTGTACAGATGATGGAAGAAGAACCTATCATGTAGCTATTGCTCCACCAGGACCACTCGAGTTGTCCTATTCAACTGTTCCTGCCATTGTGTGGTATATTCTCAAGAATAAGTTCAAGAGTTGGTGGTCAGCTCAGAATCCATATTATTTCTTCTTCTCCACAAGTCCAGATAATCCAAGAATTATGAAATTCCTAGCAAGTGAACAATTCAGTCCAATATTTGAAAAGATTCCTATCACTAGCTTTTCTTTGGAAGATTATCAGGTAAGTTTGTTAATTATTTAATTTAAATATTTATTCAATTTTCAAAAACAGAAAGCAGACGATTTGATGGCATCTCAAAGAACAGTTGGTAAAATTGTCATCAACATGTAAATATTTTCATCCATATTAATTGTAGATAATATTAAATTACTAGTTCAGTACCTCATTATCTCATACAATCTGTAATCGAACACATTATCTTACTCTTTGGAATGTAACCAACATTCATCCAATAGTACAACTCAATTACAGTGAATTATTTTCAGGAGCGGAGCATTATCTCACACCTTAAAAAAATGTATCAAATAGTAAGGCGGTTGATTTTATTGGTGATATTTGCTGGAATTTTCAACCTTTCTCTATTCCATAGTCATGTAATTGATCATCATCATCATAGATATATTTCTATTTGTTAAGGCACACAGTGTCGATAAATTAAGGGCCTTTCCAAATTTTAATGCAAAATTGTCTCAACAAATAGGAAAGATGGAGAATAGATGTTTTATTAATATGCGAGGATTTGAATGTCGATCCAATGCGAGATCACTCAATGCAGCTGGTGGTTCAAGAAATATGACCAGCAGAGCATTGATGGATAATTTGATTATTGCTGGCGTTGGTTACAGTAGAGAAGATTTCTCAATTAAACCACAAGTTCTCAAGTCAGGTCCTGCTAGTTCTTGGGTTTCTGACCTGAGTTTTACAAAGACAATGACAACAGCAAGTGAATACTTCTCAATGGTCAATCCAAGTGATGGTCAATCAGTATTTAATGGATTGTATAGTCATTCAAATGCTGGAATTGATTTGATATTTTCCAAATATTTTGAAGGAGAATTGTATATTGTAGATTCTCAAAAGCAATTTTTCACTCATTCAGTTAATGCACCTGATATTAGAGTGACAGACGAATTCCAACAAATTATTGACATTTTGCCAGAACAAATGGATTGGGATATGTACAATCTTGTTTTAACCTCATTTGGTGATTCTATTGCCACCAGTATCAAGTATGGAGGAATTGTTGACATGACTGTTTCCATTAGATCTTGTTTCAATGATCCACAAATGATGCAATACATTTCTCAAGAATTACAGTATTCAATTGATGGATCCTCAGATGTGTCCAAACTTCCAAATGGTTACGTTAGATATCACAAAGTTTCACAATTGGACATTGTGGGTGGAAATCCTCAAATTTCCAATATTCACCAAAGAACTGCAACTTTTGCAATGAATCCAGTCCCTGTTCGATTGGAAACCATTCCAATTTGGAGAGCTTTCCCAGATGGACCTAAACAAGCAAATATGAAAAAAGTATACGAAAGTTACTTGCAAACTAGATCAAGAAATGTTCAAAATTTAATCAATGCTTTCAATGCCAAGAGAGAAGCCGAAGCAAATAATCCTCAAACTTTCACAGCTTACAAAATGGATATTCGTACCAATCAATTACAAAAATTTGGTTCTTCAATCAGTCTCTCAAAAGGTCAATCAGGAACAATCACTGATGATCAAATTGTAGTAGCTGTCTTTGGACGTACCTTGTTGGTTGCTGATTTTGTTGTTGGAATGCAACCTGTCATTCACAGAAATATGGATGGAACTTTTTTTTTTGATTTCAATCGTGGATTTTGTGATAATGAGGTCAGTAATACATGTAAGATTACTCCTGGAGCTGTCACTTGGCCATTGAGTGAAATATCTGCCTTGTCAACTACTGGTAAAAATCAATGCATTCAAGTGATTTTCCAAAATAGTGTAAGAACTAGATATTCAGCTTCTGCAATGTATGTTTGTTCAGGTTGCATGCCAGTTGTAAGTGGAAAGAACATTAGTTGCAATTGTCCATACGTTCAATAAATCATTCCGATGTTGCAATATATTGTAAAGTATTGAATATTGAACTGTTACAATTTTTTAGGAACAAGGAACTCTTAGATCATCACAGAACTCAAAAAAAATGTCTTCACATCTGATCCGCCACTTGCAACACCTGAAGGAGAAGGAATTATTTTGCGATTTTGATTTTATCTTGCAAAATTCTCTTCATCCACAACAAATTAAAATTTCAGCACACTCGATTATTCTAAAGCAATCGGAATATTTTCAACGATTGCAATCAAATTGTTTGATAATTAATTCAGATGAAAGTAAATATGATGAGTGTTTGGTGAGGGGAGCCTTGGAATGTATTTATGGTGCATCACCTCGGGTGATGGAATTTCATAGAGTACTTCCCTTCCTTATTGAATTTGAATTCTTTGGAGTGATTAGTGATTGTGTTGAGGCTATGAGTGGAGAATTGAAAGTGGATCGTTCTGAATGTAATAATAATGAGATTATTCTCGTATGGAAAGTGTTGAAAAAGCTTAAAGCATCGTGTGAATTAGCTCAGAATCATTCTGTTCAAGATGTGATGAAATTGGTGGTGGAAAAGATTCGTGCAATTTACTCAATTAATATTCAAATGAAAGAATCATCTATTGCCTATCAACAATTGAAAACAGCTGTGTTACAATTTAGTGCTGATGAGTTTTTCGACTTTTTCACTTGCTTTACCAATGATCTCTACATGGGAACTCTCTCTAAAATCATGATTGAGTGGATTAAAGAAAATCCAACTGAGAGAACTCAACAAGCAGGTCCAATATTGTTGAAATTGCAATCCCTAGCTCCCAGATCATACATCCCTCCTCCACCTCCTATTCCAACGCTCACTCGTGCCAATGTGCCTCCTCCTCCACTTCCAGTCAACTTGTCAACTCAAACTCATCGTTATGGACATACTCCCTTCAGACCACCAAGTAGCATGCCACCTCCACCTCCACCTTCAACTTTCGGTACTGGACCACCTCCACCTCCACCTCCTTCATCCTTTGATATATTTTCATCTATAATGGCTGGTCGTTCATTGAAATAAAGGAATTCCAACAAATTTGTAAAATTGTAAACTTAATAATCAAGTAATTTAATTTTCAATAATTCCAAATTGGGAAGGGAATTTTCTTCAATAACTTGTTGAGTAAATTCTTCATCAGTTTCTATTAGAAATTTCCTAACTTCCTCCAATTTATTCTCGTAATATTCTAAAGTTTCCTTCTTGCTTTCGTCCATTGATTGACAATTCAAAATTTCAATTCTGCATTCAATCATGAATAACTTCCTTTCCATGATTAAAGCTTCAGAGTTAGTTGGTGCAGTGGTTTTTGCAGTTGTTTCCTTCCTTGTTGCACCAGATAAAAGATGGTTGGGTCCGTAGCGTGGTTTCATATTTTTTTTTAACAGTTTCGAATAACTACTCGTGTATCGGATGTCCTTTGCTACAGCATAAACTTGTGTTTTTTTTAAAAAATAATGGAAAAAAGTGGAAATTTACCAGCTGTTTCTGAGCGTAATTTACCTTAACTTTAACTCTGTTGGAAACGTACAGAAACACGAGTTAGAAACTGATCTTACCATTATCACTATTATTTGATGTAAACAATCCAAATCTTGCAGTTCTCCGCAGTTCTCTCTCTGGTTATTGAGAAAAAAGGTAAAGAAAGCAATGAGGAATTTTCAGCTCAGTTTTTTTAGCTGGTTGCTAAAAATAAAATTTGCACAAATTATTCTAATTTTCTCTAGAACTGTCAGAAAGAAACTTGGGAAAAAAATGTGTAAGTTGTCATCACGATCAACACAACTAATTGATAAAGGAACTGTTTGTGTTTGCTGTCAAACAACTCACAACAAGAAACGTTGGTACAGAGCTTTTTTATTGAATAAAACAGGAAGAAATCTTGCATCCAAAGAATTAAAGAAACACATTCATCAAGGATTTTGTTGTAATAGAGTATTTCAATGGTTGAAGAGAAAATATGTTGCCCTATGCATTGACAAAATTAAAAAGGTTAAAAATTATAAAATCAGAAAGGAAGAATTACAACATATTGAAACTGTTCCATTCGAAACACTGATTGCAAGTAGAAAAAATCAAACCTATTCCATTATTGCTCATGATGATAATCAAAGAAGTGTTCTAGTTCTAAAACGTAAAGCTGACAAGGTTACTTCCAAAAAGAATCAATTGAAAATTTTGGGAGCAAAATGTATTCCATTAAATTCATTAATAGTAAATGCTTCTCCTAGTGATACTATGGAATTAATGGCTAAAAAGAAAGATCTGCAAGACACTGTAAAGGATGCAAAATGGTTCAAATCTAATTCAAAAATTCAAAAGAAAAGGATTATTAAGCAGGTAAATGCAACTATTAGAAAGAGGAAACAATTAATGGCTCCTCTTCAAACTTTCGGAACAAACACTCCTCTGTCTACAGCTAAATTAATGAATATAATTAATTCCAAACAAACTAATAAGGAGAGAATTTCCAATACATATCTCAAAAATCCATTATCTCGAATTAGAGCTTGTTTCCACGATCCAATATTTGAGAAGTATGTATGTGATATGATTAATAATAGCTCTGTATCTATGAAAATACTTGCAACAAATATTCTAGCTGAACTTAAAGCAAAAAGCAATGATATTCTTAATAAGATCAATCCAGAAATGTATGACAAAATTTTAAAATCATTTGAGAATCAGCAAAAACACTCACTCAATACAGATATACCTACAATTTTGAAATATTTGTATATTGATCATTATTTAAATAATGAGATGGATTTACAACAAATATGTGATATGGTAGATAAAGTTGGTGGCTCATTACTTGTTGAAAAAGAAGGAAAATGGCAAGAGGTTGCTCGGACTTTGAAAATAACTCAAAAATTCGGAGATGAAATATGTAGATTTGGTTATTTCCTTCAAATTGGTGAAAAACCACCGATTAGATGTTTTCAAAGAAGAAATGTTAAACTTGATGATGACATATATATGCCTTTCTTTGATGAAAAGGAGATGAAGGAAGATTTGCAAGCTTGGTGCATTGGACAAGAAATTGAAACAGATATTGATGAATCCGTTTTGTATTCTGTTGATGAATGGTGTGAGGCTTTTAAGAAGAATCCACTTGCAGTATATATTGGTAATCCAATTAAAGTTCCAATTAATCTAAATGGAAAAGAAATAATGGTAAATGGAGTAATGCGAAATATTATTCCAGTACTTATCCACCATTTGTTAAAATGTGATCAAAATGGGTTCATCAAACAAGTGGCAGATTTGGTTATTGGATACAAGTTGATAGATTGGATGGATGGTACTGCTATGCTAAATCAATCCTTAACAAAAGTTAGCATTCAATTATTATGGGATGAAAAACTATTTAACAAAGAGGGATATGATTATGTTACTAAACCACTACCACTTACCTATGTATGGTGCTCTGAAACAAAATATAATGTCAAAACAATCTCACAGTTATTAAGGGATCAATACACTCAATTAGTGGATTTTAAAATGCCTTTACATGAGAAGACAGCAACCTTTAAATTGAAATTCATGAGCGCTGATTATAGTAATGCTTCTAAAAGATGGAATCATAAGGTTGGAGGTGATTATCGTTGTTCAAAATGCCCATTACCATTTACAGGAAATCAATGGGATTATGAGCAATGCCTTTCTTGTTTAAACAATGGGAAATCATTACAAAATCTCTATGCTACCAAAAAATTCCCAGATGGTCAAGTAGGTCTTCCTCATTTAGTGAATGATGGTAAATCCACATCATTAAAAGAAAGAGGGCTTGATGAATACGAAAATGGCTCTGAAATACTGCATGTAACTAAAGGAATAGGAGCAGGAATGTTTAGTCTATTCCAAAAAGAGAAAGACTTTCAAGAGGAGAAATGTTATGCTGCTCTTGATGAAAATATCAGATTGAATGCAAAATCTAGCACCATGTCAAATGGAGATTGGAGATTAGTATTTTGCAAATATGATGTATGTGTTCTTCCATTCGTTAATCAAGAGAGAGAAAACGCCGAACTACTCATGTTATATTGGCGAGATATATTAAGATTCCTATATTCCAAAAATGAACATTCCAATATTGAAAATCAGCAATTCTGTGTTAAAGTATTCGTGTTTGGTACATTGGCAGTAATGAGATGGGGAAATAATGTTGTTGGGCTGCATTTTCATGATTTGTGGGTCCATATTTCATTATTGGTTTGGAAGGTTAATGTGTATCACCTTTCTGCAGAAAAGAGTGAACAAGCATTCTCAAAGGAAAAAAGAATTGCTAAAAATAATACTAATCACAAAACTGAATCAGCAATAGTTGAAATCATTCGGAGATCTGTTTTGAGTGAAGTAGTTAAACAAAATTATAGCAACAGATCTTGTGTAAAATCCAATGTAGAAAAAGCATTGAAAGATATTCCAATTGTTCCAAGTGTAATTCCAAAGGCAATTATGGAGCATCCAAAATATTCCAAATGGTTATCCTTATTTGAATCCAAAATATTGGCTCCTAATTATCCAAATTTTTTGAAATATGATTGTAAAGGTCATATAATGCATGGAGATAATTCTGAATTATCAGTGGAATTTGAAAGACTATTGGAGAAATGTGTTATTACTGTTACTGCATTGCGAGGAAAAAGCAAATGTCCTTTTTGCAAAAAGACTGAGGTTATTTCAATTGATTGTTTATCAGGTTCTTGTTTTGCTTGTTGTGAGGATTCTGGTTGTGTGTTTCATACTAAAATAGCCGAGAAGTTAGAAAAGAATAAGAAGAAGAACAAAAGTAATGTACCAATAATTAATAATTCACAAGCAAATGCTAGTCAAGATTCTGGAAATACTATGCAGCTTAGCAACAACACAGAGTTCAATCCCACCACTGTTAATTCCATTGTTAATTCCGAGAAGAAAGTACAGTGCGTAAATGATGGCTGCACTTTGATCAAAGTTTCTATTAATTGTTCCAACAAGATGTGTTCCAAATGTTGTAAGAATGTGGGTGAGAAATTATGCAAACAACACAAAATAACCAACCAAAGAAGAAAATCCGTTTCCGAACAAGTTATTATTCAACAGCAAACAGTTTCCTTCACTAGTGGAAGCCTAACAAAGTAAACTAGATTTTGCTAGCCATCACATCATGGCATTTTTTTTCATTTATTTTTTCGTAATTTTGTGTTTCGAGCGTTACTGTGAGTTGGAACCGAGTAAGTAGACATACACAACACGAGTATTACAATTTGTTGGCATTAATGTAATTGATTGTTTATTCAAATTTTGCATAGTTATAAACACCAATTCTAAAAGAATCGTCATCAGTTGTATAAGTTTGTGGAACATAAAGCAACATTTGACCTTCATCATCGGCCTGCATGAAAGCATTAGCCAAATCATTCTCAGCAGATTCGAATGGATAATAAACAGTCATATCTTCTTTAAATATTGGAACTCTAACCAATTCCCTATTATCATTAATACAAATCACCTTTGGTTGTTGATTGTTAACAATTTCACACTCGTAAAATCTCTTAATTGTTGGATAGAATAATCCACCAAGGGAATAAAGAGATTTTGAGGAGGCTTCATAATGATACAGTACATTACGTGTTGCATACTTGGAGTAGACAAGACTCAACATTGAACCAGAGATGGTCAAGGATTGGAATTTGAAAATTCCAAGAGAATCCAATTCCTGACCGTCAATGATTTTCAATGAATGTGGTTCAAGGAGTAATAATTGGGAATAGGTGAGTTTCCAATACCAACAAAAAGACCTGCATCTTTCATGACTGCCAATTTTCCTGTGGTCATCAATGGATAACCTTGCTCTCTCATGTAATTATCCTTTGGATCGAAAATGAAAAGAACAAGAGCTTGAGCTCTCTTTACAAGAATGTGCAACAAGCCCAATTCACTATCTTCATGTACATCAATCACATGACTATTGGCACCAAGAGAAATAACCTCAGCAATTTGTGTTAAATTCTTCAAGTTGACTTGAACAATATAGGCCTTGCCCAATTCTCCACCAGAATAAACAAGATTCATCAAATTGTATTGTGCTGTTAACAAACCACCAACACATCTCTCAACAGAGCCCATACTTAACCATTTCATTGGAATGTCCAACTTGAAGGAATTAACATGATACGATGAATCCACTCTGTGAATTTGAGTAGGTCCACTTGCAATAATAAAGAAACCATCTTGTTTCATGCTGATTGGAATTACTCGATCGACGTAGCCAAGATTAGGAAGGTCCATCTCCAGGATTGTGTCCGGCTTAATTCTTGTGGTGGTGGCGAGTATCTTGACTGAGGCCTCAGCACATGACGAGACAAGTAGTGCAATAATACAGAACGTAAATAAATAATGTAATAAGATTACAGATGTTGGCTGGAATGTTTGCATCTTTCCTTTGTTTTTTTGATGATTAAGGAATAATAAGCAATTGTCGATCAAAAGATACTGGAAATTAGAGGGTTACTGTTTTCATGCGCACCAATACAAGTCATCTCCACTCCTATTCCTAGCCATTATTTCATGTTATAAACTCCGAGTGGATTCCTTAAATTTTAAATAAGGTTGGAGAGTAAATATCAACGTTGAATTGAAATTGTAGAAAATTGGGTTTATTTACAAGTTAAATGCTATTAGATTGCAAACTATTTCAGTTTGAACTGTCACGAACAACATCTACTTGCTGGATTGGTACCAGTGTATGGAATGATTTCATGACATCTGTGCTATATGTAAAATTTGCTGTACCATGGAAATCTTTCAATAGAGATCCCTCATCAAAAAAGTGATGCAGGGCATCTCGTAATTTCTTACAATCCTTTGTGAAAACGTGATATCTTTCTACAGTTTGCTTGGCCAAAAATGATGAAACAAACTTCCAGATCAAATTAATTGACATTGTGACATTGACTACAAATGCCAATGCTAATCTTTCGCAATAATAAATACCAAGATCCAAGAATGTATCCTTCATTTGCTTCACGAGACTGATTGAAACGTTGGCACCTGTAACATCCAAAATCCAACTAATTTGATAAACATTCTTTGGCATTCTCTTGATCAAATTTTCTGTATAGTAGACAAATGTCAAATATTTCAACTCGAGATTTTCCTTGGTCATTGGAGTAGAATCCTTTTTCATATCAATATAAACAATAGGTCTATTCCATTTGTCATACCCATAGTGGAATAAAAATCCTGATTTTCCAACTTCCCCAAGGTCATCTATTGTCAAGTTTTGTGGTTTAACTCTAGCACGCCACTCGCAGGTCTTTTTAATACCCTCTTCAGCTTCCTATGAATTGATTAATGAAAATGTGACATCTCTTTACATACCTTTAATTTATCCCAACCGTAACCTGAAAGATATCTATAGTAGAGGAGTAATCCCTCTTCTGTCATGAATTTTTGTTCTTCCAATCCAAGAGATGGAATCCAAACTTCACATCTCTTTTTCAATTCATTAATGTTTTGTAAACGTTCTGGATGAGCGTGACACAACTCTTCAACTGTTGGTGCTTGAAAATTTGGATTATATTCTCCAAATACTTGATGATTCTTCCAATCTGGATTCATTTCTTCAATAGGGGCTGATGATGATGATGATTGACTCATTGGCTTTACAATACTCACTAAATAATGGTAATGATCAAATAAATAATTAAACTACACTCGATTAGGACTTTTAAATTATATAACAATCGTCTATATGATGATAATTATTTGACAAAATACAACTGAGGCTAGTGCTTCTACTACTATTGGTTATCTATGTTGATTTTGCTTCTATAAATTATTAAAAATAATAATAATAAAAGTACAGTGTGATGATGGTGGTGATGTGGAGGTTCTTTTTTTCTCAAAGCCTTCGTTTGTTGTTGCTCGGAATTTGTGTGTAGCAGACCTGAATTGCCTTTTGAGAGATTTTAAAAATAAAACTGTAATTGAAAAGCGCGCTAAAAAGAAAGAATCGTTGTTTGCTCTGTGCTGTTTAAAAAAGCTTGATGTGGCAATCGATAATGATGAGGTGTCAATGTATGTTACTCTCTTCGGATGAAGTTGTTGTTGTGTGCTCTTTTTAGTGTTTTGGTTACAATTTGTGTTCAACAAGAGAATCACTGTGGGTATTGTAGGTTACAGTAACGTTAGACTTGGTGAGAAAGAGGCAATCTACAAAGGTATTGTGTTGTTTGTTTTGCTTTTTTTCTCCTGGCAAGTGAAAAGAACTTTGAGTACTTTGACTTGTTTTTTTTTGAAAAATTGTTCGTTCGAGTTATGAGGTGAAACAAGACAATTTCATCTCAAGTCCTCTCTGCAAGTCCGAGTTGATGACACGTTGCTGCTAATGAGCGGTTTTTTGAGTCGCCCAAATGCCATTATGAGATGAGCGTGGGCAATTTGGTAAAAATAATTGGCAGATTGAGGCATTTGGCAGCTGCCATTGTGAAAAAAAGTTTAGAGGTGATGATGTGTTGACTTTTTTGAGGGTAATGAAGTATTGATAATGAAAATATTAATATTTAGTCATAGGATTACAATATGACAAACATCTGCCAAATGTCAAACTCAACCAAATTCATTCCTTAAATCAAAATTCAAAAAATCATTACAAGGTTACACTACTCATTTTCCCAACCAACTCCAACCACAACATCCCTTCTAATAATCTCAAAAATATCAACACAAATATCAAACTCCAGGTTGCCACTTCGTTTTTCCACCTGATTACAATAATGAAAAGTCACGATTATTTTAGCTCTGATTACTTCCCAATCGTTGCTTCTTTTGCCTAGAACTTCCGTCAAGCCAAGCAGAACACCCAGCGCTCATTAAAAAAAGTATCTTTGAAAAAAATTCCCTCTCTCTTTGGTTGAGTACACTCATTACATCACAAAGATGCTGCGTTCTAAGAGTTTCGAAAAGAAGGGAATCATCGTCATGATGATGATGGCTCTTCTTGCCTTGTCCCTTTCCATCGCAATTGTTCATTCTAGCCCAACTCCAACCGATGAAGAAGTTGCTGCTATTACATCTATTGCTTCCAATAATAATAATAATACCATTGTTGAGGATACTACAACAACAACAAAAACATAATCCAGTCAAGATTACCACCGATGCCAAGACCAAGTCAAAGATTGTGTCAGTTTTGTGTCCAACTGATCATGAAATGGTTTATAATTTTAAAGCCTCTACTCTTTTGGGAACTAAACCACATCTTCAATCTGTTTCTGCTATCAAGAATGGTTCTTCACAAGAAAATACCTTGATGGGTAAGATGACTTTGACATGTGCTGGATCAACAACCAAGAAGAATCTTATTGCTGTTTCTTTCCCATCTGTTCAATACCTCCAATTCCAAGGAATGAAGAAGTATGGTAATTTGGGTAAGAAGGATGTCAACTTTTGGTTCAATAAGAAATATAGAACTCTTCAAAAGAGAAGAAATTTGACCAAGGCCATGAATAAGTATCCATTGGCTATTGTTCGTAGCAAGACTGGTCAAGTTTCCAAGATGATTTTCCACAAGAGAGAACCATTCTGGTTGAAGAGTATTAAGAAGGGTTTAGTTAGAGTTTTGACTACTGAAACTAAGAGAGTTCAAAGAAAGCAAACTGATGGTTTCGGTTCTGCCTACACTCAAAAGTTCAATAAGACTAAATCACCAAAGAAGAAGGTTACTCAAGTTATTCAAAAATTCTCTGAAAAGGACTTTAAGAAGATTTCTCCAAAGAAGAGAACTATTGGTTATGAAGGAAGCCACCTTGTCAAGATTAACAAGAAGGGTTTGATCACTAGAGCCTTGATGGGTACTAGAATCACTATGGGTAAGAGACCAGCTCTTCCATCTTTCAAGAAATTCGAAAAGGAAACTGGAAAGAAGAAGAAGTTTGTTACCAAGAATAAGGATCAAGTTCAAACTCTCCACATCAGCTCTCTCAAGTTGAATAAGGTTATTAAGAAGAAGAAGGCCGATCTTCCAAAGATTATCTCCAAATTCTTCAATGTTGCTAAGGGATCTGTTGCTGTTAAGCCACAATTCATTATTATCAAGACTTTCGGTATGACCAAGCAAGATAGAAAGGATGCCAAGAAGATGATTAGCAAGACCTTCAAGCCAAAGAATCTTAAGAAGCTCTTATCATCTGTTAAGAAGGACTTTAAGGATGTCTCACCAGTCACTAACAAGAAATTGTCCAAGGTTGCTCAATATGTTTCAAAGAGTCCAGTCAAGGCCTCAAAGGTTTTGATGACTGAATTGATGAAGGGTGTTTTGGCTTTGAAGAAGATTTCTCCAACTGAACCAGTCACCAAGAAGATTATTCCATACATTGAAAGCGTTCAAAGTTTGGTTGCCTCTGTTAATAACACCAAGGTTCAAGACAAGCTTGCCAAGATTTCCAAGATTCACCCAGTTCTTGCTAATAACTATCCATATGCTTCAATTTTGATCAAGAAGCCAACTAAGGAAGTTGTTACTTTCCTCAAGCAACTCAAGACTCATCACTCTAACTCCACCAAACATTCCATCTCCAAGACTAATGCTTTCCTCGCCTATGCTGACCTTGCTGATAGATCAACTGATGCTACTATCACTAAGGAAATTGTTGGTGAAATTATTAGTGCTTTGATGGGTGCTACCTCTCAAGAATCATTCCTCACTGCTATCCATGCTTTGAACAATGCTGGTAAGGGTGTTCCATTGTCAATCATTAAGAGCGTTCTCTTGTCTGAAAAGATGCCAGAATCTATCAAGAACATGATCACTGAAAATCTTAAGAAGAGAGTTGGTGACATCAAGGTTGATGAATTGATTCACTCACTCATCAAGAGTAAGAGGCTCTCTGAATCAGTTATTGCTTCCCTCATCTCTGCTCAAACTGACAGAGAAGGTTTGCTCAAGAATGGTACTAGTGTTCAACAATTCGCCTCCCTCTTGAAGAAGAATCCAAGTGACTTGATCAAGAATGCTATCAAGCAATACTTGTACACTGTTGGTACTGAAGAATCTGCTAAGGAATTGGAACAATCATACGAGCAAACCACTGAAATGATCACTCAAAGTGACATTGAAGATGAAGGTGTTACTTTGGAATTGAACGAAGAAGAATCCAATGCTAAGAGCAAGGTTGAACAAGTTGCTGAAAAGATCAAGTCATACTTTGAAAGTGCTAACTGGAACGGTGCTAAGAGCACTTGTCTTGCCGCCTCAAAGACTGAAAAGATGTGTATTTACAATAACGAAATGCTCAACTTTGTCAGAAAGCAAGGTGACTTGTCAACCATCTCCAAGTCCAAGTTCTACTCTTATGAAAATAAGTTCGGTACTAATGGTATCAATATCTACACTGGATTTGTTGTATATGGTGGTGCTAGCTTTGATTGTTCTAAATCATCTGCTTTTGATGCTGTCTTCTTTGGTCGTGCTGCTGCTGAAGCTAACCTCTTCGATAACACTTACCCAGTTGCTTCTGCCTATGCCGAATTGAATAATAGAGATGCCAGCTCTATCAACAATAGAGTCTTTGTCAAGTTGTTCACTACTACTTTTGTTGATAAGCAATTCTTGCCATCAGTCACCACTTGTACCAGTGAAACCAAGAATATTTTGACTAAGGCCATTCCAAATCTTATCAAGACATCTTACACAATTACAGTTGGTCCAGTCCCTATCACCTTCTCTTTCGGAGTCGGAATTTCCTATGGAGTGGTATGTTTTTTAATTGATTTTATTATCTAATCTTTTTGTGATTACTATTTATGTATAATTTAATTATTTTAGGATTTGAAGTATGCTTATTGTTTGAATTCTTTCAGTGCTTCATTGTCTCTCGAACCAACTTTGGTTGCTGATATTACTGGTTCTGCTGATGTTGGTATTCCATTGGCTAAGGCTACTGTTGCCATCTCTGCTTCTGCTACTACTCGTGGTATTCCAGAACTCTCCTTCTCTTCTTGTAACTTGTGTGCCACTTTGTCTTACAAATTGGAAAGTGCCAACTTTGAAGCTACTTTGAAGGGTAAGGTTGCTGTTTGGGAAAAGTCATGGACTCTCTACACTTACACTTTGCCAATTGCTTACTCCAAGCAATTGTACCAACAATGTGTTAACACCAAGTTGCCAACTATTTAAACCCATAAACTTTTAATTTATTTTTAATTGTTGTGTGGTGCCTTTCAAGATCTCTTTCAATCTTTAAATATTATTAAACATGTTATCTTCGTTTCACTTTTGTGTATTCAGAAAGTTACTAAGATTGGTATTTTTGTCAAGAGTTCTATGTTGATCTGAATTGTGCAACTATGGGTTTTGATGAATTGAAGAACTTCCTATTCCACTGTATTATGGAGATCCATAATCATTCTCTTCTGACAAAAACCTCCTTCTGGATGATTTCGATACCACTTTTTATGATTTCTTGTATTTCGCTTATCCACCCGAATCTTATAATTCTCCTCATGCTTTGCTCTGCACCATTCCAATTTATTCAAACCCTTAACTGTATTAAATTTTGAGCTCGAATTTATCAATACTGGCTCTGCACACATATCATGATTTTTACATTTTGAATTTTCATTCAATTCAGAAAAATTAGAATCGAACCGTTCTCCTCCCGAAGAATATTCTTGATTGGTTGAAGATTTCTTTCTATGTTTTGAACAACCTCCATTGTAAGGTGTGAAAGTGTTGAGATCTCTCTTTGGAGATTGTGTTTTTGGTGTGTAATAGAGTCTTGTTTTTCCACTTCTTGCCAATATGGTGCCTGTAATCATTTTTTTAATCTTGAAAATCAAATCTAATTTTAACTCCATAGATGTTCAACTCCTAAATAACAGTTTTGTTTACAATTTCCATTGTAAGGTGTGAATTGAAAGTTAATGTCTTAAAATTTATTCGAATTTATTTACAACAGTTGCAACTGAGGGTCAGTATAAAAGTTTTCAGTTTGTGGAACATTAGAGAAAATATCAAAATCAAATCCGTCTTCTATTACAGCAGCGAATGGATCATCTTTTTGCATTGTTTCAGGGAATGGTGGAAGTTGTGTTAGTGATGGATTTTGAGAAGTAATTTGTTCAATTCTTTGAAGAGCTTCTCTATCCTCAGGGAAATATGCTGGCAAATTAGCAGCTGATACGTGCCCTGTGTTGCCAGAAAACATGTGTTGCATGTGTACAACTTGTCGTTCTCTCTTGAGAATTTCCTCGCTCAATTGTTGCAAAATTGGTTTAGCTCTCTTTTCTACCATTGAATATCTTTCTGAAAGGAGAAGCAATGCTCTCTGATCCTTCTTTAAAATGTCGTAATAGTCAATACCATTATCTGGTCTTTCTCCTCTTTGAATTTGTTTGTAGAGGGCAAGATGTATTCTTGCTGCGTTGTTAATTACGTTATAAATATGTGAAGGGAGATAAGGAAAGTATGATAATGTGGTATATCCTGTGATTCTGTTAGCTGTTTCTATGATTGCCTCATCTGATTGAGCTGGAGATCTTGACAAAATTCCCAATCTTAATCCATCAATAATCAAAAGATGCATCAACTTGGTAATGCTCTTAGCTGCAGGTGAATTTTCGAGGTGATATCTATTGAATTGCATTGCCTGAGTGTTTGCCATGACCAAGTGTGTTTTTACAATATCGTTTGGTGATACAGGTGGAGCTTGTGGTATCGATTTTCCACACAAACCATCAGATACATTCTGTGTTACAAATAGGAATAGATCAATCATTTTCTTAAAGTGATACACTTGCAATGTATATCTCTCAGTAATTACTAGATTTTGTTGGAGACCTTGAGATTCCTTTTGAATTTCTATATCCAAGGCTGTTAATGCTTCTTCTTCCTCAAGTAACAATTGAACATATAGTACAAGCTTAGACAAATTCACAAATGAATCATTATCTCTCAAACGTTCCTTATTTTGATTAATGAAAAATTGAACACTATTCAAATAATATTTAGATTGATTGTGTTCACCTTCTCCCAAACAGTAAAGTGAGAGATGCAGGAATGCAGCAGCAATATGAAAATTATCCAACAAATCAAACACGTCGGAAAGATACTTTCTGGACATTCTAAATGCTTCCTTTCCTTCTTCTTTTCTACCTAGTCTTTGATAACAGTTAGCTTGAATTGCATAGAGCATTGCCACTTCCTCTGCTTGTGAATTTTCCTGTGGTTGCTTTGAGCAAATACCCAACATTGTTGTTCTTTGAAGAACTGGACAACCAATACTAACAATATCAAAGTACAAATCAACAATTTGATGATTAATTGGTTGTTGGTTTGGTACATTTTCTGGACTGAGCGAGGTACTACCATACGGACTGTGTCTATTCTTTGGTGACAATGATGGTGATGATCCTTGTACTTGTTGATTAATTGGTTGTTGATTATTATACGAGACTTGCATGTTTTTAGGAGGACCTCTCTTCATAGGTTCTGGATATTTACATTCTTTTCCTTTCAATTTACATTCATTGCATCCTGGAAGGTGACGATCACATTTTCTATTATTTGTGATGATAATGAAGATGATGATGAGAATGAATATAATAAATCAATTATTGTGTAAAGTTAACCTACCTGTGTCCCTTTCTACAAGCAAAACATGCAATCGGATGGAGATCAGCCTCAGCCAAATCAATCTCTGATGAATTCGTTGGACTATGACCAGTAGACATATCGGAACAGATAATAACAATACTAGATAGTTGATAAATTAAGGATGATGAAGATAACAAAATGATTATCAAAAGAGATTTTTCGAAAATGAAAACTTCTTATAAATAATATAATACTGGACAAAGTGATGCCTTGAATGATAGCAATAACAACAATAACTTGATGGAAACTCTTCACAAGTCTCTTCTCCGGGGAGTGACCGTAATTTTTTTCAATTTAGAAAAAGGTGATAAAACAGCAGATTCAAGAGATGAAGCTTTTTTTCTTGTGTTTTGCTTAAACTGTTTGGCAAGCCGGATTCCTGCGCAGTTGGATTTTGTTGATTTAGGTTGCAGGGCCCAACAATCTAAACGCACAATATTTTTGAGTTGTTGTGGAGTTCATTCATGTTTCTGTATGATGTTGTAAATGAACGGGAGGACTCAATATCGTATGTTTGGCTTTGTTCTTAAAGTGCTTGTTGAGGGTTGAAAAATAAGTTAATGAACTGTTTACAAGTGCAATAAGGAGAGAGTGAGGGCTTTTTTTGGGGAATGTAAAGATCAAGGATGAGATTTACAATTGTTGCAATTGATTAAGGACGAATCTCAGTTTGGAAAGTATACTGTTAGTGAAAGTTTGGAAATAAGCACAAAAGCAGAGGAACCAAATGATAGTAAACTTCAAGTAAGTGCAAATACGGAGTTTAGGGATTTCACATTGGTGCGTTATGATGTTTCAAATTAAAGTTTCAATTAAAAAGATATTTAATAATAACTGAAAATTACATCAATCAAATTCTTGGTAAAGTGGGCAACCATACACAATTCAACCTTCTCTTGTACAACAAACATGTAAGAATAAACAAAAGATCCTAATAACTTGTCAAAAATAAAGCTATCTGTTGTGTATGTGTGACGTGCCGGTTGTCCAATAGAAAATATTGTAGAAATAATGGTGGCAAGAATAACACTTGAATAATGAGGTAGGGATAGGACAGCCTTACCAGATTTGATTGGCTTTGGTTGTTGTTTTTCAAAATCGGCCAAGTTTCTGAACTGATCTGAATGCTTTGGATTTGTATACTTGTCAATAATGTACTTGATCTTGATGGTCAAATTGAATTCATTAAAGATAAAAACAGAAAGCAGCAAACAGAATAACCTTTCAAATAATTCCTCTGTTACAGATCTGTACAAACACTTGTAAAGAATTCCACTAACGAAAAATCTGTAAATAGCATTATCATCTCCAAGATTTGGTTGTTCGTCACCCGAACTGAATAGAGCTTTCAAGATGAGAGCTACTAGAGCAAAGAGGGCTCCCCAAGATGCTGATCTGAAAATATCATCCAAAAATCTAAAGTCTTCGCTAGTAATGTATTTCTTGAGATAGTTGCCAAGTGTTCCAATATCCTTCTTTGGCATGGATTCTAATTTTTTCAAAAATCTTATTTCCTTAAGGTAATTAGTCAAATGAGTTCCATAGCTATAGAACTTCATGGCACGAGTTAATTGTACACCAAAGTATACTACTATAGTGTAGAATGTAGCAACCAAAATTGGTCTAATGGCTGAAACCTCTACTTGTGAAACAGAGTACAACAAGGAGCAAATTAAACCCCAAATCAATGAAACAACCAATGGATGGAATGAATTTGAATAGTTTTCCAGCTCAATAATTTTTTGCTTTTGTAAATCAAGTACTATAAGTGCTTCGCTATAGTCTCTTTGTATCTCATTGTATTCTGAAGATGTAAGTGATTCAGTCTCTTCGTTTGCCTTGTTTTCATTTAGAACACTTTCAATTATCTTGGTGTGAAGATTGTTAGGTTTTGGGATTGTTGGCTCTTCAACATCTGGAATTTTTGATTCGTAAATATTGTTGGAACTATATACAGGAGTAAACATATCTTCATCGCTAGAATAGGAATGATCATGATGATCTTCAGGGGTGAGCAACTTTTCTGTCGAGTCCTTATTGACAATATCAGAAGTTTTGATATCTGCAATAGGTTGAGTTTCTTCGACTGGTTTTTGCTCTTCTGGTTTATGTACTACATTAGTGGCCAGGTTAGCATCGTTAGTAGAATTTGACTCTTCGTATGGAGAAAGAATGATATCAAAATCAGACTCTTCTTCACTTTGCTTTTCTGATGTCTCAATAGTGAGAGGTTTTTCATCAAGTCCTGGTTCTTCCTTCAAAGGCTCTTCCTCTACTGTTGAACTGATTGATTGAGTTGTATTTACACTAATTGGCTCGTTAATTTGTTCAGGTTTGGTTTCTTCTTCTTCTTCTTCATCACTCAAATCTAAGAATGATTGAGATTCTTCAGGTTCCTTCTGCACTACAATCATACTATCTTTCTTTGGTGACTCAACTTCAACTTGGGAAGGGGTGATTTGTGGTTTTTCTGGTTCTTCTTGTTGAGGTGTGACAGTCTCTGTGACATTCTCTTCAATAGGAAGACTAGTTGATTCAGGTACTTGTTCTACAACCTCAATTTCTTCTGGTTCTTGTTGAGGCTCTTGTGATGGTGGTTGAGAAGGGTCGATTTTTTGTTCCTCTGTTGTTGTCATTGTTGGCATTTCCATTATCATAACTGGAGATTGTTCCAGTTGCTTTGGTTCCTCCTGCTCTTCCTCTTCATCGAGAAGGAAAAAGTTAGATCCCTCATCTTCAGTCTTTGCAAGTGGGTTTTCAATCTTTTCGGAACTAACTGTTGATTCTTGGACATTTTCCACAATAGTATTATTCGTGTTTGATTCTACAATGATACTTGGTTGTTCCGTTTCAATTTTCTTTTCAGTGCTACCATTTGTTTGAGTAATTGATTCCAAATTGTTACTTGATTGATTTTGTGTTTTTTGAAGTGAATTGTTTTCAACTTCATTCACCACTGGCTTTTGGAAAATTTCTTGTTGGCTTGGTGATCCGAAAGGTGTATTTACATTATCCTTGTACTCTGAACGAGGAGTTGTTCCTAGAATTCTAGGACTTTTGAATGGTTCTTCATCCTCTTCATCATCGGAAACTTCTGGTTCTGTCATACTCACTTCAGTATCATCAGTGATGTCATTAGATACCATACTTGTTGATAGGTTAGGTTGGGTGTCGTTTGTTGAACAACTGATAGTATATCTCAAAACGAGATAGGCCACAATTTCCTGGTCTTGGTCATCTCCTCCTAACTTAATCGGAAAGATTCCTGTTTTCTTTTTTAGCTTTTTAGCAGCAATTGTTGACTCGATTTGAGAAAGGCCATTTTGTGTAATTTCCATTAAAACAAGACTTCTTTCCATTGCATTCATTGATACAGCTTCTGCCAAATTAATTTCCTCCTCACAAATTCTCTTCTTTGATGTGAGCAGTTTAGAAGCTGGGGAAGCAGTAAATGCTTCATCCTGCAATTGCTCAAGAGACATTCTCAAAAATTTATCCTTGTAACCGTAGGAAGTAGAAGCTATTTTAGAAGATGATGAAGAGGATGATGGTTGTTGCTGTAACCATTTAAAATTACTACTACTTACTGGTTGTTGTCAATCTTGTATTGAATTCGAAAGCCTTTTCATCCCTTGTATAAAAGATGAAGTGGTCTGGTTTGTTTTGATCAATGGATTTTTGAAATCTACAAACAGGAAGTTTTCCTCTCTTTCTTGAATTTCGTTTCCATTCCAATAATGCTGTTCTAGGAATCTTTGGTGATTCAGTGAATTGTTTAAAGAAGGTACCAATAGATGTTGTTTTTTTGACTTCCTTTGATGAAATGTGATTGTTATTAATATTTGATGTTGTTGGTTTTTCGGGTAAGATTTCCAAAGCACTAACCACAAATTTAAAATGATACTTGTGCTTCAAACCACTACTACTACTTGGTGGTACTAAATTTGCTGCATTTGATGATGAAGATGACGATGAAGAAGACTGATTACTCTGAACAGCAGCAGTAGCCATCTCGCTCAGATTTTTACTGCTAGCACTTGTCTTCTTCTTGATCATTTTTTTTTAAGGATGAAAATTTAGGAGTGCGACACCTGTTTTCCTTCTTCTTCCCTTCTCCTACACTCTGAGGGAGATGATGTACGCTTAAACCTTCAAGTGAATGTTGAGCGCATTTTGAGCATTCGTACATGGAGGTTGTACGTTGGAATGCAAAATATTGTTTCTAATTCAATTTTCAAAAAAGAAAATTGGAAAGTTGTTAGATTAAGGAAAATGAATTGATTGAAATAAATCATGCCCAACTTTCACTTATTAAAATGGTGGAATTAGTATTATCATTGTGTATTATTGCTCTAAGAATCATATCAATACGCTTGATATATTAAGAACTCTTATGTTATTTTTTGAAGAGTTTTGAATGTTCACTTCATCAGTATGCAATCTCTTATTAGTTCTAACAAGAAACAATCAACACCACTTTCCAGTGAAAAAAAGAAATCAGAAAAAAATCTTTTAATGCATTTTGGCGAATCTATTCAGATTCTATTTCTCACTTCGTTTGTAAATAGGTTTTGAATCAATTTGATAAATAAGGAAGGCTCTTCCAATAAATTTGGAAATAGCAGCTTGGATCTCTGGCCATTTCTTTAAGACGTTATGGTTGGGGATCTTATCTATATATTCATTCTCAAAAAAGGTTATGCCTGAGTGATGGAAATATAGCACATATGAGTATTGGAAAGGAATTTCTTGGATAGGGGAGAGTGAACACTCAGGTCTATCAAGTATTTCTGTTAATCTATTTTGACAATATCTTCTTTGATTGTCTAGTCTGGGGCATTCATGTATGTAATGTTCTAAATTTGAGGGACAATTACAATCTGAGCAGGTTGGATTCAATTCATCTTTCTTCTGTGTATATTTGATATGAGAATTTGAAGCGTTTCGCCAAATTTGATATTTGGTTTTAGGTGACAGTCGTGACTTGAGGTAGGCTACATTAATTGATGACCAGCTTTGGTTTGGAATAAAGTTGGGATTACTATCAATTGCTTCGTGCATCTCCTTAAGTTGGCGATTTACAGTCATTCTTTTGCAATCAAAGATCACAATATCGTTTTTCATAAGTAAATATTGGTTGGTTAGTAAGGATTTGATATCAAAGATCTTATCTCTTTCAGTTCCATCTTTCGCAAGGCGATCTACTATTATATTTTCCTTATCTTCATGTCCTTTAACTTTGATTATATAAACTGAAATATTCTTTTCTTTTTGGATATTGAAAAATTCAGTTTTGAAAGGGAGAAAGTTTCCTTTGTATTTTCTGGATAGGACATCTATTGCAACTTTGCTATCTGTGTGTATTCTAGCGGTTGTTCCATTTGGAAGTAGTTTCATTGCAGTGATAATTGCTCCTATTTCTGCAACATTATTAGAGTATTCATTATTGATACGGAGTGAAAGGCTTTTACAAGGTGATAACCTTCCACCGGATTCATATATATTAATACCCATACCTGTTTTACCTGCAAGCTTGGATCCGTCTGTATGGATAATAAAGCATCTATTGGTTTCATTCACTTTCTTTAATCTGAATTTGGTATGATTCTTTTTGAAATCTAAATTATATTTCTGAAGTATTGACATCCATTGAATGAAAATGTTATTACTATTATCATTGGTATGACTAATTCCAAATTTAAAAGCTTTCTGAACTAACTTGTTATTGGAATTTGCTATTAAGGAGAGAGTTCTTAAATTAAGTCTGTCTGTAAATTCTTCAATTGAGGGAACACCGAGTCCACCTTCTTCTAATGGTAGGTGGAAAAAAGCTGTTTTGGTGGTTCTGTCTAGTTTTAACTTTGTTCTGAGTACATTTCTAATGCAAATATCTATTCTTGATACCAGTGATGGAGGAATGACATTAAGTTTGGATAGATGTGTAAATAAACTAATCACTTTAGCATGAAGGACTTGTCTTAAATTATGGGGTTGAAGTTTGAGTATTGGGAAATATTTCAGTGATTCATTGAATTTAGCTATCTTGCTTTCAATATCTTCTTTGACCAATTTATCTTCCCAAGGGTAGTGTCCGAGAACTCTAAGATTTTTCTGAATGGGAATTGGCACTTGTTTGATTTTTGGTATGATTTTGCTTTTTGTGGGAAGGAGAGTGGCAATTGACTTTTTTGCATTTAATTTGAAAAGCAATTGAGATAACCAGTCGTCGATGTTATCTAGTCTTCCATTATAATTTGTGAATCTGTCGCATACTATATTCATATCGTCAGCGAAACAACAAAGACCAATTTCGTTTGCATTCAATTCAGATGGTTCTATTGGTAGTTGCCATTGGTCTATTGCTTTGTCTATTATGAGTTGTGTAATACAATCGTAAATAAGAGGTGCTAATGGGCAACCTTGAGGAATTCCTCGTGTTTTTGTGAAGTTATTTGATAGATGTTTGTCAATTTCTAATTGTAAACTGTGATTGCTGTATGCATTAATTATAAAATCAGTTAGTGGTGTTGGGAATTTACAATGATTAAGGGCCATCCTAATAACCGGCATCTCCACTGCGTCGTAGGCACCTTCAATGTCAAGGTTGACTAATATAAATGTTCTTCGTCTAGTTTTCAAGGCCAGGGAGGAAAGTACTATTCCATGGTTCATTGTATTTCTATTATTTATGAAGGCCTGTTGTCTCATATTAATCTGAGAGCTAGCCCATTCACATAATTTGTGGGCGATTAAATTGAAAAGGATTCTATAAAATATTGGTAGTATTGTGATGGGTCTAATATCTCCTAATGTTTTAACTTCTCGCTTTGGAATCAGTTTAACCCAACCGTGTTTCCATTCTTGGGGGATATCTCCTTGTGTTAAACATTTGTTAAACTCTTCAACTATTAAAGCTAATTTCTCTAATTTTAAGCCCTTGATGATATCTAATGAAATTTCGTCTTGTCCTGGTGTATTCGATTTCATTCTTTTAATGGTTTCTTTTACATCTCTATATGAAATCCGACCTATATCTCTAGGACCTGAAGTGATAGTGGATGGACTTGGCATAAAGGTTGGTGTTTGATTGGAGGTTGTAAACTTTTTGGAAAAATAATCTAAAATTTCTTGTTCTCCAAATGGCAATTCTTTCCAGATAATTTCTTTAGAATGCAGTTTTCTATCAAATTGATACATGTGGGAGGCGTGACTATTGTTATATTTGTCAGTTAATTGTTCTTTGATTTCTTTACATGATTGGATGTGAGTCTCTTTAAGAATTGTTTGTAGTTCTGATATTTCATTAAGTCCAACATTTGGGTCTTCTAATTTACCCATAATCTTATTTTCTAATTTACGAATTTTACCTTTAAATATGGAGGAAATAATGCTACCACCAAGTCTGTCAACTTTGGTTCCATATTTTGCAATGTTGTTTTGTATTTCTGCATTTAATTCTTGAAATGTATTGGCATTTGACGTATTTATCTCTTTGATCATTTCTTCTCTTTTCTTCTTACCAATATATGATCTCCAATTTAAATGTGATTTGAATTCAATATCAATGTAAAAAGGGATGTGATCATTACTTGTGAGCGGTGGAAGGAGTTCTTCTTTGATAACCTTAATATCTTTAGACACGAAAATGTGGTCTAATCTTGAAGTGGTGATTCTATTCTGTTGTCTTCTAATGTAAGTCTTATTATTAGTCTTATATTCTGTTAGTTGGAGTAGATTAAATAGCCAGCACCATTCTTTATCTCTACCGTTTGAAGGATTAATGGTATTGATATTAAGATCTCCATTAATTATGACATGTTCATCTCTACATGTCAGTACTGCATTTGTTATACTGTTCATGGCTTCAACATCATTTTCTTTATCATCAACTCTTCCACTAAGATATGGAGTGAAAATATTAATTGGTATACCTTTGCTTTCGAATCGTGTCCATTGAAGAACACCTGGAATTAGATTGATATTAGTAATATTTCTCTTGTGAGGGTTGTTAAGGAAGTGCATAACAGCCGTCCCTTTTTTTCCTTTCGTTGTATTCATTAAGGAGTTAAATAATATATAGCCTGTTCCTGAATTTTTAACTTTATATTCTAGATCAGGAGTATTTAAATGAGTTTCGGTTAACGAAATCATGTGTATTTTATGATGAAGACACATTGATTTCACTTCTGGTGTAACCGATTTCTTACTAGCATGTTTATACAGGCCGTTTACATTGTAACACGCTAGTCGTAAATTACTATAATTACTCATTTAGAAAGAGTACAAGATGATGAGCTTTTTGATTCTTCATCATCTTGCATAATAGAATTATTAGTACTATTATTTATATAATGGGAGATTTTGTCAATAAGTTCCATTGTATCAGCTAATGCTTTCTTAAAATCACGCAGTTCAGTTTCAATATTAGATAGTCTAGTTTCAAATAGATTGGTTGTTGTATTAATAGTAGGAGTAACTACAGAATTAGTGGTTGAACTGGTATTATCGTTAGATTGTATAGGATTGATCATAGGATTAGTTACTTCCGGTAATTTAGAGTTAGTTAGAAATGGATATTGTTTTTGTTTTCTTTCAATTATTTCATCTAATTGTTTAATAGATGGTACGAAACAGTAACTGGTTCCATCAGTAATGTTTTGTTTGGTATTGAGAACAATTTTCTTGTCAATAAATAGATTCATTTCGTCAATATTTGAATGGACGACTTTACATAATTTAAAGGTAGTGGTATTGGATTTGTTTTTGGATTCAGTTATCATGCATTGGTTAGTATTGAAATCTTTTTTAATGCGTTCGTATGCACGAGTAACACCATCGATGATTTCCTTGTTTGTAAAGGTAGGTGGAAATAAACATTCTGAAACATTAGTAGGAGTTTCATTACGCAATTGTTCAACAGATTTGTAATTAGTTAAATTAAGCTTCTTTCTAATAACTTCGCACACATCTTCGTTTTCGTATGAAACTCTAATTATATATTTACCATGTGATTGGTTTGTATACATTTGGGAGATAAGTATAGTATTATCGTTATTAACTGAGTGTTTGATTAGTGATTTAATCATATCAATGTGTTGTGAATATATGTGTGTAGAGTGAGTTAGAGCGTACAAGCTATGCTCGAATACAGCAGGTGATGGGAAGAATTTCAATATTAAATCATTGTGTACACTATCAAGCATATCTTTGCAAAGAATATAATTGTCATTACTATTGCAATGAAGATTAATGACATTACTAGTTTGGGGTCTTATTTTAATGGTGGCAAATTCCCCAAAGATGTCCATTATTTGTTCCATGAATTTGTTATTAATTCTTTCATAGCAGATAATATTAAGTGAATGTGTCAAATCGAATTTCTTATTTTGCTTGACTGGTTTTTTACCATAGAATGAAATTGAGCGTTTCATTTTGATTTGTTTTGCTATAGTTTGTTTGATACTTGGTTGAGCTTTTATAGGGTGATACTTCACCATATCCAAATATGGAGTAAGTTGTAGTTTGGTATTTTGCTCAATAGGGTTCTTACTACATTCATATTTTGGTTTAATATTACTAGTAATGGAATGAATTTGTTGATTTCTATTTTGGGGAGTTGACTTAATATTTTGGATTTCTGAAGTAGGTTTTTTAAATGAATCAGTAGAAATGTTAGTGGTAGAAGTATCTTCTTGATTAATATTATCAACTTTAACCTTTACATCTTTGTCTTGTACAAACTCGGATTAAACATTATTTTGTCGTAAATCTTTTGCATAGTTTCCATGTATTTTTGAAGACGAATATTTTCAATCCGATATGAATCGACTGCTTGTTCTAACACAAGAATCCTGTTAGTCAGCTGCAGACAATTTATTGGATCAGGAGGGCGGTCATGTAAAGGCATTTTTTTAAAAGTCGAAATCAGAAAAAAATGCTTTCGAATGATGAGGGGCAGGATTTTGCGATTCAAAGAAATGGTTCGGAGTGCAAAATGCTATTGTGTAATTTATTTAATGAGAAGGTTATCTTGCAAATAATATCTAATCAATATTGTGCTCTGATCAAATCGGATGATGATTATTTGAATTTCATGATGGAAACAAGAGGAGCGGATATTGTCGAATATTTGAATAGGAAAATGAATAATATTAATCAGAAGGAAATTAAAAATTATTTAAAAATTGAAATTTTAGATACGCCATGTGATGAGGGAAATGAATCGAATAATAGAATAATCACTGTGGATCGTGTGAATATTTATTTAAATGAACGAATTGAATTGGACGAAACAGAGTTAGTTATACGACAAGCTTTACAAATTATTAAATTGAATGGAATAGACACTCTCCATACGAGAGATTTTGCAGAATTTAGAGAATCATCTTTGAAATTCATGCTCAATTATGAATTGAATAGAATTTTGAAAAATCATCCAACCTTTATGGATAAACAATTAAGAAGCTCACCATCCTCTACAGAAAAATTAGCTCTCAATATTGAAACAAATAGAAATGGCTATGTTGATTTATTTATCGAATGTTTGAATACCATTGTTGAATTTAAGCATATTCACATTGGATATGTTTCATTCTCCAAAGAGAGATTTAGTGGCATTGAGAGTGAAACTCTTGGTGAGAGAATACTATTCCAGAGGAGAGAAAATAAGAGTCCACTTGATCAGATGTTAAAAGTTGTGGATAATACTTCCCTCTCTGATATTTTGCAAAAATGGTCAGTTGCTAGATTGGCCAGTGTTTACAAGAACCAAAAACTTCCATTCCCTGTTGAGTATGTGAGAGGGTATACTCCACAGACTTACTATTTCGAACCTATATCCATGATATTCCAAGAAGCTCAGTACCAAATCCTCAATTATGAACTCGAAAATAATCCAGATCCGAAAAGACTTTTAATAATTAATATTGGCAAAAGAATCTTTTATCAATTCGTTACTGAAAGTGAAGATCAAGATTGGCAAGATTTCAAAGAAATTTAACCTAGCCAATTTTGTTACATCCTGTTAAATTGTTGTTTTCCAATATTATTTAATTATAATAAAATTATTGTTTCCATCTATTTCCACAATTTAGGCAAGTAATAAAAGTTGTCATAGGTTCATCAGATGATCTAGTTTGCAATTGGTAATAAGTACACTGAGTGCTCTGGCATTTAGTACATTTAAACGTGGAAGATACAGCAGCAGGTTTATCAATTATAGTATTTTCATTTGTAGATGAATTTTGTATTTCCAACTTCTTTCCGATAATTGTTGATTTTCTAATCCAATCCAAATAATCTTCATTCCCATCCATAATATCCATAAAAATCACCTCTGGCACTTTATATTCATGATTCTTTTTTACACAATCCACAACTTGTGATTTCAGATCAACCTGAGTTTTCAAAATTAACAATGCCTCTTCATCGGTACAAATTTTATCTTCCCACCAATACATACTCTTCACCTGTGGAACAATATTTACACAGGCTACGAGCTTATCCTTCAGCAAGGCTTGAGCAATAAATTCGGCTTTTTGTACTGGAGAAGTGACCATGCCAACACAAAATTTGGCAACTGATGATTTTTGCATTTTTTTTTAATTTCTAATTTTTAATTCAAATATTTTACAATATTTGGAATAATTCCTTAATTGCTATTGTTGAATATCAATTCAATGTAGTTTACAAAATATTAAATTCCTTTTCAATGCAAATTTTGTAATTCTTCAATGCCCTCGTATTATCAAAAACACTTCAACGACTACTTTTCCATTGAAAATGGAAGATTCTCTTTTCTGGTCTAAAATTCCGTAGCTTTGAACCATCAATATTTATCTTCAACGTTAATTCGAATTATTTGTATTGGAGTATTATCATATTACAACAACTTCAAAATAATTTTTAATAATAGATAGGAAATTTACGTAAATTTCGTTCATGTTCATTTGTTCACCTCTCTTAATGACTTCTAATTGGACCACTTTTTTTGATGCCTTTATGATGGCCATCATTTAAACCTCTGATATCAGATTTATTATATTAATATTATCTCAAAGAAAATAACTTCAATTCATTCCGAAGTTGTGTTCTTAATTTTCTTATTTCCTCTTCAAAATCTTGCTTCTGTTATCCTCATTAACTTTTTGAGAGGCGGGAAAGAACTATAATTTTTTGGAGGGAATTTTTGCTCCACAACGAATTTGCTTTTGAGAACAACAGAAAAAAATTGTGTCCGTTCGTAGAAGCAGAGGATTTTAACATTCATCACAGTACCAAGTTTTGTGTTGGCGGAAACGAGATTTTAATAATAATATCATAACAAAGAAGAATATATCTTGGCAAACAAAGCAGTACTAGATAACAAGAATCATCCTAGGATTTTAAATTTGTATAGAAGATTAATTTGTTCCCTGAGAAAATATGACTACACAGGAACTTCGAAAGAGGAAGAACATTCCCGACCTTGATACGAGTAGTCCTTCATCAACTTTGACTACAAGTGTGAGTGCAGATAATTTGCCTAGTGGAGAAAAAACACCAAAGGAAGAATTTATTGATGCCTTTTACAAACCACACACTATTACTATTCTTGTGGCTTCATTTGCTGTAATGTTTTATTACTCTTTCATTCGTCATGATGCTATAAGTACGGAACAAAATGTAAAGAGAGGAATAATGGGAATGGTTGGATTATTCTTGGTTTATTGTGTTGTTCAATTACGTGATAGTATACTTATGAGACCTCATCCAGCTTTTTGGAGGCTTATCACTGGTATCGGAATTGTTTATCTTCTCTTTTTAGTGTTCTTAATGTTCCAAACTAAAGATGATGCCAGACAATTCATGAAATATTTGGATCCATCATTGGGTCAACCACTTCCAGAAAGAGACTATGCAAATAGTTGTGCCATTTACACTCCTGATGATCCAATATCTTATTTCAAGAATGTTTATGATACTGTTTATGATGAATTCATTTTAGCTCACATTCTAGGATATATTGCTAAGGCTTTGCTTTTCCGTGATTTGAAGCTTTGTTGGTGTCTTTCCTTGTTCTTTGAAATTATGGAAATTACCTTCCAACACTGGTTGCCAAACTTTAAAGAATGTTGGTGGGATCACATTGTCCTCGATGTTTTGATTTGTAATAATCTTGGTATTATTATCGGATTGTGGATTTGTGATTATTTAAAGATGAGAAAATATCCATTGTGGATTGGTGTCACCAAGATTGATACTACATCTGGAAAAATCAAGAGAATTGTTCAACAATTCACCCCATTCAACTGGACATCCTATAACTGGCATATCTTTGATGATGCTAAACACTTTTTATACTTTTGTCTGATTATTTTGGCCATGAACATTGTTGACCTTAATGCCTTCTTCCTCAAGTATGTCCTCTGGGTTCCACCACCAAACAAGCTTAACATTTACCGTCTCTTGATTTGGTTCTGTCTTGGTATGCCTGCCATTAGGGAATATTACCAATTTATCAGTGATCCAAACACTAAGAGAATTGGTGCCAACACATGGATTGCTATTGGTATCATCTTTACTGAAATTTTAGTTTACTTCAAATTCAGTGAAGGTTACTATTTGATTCCATTCCCACCTCACATTTGGGTCAATTGGCTTCTTTTCTTCTTCTTCTTCGTTCCATGGTTTATTTCATTCTTCTTCCTCACTGATAGAAGTATCAGAAAGAAGTATCCAGTGTTAAAGTTTGTATTGAATGCTACTTTAACATTGTCTATCATTCCTTTGATTTTCATGTTCTTGTCTGGTTGCCCAGATCTCCAATATGGTAGAGAATGGTTTGATTCCTCCATTGAAAATCTCCTCGTTTCTAATGGTTTCTCCACCAATACCACCGTCTTTGCTTCTTTCCATTAAAATCCCTCACTGCGCGCACAATAAATTATTTATTCAAGTATTATTTTGTTTTCTTATTTATCTTAATATACCTTAACAATTAATTGAAATGTTTTTGAAAAAAGGATAATGGTGATGAGTTTGTATTCTATATTATAAAAAATCTTTTCAGATATTATTGTTATTGTAAACTGATCTTGTGACTTTACAAAGAACAATTCTGGAACGATTTGAGAGTTAAAAAGGTAGACCCAATCAGGAATATACCAAAATCTACAATAAATAACCTGCACTCATTCATCCCTTTCCACAATCAAAAAAAAAACACAAGTTTCGAATACATATATACAAGAAACACAACAACAGATTCTGAAAATGATCGAAGTAGGACAACACAACAAGCATCACACCCCAACCATGGAAGCCTCTCAAATGGCCTTCATTGTCAAACCAATGGTCGAGAAGCAAACTAGCATGACCTACAAGAACTTTGAACTCATTGAACATACTACTCAGGTTGTAAATGGAATTTTGCACAAGATGAAAATTAAGGTAGGCGATGAGGAGTACATTCATTTGAAGGTTATTGAAAATCCTCAAGGTGGATTGACTGTTAATGAGATTAGTCCTGGAAAGAAGATGAATGATATGTTGTAAATTATTCGAAAGGGTGATATTACATGACAATATGAAAATCAAATAAACAATTTCATTTGATTACATTGGAAATTGTGTTTTTTTCAATTTTGATCTTGGACGAAACAAGACTAAACACCTCACAAAAACTTTACAAAAAAAAATGACAACACACGAACCAGCAAATCACCTGCTACTCCCACCCGAACTATTCCATCATCACATCTTTTTATTTCTCGATACAAAAACCTTGAAAAAATCCATCTCACTCCTCTGCCGAAACTTTTACGAATGGGTGAGCGAGAATGTTCGCTCTCTCGTGTTGGATTTTAAACTAATCCCATCGATCAATCAAAAGAAGGCAATCTATGAGTGTGCGAGTGGTGGATCGTTTCGTAATATTCAGAGTTTGACTTTGAAAAATGTAAATGATGGAGTGAAGGGATTGTTTGTGGAAAATAATTGGACGAAACTTACTAGTTTGCATATAGTTATTGGAAGGTTGGGGTTGAAAGATTTGGAGGAAGTTTGTTCGTTGAAGCAATTGACTAGTTTGAGTTTGAGAAATAATAGTCAAATAACGAATGATATTTATACGAATATTGCCGAATTGAAACATTTGACAAGGTTGAATTTGAGTGGTCTTCATATTTCTAATAATTGGTATTATAATTTTGTTAAATTTGGTCCAACTGGATTGAAATCATTGAATTTATCATGTTGTAATATTGAAGCAGCTCAATTGAATCTGATCGGAACATTGTCAACACTTGAATCGTTGAATTTGGAAGGGTATACGAATTTGAGTACATTAGAATCAATAGACAAGTGGAATATGCCATCTCTCACTTATTTAAACCTTGAAAATCGACCATTCTCAAAATCATTAGGAGATGTCTGTAAATTGACCTCATTGAGAACTCTTAACATGTCCAATTGTGGAATTAGCGACAAAATGAGCTGGGAATTAATATCTTTAAATTTATTTCCTAATTTAACAAGTTTGGATGCTTCACATAATAATCTTTCAATATCCTGGTTCCAAAACAATGCTCCAAATTTAACAAACTTGAATCTGACTTGTTGTGGAATTGATGATACGGAAATTATTCAATTATTTAGTGGAATAGCTCCAAAACTTGCCATACTCGATGTTTCAGAAAATGAGGTGACAGATGACGGGATATCGACAATATCGACCTCTCCATATGCTTCCAGTTTGAGATCTATTACTTATGTTTCTACTAATAATATATTTGTAATAACTGATTTGAGTATGAAATTCATTTCCAATTCTCCATATTTAGAAAATTTAACACAAATTAACTTTTCTGGAAATCAAATCTATGCCAAAGGTCTTTTATACTTGAGTCAAAGCTCCCTTGTAAACTTAAAAGTTTTGAAACTCTGCAGAACGAACATTACCGAGTCTAGTTTTAGAGAATTCATGAAAAGTGGAAATATGAAAAGACTTTGTGAGATTGATTTCACAAATTCAATTTATTTAGATAAAAGCGTGTGCAGAAAGGCCTTTCCTTATCTTAAGAGGTTGAATAGAGTAAGCGTTTTCGAATAAATTAGTTCCGTTTTGATAATTTAATATCTCTATTTAACCATATTAGATTAAATTCTTTAATTTGGGAATTTTAATAGAAAGACCTGTAGGAAAGTGTTGCAATGCCAACAACTTCCTCTTCTCTGTCATCATTACGATAGTCACGATATTCGTAAAAGCTCTTTCTATGCAAGGTAATAACACTATTTGGATTGGTTGGATGATTACTATCGTGGAATAGTTTCCAATATGAGAAATCAATAATTTCAGAAGGTGAAATTGCAAAACTTTCAGGATTTCCATAAACAATAAACTTTCTAAACTCTTGTTCAATCTTGTTGCTTTCTTCTGGTGTGAATGTTTCAAACCAAATTTCTTCTTGAATCCACTTGTCATATCTGGTTGTTGGACTTGGATTTGGTCTAGACATTGAGAATTGTTGATATCTTTCTTCGAATGGATCCTTAGTGTAATCCTTATGGTGGCCATAATAACCGTATTTGTTTGGATTTTCCTTTTTTTGTTTTTCTCTTTCGTCAAGAACTTGTTGTGGAGGTTGTTCAGTCATTGCCTTGAACCAAATACTTCTTGCCTTAATTTCCTTTAAAACTGGCAATTTTGTGAATGGAATTGGTTGATAGGCATCTCTATAAAAGTTAATATCCTTAGGATGGAAGGAACCAATTTTCTGAGTTCCTGGATCAACTGTAAGGAATTGAAGTTTCTTGGAGAGTCTGGAATCAAACTTTTCACTATTGAGAATAGTATCAATATCATTCAAAGAATAAATAAAGTGAGGTTTCCAATCTGGATCTCTTTCCATTTTGATATCTGTACTATTATTTTTCAATCTACTATCAAATTTAACACTTTCGTTTCTTCTGAATTCTTTTCTTGCCTTTCTTCTTTGCTCATGTTTTTGTCTCCAAGTCATTGCTGTCAGTGGCTTTGAAGGTTCTTCTGTCTTTAAATTAATAATAGATACAATATTGCGTGTCTTTTCCAAAGTTTCAAAGATAAAGCTTGGAGGATACTTGTATGATTTGATAACATTCAAATCAAGATAATCTGACTTGACATTCAATTCACCAGAAAGGATGAGGGCCTTGTTTTCCTCTTTTAATTGAGCTACATCCAAATCACGATCATAAATACCTAAAATATGTTTTGGATCCTTGGCACGACAAGAATTATCAAAGCCAATAAGTCTTGCTAAACCGTGCAATAAATATTCAGTTGAAATGAATTGAAATCTACGTGGATATTGTAACAATTGATTCTGAACTTTAGCAGTATCATAACCTGGAATTGAAACAGAGAAACCTCTCTTACTGTACTTGTATAATCTATATTCATAAGTTGTAGATTGTCTATCAACATCAACAAGATTAGTATGATACATTAAAGCTCTTCTTGCTCTTGCACTTGACCAAACTTGATTTCCATCAAAACCCATAGTTGCACAATCAATATCAAAACCTAACAAAACTTCTGCAGGTGATTTGTAAATTCTCAAAACAACTTGAATTGGTCTGAGTTTGTAACAATAGAATGTGACAGCAAATTTAGTTCTAACAACCAGAACATCATCATTTACACCTGTAGATTGTTCAGTTCTAATAATACCATCTTCAAAGAGAGTATTTTTCTCTTCCTTATTATTATTGTTACGTCTGCCAAAATATCTACTTTTAGAGCTCAAGCTATCTCCAGCATAATTCATTAATAATCTTCTGCCCATATTCTTCTTGATAGTTTGATAAATATGCTTAATCTTTTCTTCAGCTTCTTCTTCGCTCAAAGCATACAGAAATAGATCGATATCTGATTTCTTAAATGGGGCAGGAATGTTAGGATCTGGTATAAAACGAATATTTTCCTTGTTTGCCTCTGTGTTAAAGAATGAGTTTGCTTTTTCAGAGATACGAGCTCTTCTTTGATCTCGAGAAGCATAAGAAACAGATCTATACTGACTATACAGTGATGAATTGCCCATGGAATCCAAATTGTGGAATCTACCAATTGGATACTTAATAACATCTTCTTGCTTTTGTTTTGGTTCTTCTTCCTCTCCTTCTTCACCTGTAGATTTAGTTGTTGCCTTTTTTGAGAATCTTCTCCAAAAACCAAAATCAGCAGCTTCATTTTCATCATTTTCATCATCAATGACTGATACTGCTCTTGAAGTATTTGTTTCAGTTCTTTCATTAACAGAAGTTGGATAAATTGTTGATACTGCAGTATTATTATCAAAATTATCATCTTTCAAACAACAACCAAGAATACCACCACCAGCAGCAAAAACATTATTCCAATCAAGACCATCCAAAGCACCTTGAGTGAATCTATGCCAATTCAATTTGAAACCATTCAAATTATTAACAAGTCTTGGTTTAGAAACTTGTCTAGAATATCTAGTCTTATCTGTTAAATCTAATAATTTTGGACAGTGACCAATATCAATTCTATACTTTTCTTGATTCTTAATTTCTTCTAAATTTTGGAAGAGAGGTGATAATAAAAGGTATGGGTCATTCAACAATGGTGATTCTCTTTCCTTTGCAAAGATTTCTCTCAATTTATCTTCAGTTTCTTTCAATTCAATGTTATCTTTACCAATCTTTTCAACTGGATAACGAAGTGGATCAAGATATTCTTGAACAAGTGTTGTCAAACCATAGAATTCAGCTTCTTGTTTCAATTGAAGTTTCTTTTCTTGTGAAAGATTCTTTGGGAAATGATTAAATTTACCACCACTGATAATGTAACCATGAATAAGGGCAAATAACTTTGGATTTCTATCAATAAATACACAACCATTTTCATTTAAACAAAAGCTTGGTGATAAGATGTACTTTGAGAGGAGGAAATTCTCATACTTTCTCAAACTTGTGAATGGAATTGTGAAAATTTGACCTGAAATATCAATCTTGACAGATAAATCACTTTCTGAATCAGTACCTAAAATAAAGTTTTGATATTGTTCAACCAATTTGCGGGAATATTCACTAACATTCTTCTTGGATTCGTTGATTGAATCTTCAAATGATCTGAGTCTTTGTTGAATTTGTTCGAGTGGAATTTCAACCTTTTTCAAATTTTGTACAGAATCATTCAAAATTTCTTCAATTTCAGCATAATTAGATAAATTTGAATCATATTTGTGATACTTGTCAAGTAAGAATAATATATATTCTGATAACTTTTCAGTTGCAAAATATCTTGATTCTTCTAAAATATTTTCCAATTCGTCAGCATTCAACTTTTCAATACCCAAAGATTTAACTTTACCACCTTGTCTCAAATGTTCTAAAATATATTCGAAATAATCTGGATTTCTGTCAGGGAATGAAATTGCAGACTTGTTTGCTTCATCTCTTTCAATACCAAAACCAGAATCAAACATGACTTTAAACAAGTTATCTTGAGCACAAACATATTCAAGTGATGAGATACCGTCTTCTTTTGGTCCTTCATCTTCCATTTCATCACCACCTCCTTCTTCCATTTCTTCTTCATCTTCTCCTCCCTTCTTTCCAGCACCAGTTGCTTTACCAACTTTATCAGCAATAATAATTTTCTTTGTTTGAACTTGAGTATTACCTCTTTCACCCATCAAGGTTTTCATTGTTGTATAAAAGAATTTACCTGTCATCATATCAAATTAAAATCATGAAATTATTCAAATCATCATCATCAAACAACAATAACATACCACCAACTTTCAGCACAACCATCTCTTCCTGTTGCATTTTCTGGAGTGTTTCCAATTTATCACTGGTCTCATCACCACTACCAGCAACAATAAGAACACTTTGATCCTTTTGCTCTACCAATTTCTTGATCATTTCCTCAGTTTGCTTCTGGAGGGACAATCTATGCAATGCATCGGAAATTTCATCGATCAACTTTTCATTCTGATCATTTTCAAACACTTCCAATGATCCATCAAAATTTGATGACGTTTTTCTCTTCTTTACTGAGTGATCAGCAGCAGTAGTCGATGATGCAGACATTTTTTTTCACTGTTTTTCTCCAGAAAGCTGGAAATTCAGCATTTTACAACAAATAATAATCAAGAAATTGCATGTTACAAGAAATAATAATCCAAAAATTGGTGTGTAAAAAGGCATGGGTGGAGTTACGCCACCAACACTTCAGAGAAATGAGCTGATCGTGATGTTAGAATTACACTACATGCCTCAAATATAATAGTGAAACCAAACCTATTGCCTTCTCAGCGTGTTCCAAATGTTCTCTTCATTATGGTATGTGATGATTTGTTTTTTTAAACTGATTGCAACTTTGAAATGGAAGTTTCAATAAATTTTCTCCAAATATAATGTCAAAGTCTGTTGTAATAATTCATGTGAAATCGGGTGTGGTATAGTGGTAGCATTCCAGACTGTCACTCTGGCGACCCGGGTTCAATTCCCGGCAATCGAGTCATAATTTTTGACTCTTTCTGGAATATTTGAGTTTTGCTTTTTTCATAATAGAGGTAATAGTATGTAATCTACCTATTTTTCAATGTTCAAAGTTTTATCTCTTAAAACCACTGAGAAAATAAATAAAGATTCGTGCCTTATCCCAATGTTTGAGTTTTACTTTTTTAATCATAGGAGGAATGAAATGCAATCTAGCTAAATATCAATTTTCAAAGTTTCATCTCTTAAAACCATCGAGAAAATAATCAAAGATTTGACACTCTCATTTTTCAAAAAAAAATTCCTTTTAAAAAAGTTCCAAGTTCCTTGCCTATCTTTCAAATTATTTCCGCTTATCAATCAAACTTGAAACAATTCTATTGGTTAATGCACAACCAATCTTTCAAAATTGTCTCCTCTCTACTCCCAAATTGCAACTAGTCCACTTCAAAATAAATATAAATACTTGCATTGTGTTCGAAACTTTTGAAAAACAACAACAAAACAAATATCTAAACAACTAAACAACTCAAACTAATCAAAATGATGCTTAATTGTCAATTCAGTGATGAAATTATCAAAACCTATGAAGAAATGAGAATGGGAAAGGGTTCGAATAAGGATAAAAAGTTCCTGGTATTAAAAATGCAAGAAAGTTCCCTTCAAATAGATCAAGAATTGACTCAACTCTCTTCATTGGATGAATTGACTGCTAATCTTCCACCAAAGAATTCCCGTTTCATTTGCTATCATTTAAGTTTCGAAATGCCATCCCAAAACGAAACTTCACTCAGGGAAGGAATCAGAACGAAAATGATGTTTATCACATGGTGTCCAAACGACACCAATGTTAAGGAAAAGTTTCAAGTTGCTGCCACTGTAAAAACAGTTAAACAAAAATTAAATGGTTTGAGTGCAACAATTCACTGTTCAACCAAGAGTGAAATTGATGAAAAGTCAATGATTGAAAAATGTTTAACTTTTATGAAATGAAAGAATTGTACAACACAATACTGTATAAATAAATAGATGTTAGGAAACTTTAAACCTCTTTAGAAAAAAGACTACAGCACCACAGGTTCCCAAGTTGTCTCCAACCTCAGTACTGATGTGGCTCGACGATGCTTAACTTCTCAAATCGGACGGGATGAGGTGCACGAATCGTGATATGGCCGTAGCCATCATTTATCTTAATTCTTAGTATAAAAACAATCTCATAACACTCATTAAGCAATTGCTGATAATCCTTTATTCAAAACCAATTGTTCAGCCACTGAATTTGTACTATCAATATGTTTCGTTTGTTTTAAAGTACTTAAGGAAGGTTTAAAAGTTACAAATGACTTGTTTTTGGATGTTGATTATTATATTGAATAAATTTTACTCATGTTCACTATTCAATAAATAATTTATTGACAATTGAGAGAATCTATAATATTTTGCTAACTTAACCACCTCTCAATCTCAATACTAAATGCACAGTTGAATCCTTTTGAAGATTGTAATCACCAATAGTTCTTCCATCTTCCAATTGCTTACCGGCATAAATCAATCGTTGTTGATCTGAAGGAATACCTTCCTTATCAAATATCTTTTGTTTCATATTCTCAACAGTATCATTCGATTCCATTTCAATAGTGATTGTCTTTCCAGTTAAAGTTTTTACAAAAAGTTGCATTCCTCCTCTTAATCTCAACACCAAATGAAGAGTTGAATCTTTTTGAATGTTGTAATCATTAATAGTTCTGCCATCTTCCAATTGTTTTCCAGCAAAGATGAGTCTTTGTTGATCTGGTGAAATTCCTTCCTTATCTTGCACTTTTCTTTTCACATTTTCAATTGAATCATTAGATTCAACCTCCAAAGTGATAGTTCTTCCAGTGAGTGTCTTGACAAATAATTGCATTATGTTTGTTGTCCTGTTTTTCTTAATGGTTTTTCTTGAATTCAAAACAGTTCCTTGCTTTAAACTGTTTGAGAGTTATATATTTTTAGAAAGTAGTTCTTCTGCAAAGAAATTCTTTCGATGAACCGATTTTTGTTTCTGGACACAAAATTGGTTCATGTTTAGTAAGTACATGCAATACTGAATTTTAACTTGTTGTTCGTGAATTGAATGCAATTTGACTCTTAATGGTTTTGAATTAAAAGGTGATTATTGGAAAAATTTAATACTTGTAAAATGGTTTGGGTACAGCTATTCATTACTCAAAATCAATGTTTAACTCTATGAAACGATATACCGTAGCCATTTATTGCCTTAATACAATGAATAATAAATTGAAAAAATGAATAAGTTTCAAGTAAATAAGATTTGTTGTTTGTCTTTCCATTGTTAATTCATTTTGTAATTGTAGACGGGAAGCATGCCAGGAATATGGCGACAATCCCGCTACAGTCTTTGACTGTATGAACAGTGAAGGCAAGAGTTCTGGACGAATCTTGTTGTGTTCAAATAACAGGTTGTTGAGTAAATTGAAAAGGTTGATCACCCTTCTATTTATTGAACTTTTGCCATGTGAATTGCTTGATCCAAATTTTGGTTTCTCATATTCTGATCAATTCTAAATTGAAACTTCATCTATTTCAAAATTATTTTATTTACAATTTACTGAATTATTTACAAGTTGTAATTTACATCTTTTTCGATTTCGTAATCTTCTTAGATGTGGTGGTTGATTGTTTAGCTCTCTTTTCAATTGAATTTTTCGATGATCTTTTCACTGAAATTTGTTTACCATTTAAATTTGCATAATGATAATCAATATTATTACGATGTCTAGTTCCACTTATAATATTAGATGTATCAATATCAAATAATGGTAATCTTTTAGATAAATCAATTGGTTTAGATCTTGACCAGACTGTTTTTGTTGGAATTCTATCTTTGGAAGATGAAGAAGAATTTGATGAAGTATTTCTTGCTGGCATTTTGCTCTTAGGTTTGTTATTAGGTTGTTTTGTTTTGTTTTGGAAATTTCATCATCCTTTAGAACAATTATCTATTTATTTCCGTGATGATTTCCACTAATTTTGTGATTCCGATTTTTAGTGGATTTTCCACTCATCACAAGAAGTTTGAATTTTTCTATTAATATTTTGATGAAGGAAATTTAATGAAAATCAACAAACAAAAGAAAACAAACAACAATAAGAAAATGGTCTCAACAAGAAGAAATATGTATAATTCCTCCTCACAATTTAATTCCGAAATTTCTATGGATAATATTGTTGGAGGAACAAGAAAAAGAAATTTAATTGATTACAAAACATTGAATTCTATTGGAAGTGAAACAAGTAAAACTTCCAAATCTCAATCACATAATACTTTAGAAATGAGAAACAAACAATTCAAAAAGTGGTAATCTCCATATAACTCAAAATTTTGTAAACCTAGGCAAATCATTGTAAATAAAACCTAACAAATTGTTGAAATTAAAATGAAATTAAAAAGACTACAGCACCACAGGTTCCCAAGTTGTCTCCAACCTCAGTACTGATGTGGCTCGACGATGCTTAACTTCTCAAATCGGACGGGATGAGGTGCATGAATCGTGATATGGCCGTAGCCATATATCATCTAAAGTTGAGAAATATCAATCATTGAGATACCTTGACATTCACCCTTGGAAATATTAACCGATTTGATCCCCTTCCTAATCCCTAAAAACCTTAGAAAATAAGAATAAGAATAAGCGAGATGTGTGAGTGTTTACAAAACAAATTTCAAAGTTTCTTTTAATTTATGTACAGGACCTAGATTTTATTGAATTTAATAATCGGCTGGTTGTTCTTCACCTTCAGCACCTTCATTTTCATCAAATTCACCTTCTTCTTCAGCAGTGGCATCTTGGTATTGTTGGTATTCAGAAACCAAGTCATTCATGTTGGATTCAGCTTCAGTGAATTCCATTTCATCCATACCTTCACCGGTATACCAATGCAAGAAAGCCTTTCTTCTGAACATGGCAGTGAATTGTTCAGATACTCTCTTGAACATTTCTTGGATAGCAGTAGAGTTACCAATGAAAGTAGCAGCCATCTTCAAACCTCTTGGTGGAATGTCACAGACTGATGACTTGATATTGTTTGGAATCCATTCAACAAAGTATGAGCTGTTCTTATTTTGAACGTTGAGCATTTGTTCGTCAACTTCCTTAGTACTCATTCTACCTCTGAACATGGCAGAAGCAGTTAAATATCTACCGTGTCTTGGATCAGAAGCAGCCATCATATTCTTAGCATCGAACATTTGTTGGGTCAATTCTGGAACAGTCAAAGCTCTATATTGTTGGGAACCTCTTGAGGTCAATGGGGCGAAACCAATCAAGAAGAAGTGGAGACGTGGGAATGGAATCAAGTTAACAGCCAACTTTCTCAAATCAGAGTTCAATTGACCTGGGAATCTCAAGCAACAAGTAACACCAGACATGACAATAGAGACCAAGTGGTTCAAGTCACCAAAGGTTGGTGTAGTAAGCTTAAGGGTTCTGAAACAAATATCGTACAAGGCTTCGTTATCAATACACATGACTTCATCAGCATTTTCTACAAGTTGATGGACTGAGAGTGTGGCATTGTATGGTTCAACGACGGTATCAGAGACCTTTGGAGATGGGAAGACAGAGAAGGTCATCATCATTCTGTCTGGGTATTCTTCTCTAATCTTGGAAATCAACAAAGTACCCATACCAGAACCAGTACCACCACCCAAAGAGTGAGCAATTTGGAAACCTTGCAAACAATCGCAAGATTCAGCTTCCTTTCTTACGACATCCAAAACAGAGTCAATTAATTCAGCACCTTCAGTATAGTGACCCTTAGCCCAGTTGTTACCAGCACCAGTTTGACCAAAGACAAAGTTATCTGGTCTAAAGATTTGACCGTATGGACCAGCTCTAACAGAGTCCATTGTACCAGGTTCCAAATCCATAAGAATAGCTCTTGGGACATATCTACCACCAGTAGCTTCATTATAGTAAACGTTAATTCTTTCTAATTGCAAATCAGAGTCTCCGTGATAAGCACCAGTTGGATCAACACCATGTTCATCAGAAATGACTTCCCAGAACTTGGCACCGATTTGGTTACCACATTGACCGGCTTGAATGTGAACAATTTCTCTCATGGTCGCGACTTAGGGGTTTTGTTATATTTTTTTTTGTTTTGAGGCAAAAGCCAGATCATGCCAGGCTTTAAGGATTATTGCTTGTTTGTATTTTTGAGTACGATTTGTAAACAAAACATTTTTGGCGGAAAAACTACAATAAATTTTGGCGGGTTATCGTTTCACCAAATTTGAACTGCAACTGCTGTAACTGCTTGTATGAAGATGTTTTGGCGCCATTTCCAGACACGTTCAAATGTGCATTGAAGGAGATTTCAGGTAATGAATGGACTGATAACTTTTAGAGATGTCTGATAATGAAAATTGAAAAGCAGTTGCTTGTTGATAGATAGTAAGTGAAAGAGATGGAATGGTTGAAACAGCAAATAGACTTGCCAATTAAATCGAATTTACGAATTGATTTAGGAATGCACTGCATGTACAACAATGCTTCCATCCGATATTTCACTGTTCCAATTATCATGTTCCCTGATTGCTTAGTATTGCTTAATGATGTTTATACATTCGGTCAATTGAGAATGATGAATAATCAATTATTACTAATTAAATAATATTAATAATATCCTTCAATTATTAAATAATTAATTTTCAATAAAAAAATAAATGATGAAAATTTGATTCAAATTGAAAATATATTTACAATATAATGAAAATGCTGATGATTCAATATCAATCCTATAGTCAATATTATTTTCTAAAATTGTTAGACCTCGTAGAGTATTGATATAAATCCTGATTAGGTCCTAAACTATACCTATTTCCTGGATGATTGGTGTATGTTGTTGTGGATGTGGAGGGAGAAGTAGAATTTGGAAGTGAGAGACCATTCGATTGCTGTTGCTGCTGCTGTTGTACATAGGCAGATCCATGGTAAGCCGACCCCAAACTAAATCTATTACCTGCCTGATTCAAGTATCCAGCCACTGACTTTCTATTACCAGGAACCATCAATGAGGGAGAGTCATAATGTAAGCTTCCTCTATATCCAGGTGGATATTGCTGCTGAGCAGATAATTGTTGAGCGAGAGGTGAGGAATCATTGATGGACATGGTATTCATACTTCCTATCAAACTACGTGGAGTGCTGGAGTTGGAATCAGCTCCTCCACCAGTTCCAAAACGTGGACTGTTAGTGAGAGAGGACATGTCGGAAGAGTAGTCCACTTCACTTCGAGGAGAGTAATAGTATTCACCACTTCCCATATTATTGCCACTTCGAGGAGAGTTTTCAAAGAATATGCCACTTCTTGGTGTATTGGAATTGGAATTGTTTGAGTGATTTGGAGATGGTTGAATGGTAAATTGTGGAATATTTGGATTCTTTTCAAGCATGATTGGAGGAATGTGTAAATTATGATGTTGATGACTATTCTGATTATTACCATTTGAAAATTCATCCATTGCCATGCTGTTATTATTAATATTACCATTAGTATTATTGGTTTGTTGATGAGATGGGAAATTAAACATGGATTGTTGTCGTTGATGATCCAATAACATGGAAGGTGATGGTAACAAGTTGGTATCTGACAAGGATTTGGTATGCTGATTGAAAAGTGGTTGAATTCTCATACTTCCTCTATTGTAATGTCTATTTACAGTTTGTGGATCCAATTGAGATCCAATAGAATTGTTAAATGTACTCATATTCAAATGATTCAAAACTCCACTCTCTCTTGGAGAGGATTCCACAGAATTGGTATTTGAATTACCAGTTGGTATCTTTCCATCCAATCGATAGGCATCCAATGATGCAACATTTCCAGAGAAGCCATAACTCCCATTTTGTTGCTGTTGTTGCAATGGAGTTGGAATTTGAGATGATGAGGCAGCTCTATTAAAACTATTTCTAGGACTAAAGCCACTATTTGGATTCATACCATTGTTGTTTTGAAGAGTTTGATTTGGAGAGGATTGATCCATTACTTGCTCTGGATGCTGACCACGTGGACTCTTATAGGGATGATAATTGTAAGAGTGAGGAACTTGTCTTGGAGAACGATCACCACTGTACATGTTATTATATTCATTTGGATTGAGCATTGAAGCGTCACTTGTTGACATTATTTCACTACCTTGGAATGAGCTCATACTATTTGAACTGCCTCCGCTCAATCCTTGATTCAATCTCTTAATAGATGAGAAGGATGGTAAATTAGCACTAGAGTGTCTCTTGAAATTCATTGAGGCATTTCTAGCATTTCCCATTTGTGGTCCACCAGCACCTACATTAGGAAAGAAAGCTTGCTGATGAATACTTGCTGGTGATTGATCCCCAGCACTACTATCATCCATCATTGAGTTGGTATTATTACTGCCATCGTTGGACATGAAATGAACCCAATATCTCTTGGTGAGAATACGTTTTTTACGAATGGTACTCTTGCACTTGTCTTCCATTCCCAATTTTTTACATCTATCACAAGGTCTATTAAATTATTTCAATATTATTATTATTATTAATAATTAAGGGAATTTGAAGATTCATTGAAAAGTGAATTTGTGAAAAATTCAGAAAAATTGTAAAATATTAGCAATGAAAGCAGTTGTCCAAAGATGGTACATTTAAATTCACACATTGTCATTCCATATTACCACAATACATAAATATAAAAGGATGACGAGCGCACATGGTCGCAACAATAAAATGAAAGTTGACGAATCACATGTAAACAAAATTGATATCAATTAGCAAATAACAAACCTTTCTCCAGTACAAGCTTTGTGTGCTTTTCTACATTCTGTACATGCATAATTCATTCTTCTACTATTTCCACTACCATTAGAAGAAGTTGGTTGACCATTTTGTTGGTCGTTAGTTTTAGCTTGTTGAGGTGTCATTTCTAATTCCTCTTCTCCACCTGATAATTCTTCGTTATTTCCCATCATCATATTGGAGGCATCTTGTTCATTTACAAAGGAAAGTGGTGGTTGAGAGAATTGTCTGGCGAAACGAGGTGAAAAGGACGAATCGTTTAAATTGGACGATTGTATGTGATAGGGAGAGAGAGTAGAAGTGGAAGGGAGGGATTTTCTAGCAGATGGATTTCTATTATTCAAATGTTAATTGTAATAATAATTAAATTATTGTTTGGTCTATGAAAAATGTTATCCGAAACTAAACTTACAAATTTCGAATAGAATTTGATGATGAAATTGGTACTGTTTGATTATTATTATTTGAAGAAGAGAATGGAATAGAACTTCCTTTTAACTGTTGATTTCCACCACCTCCACTGAGAATATCGAGAATCCCAATATTTTGATTTCCCGAATTTGTTTGTTGTTGTTCTGAAAGTTGGATGAAATTATTAGAAACATGTTGACTATAGTTATTATTATTATTGCTATTACTATTATTCATGATGTTGCTGTTATTGGATTGAAGTGCTAATGGTGGAGGTTGAGAAGTAGTTGTGGATGACATACCGAATCTATTCGAATCTAATGGTGTATTAGAAACTGTTGGTTCTGTCATGATGATGACGATGAGATGATGGATTAGTTTTTAAAGTTTGAAGCTGATTGATTCGTCTCGAAAATAGACGAAAGTAAAATTAAACCTAGTGGAAAATTGTGTTGTGGTAAAATTAGCAATACTGAAATGGATGAAAGTTAATAGTCTAAACACTTTAATATTGACACAATTTTTTATGAAATGTCAAATTGATGAATTTAATTGTGACAAGCTTATTTTCAATAACAAGTCGCTTGTGTACTGTCAACAAATGTCAACTGTTTCAACTTGATAGGGCATTCGTATTGAGGTTGCTGTTTTTGTTCTTTCGCTACCGATTTTCTATAATTTCTTTCCACATTGCGAGATTAAGAACCTTTCGAATAGTTTTCAGCTCATCATTTGATACCAATCACACATAGAGAAGGATGACGTCTAATAAGCTTGAAGTTTTCAAATTGCAAAATCAGTAACTATTTGATGCATTCTCGATCAGGAATCGTCAAGTGAAGAATTGAGAAAATTTCGTTTCTTGGTCGTTGAGTTAAATTACTGGAAAATAACTGAAATTAATGACTCGAGAATCCACCTATTGGTTAGATATCACAATAGGAAGTAGAGTCATTGGTTGTTATTGGCAATTACATTTTACATTCGATTTGTCAAACCTCTGATTACTTTCATGTTGTTTTTCCTTCAAAACTTTGGCTATTTTCAAATATTTTTCTTATTTTTAAATTTTTCAAAATCAAAAAAATAGATCGTCAACCATCACAGATCATCTCGTGATCATCATTTTTTTATTATAATTTGATATAATTTGATAATTATTGACAAAGAGAAGATACTTATTGTAATATTTAATACAAATTGAAAAAGAAGAGCAAATTAATTTGGCGATCATCTAGATGGATAATTTACAAAAGGACACTGAATACAAAATTGAAGTTGGAGAAACAATTTCCAATAACAATACATCATCCTCTAATACTGAATATCACTCACTCTTCTTTAATTTCAAACCAAAAACATTAAAGGAAAACAATTGGGAAGGAAGCTTTGATATTGACTCGAGTGTTGTCGACAGTTACACATCAGCCTCTCCAGCAACACTGACAGCAAACTCCAAGTTTGTTTTCAAGGGATCCTACGTACCAAATAACAAATCCAATGTACATGAATGTGTATTAATTTATGATAGATATAGTGGGACATTTAGATTGGAAAAGTTGAAGGCAACAACAGGTTTTACAAATCTTGTGGACACGAGTAATCCACCTCCTTCACTTGCTCACAGTTCTTCCACTGGAAAGCTCAAAACAGCTGGAATTACAGAAACTATTGTGCCATCGAATCGGTCAGTTCAATTGTTAGGTCAACCAAAACAAACGACTCCACCAAAGAAAGTTACACCACCTCCTAATAATTTGGATATTGATGGACCAATTTCAAAGAAGAGAAAGGAAGAAACTATTCTTCCTCCAATTGTTATGTCTCAACAACAACAACAACAACCAATTTCCATGATGTCCATGGCCACAACACAACATTTACCTCCGCGTCCAATGGGTTTAGGACAAAAACCAGGAGAGATTGATGCTAAAGCAGCTCTAGATGATTCAAGTGCCAGTGATGATTCTGATTCGAGTGATAGTGATACTTCATCAGATGATACATCCGATGACTCTGATTCAAGCTCTGATGAAAGTGATTAAATTGTTTTTAATAGATATTGGCAATCATATGATTAGAAAAGAACAAATGATCATTTGCTAATTCAATTAGAAAGAGTTTGATATCCAACTAGCCACCACAGCTTCATCAAAGCCTAACGGAATTTCAATTAGTGATCAAGATGATGAAGAATTATTAGAAAAAATTAATGATGATGAATTGGAAAGGATATTATCAATGTACTGGTGCAGTGCTACAAAATCATCAGCGATATCATTTATCACGATCTGTTGTTATATTTCATAATATAATAATAAATAATTATAATACAAATAGATTATCATCATTCATCAGCAAGAGCAATTTAAATATTTAAGAATATTAAGAAGGCCAGCTGTTGTCAATATTATCATCAGAGTAAAAAGCAACAACATTCGGATGAAGAGTCAATCGATATTCTCTCCTTCACAGAATTTGAGCAGTGGAATGCTCAGCAAGTGGCCTCTGTTCTCTGCACTAGAAGAAGAATAATTAAATCCAATATAAAAACAAATCAAAGCAATGAAGAAGAAACAACACAGTTGAATACCAGCTGCAACCTAGATGAAGAAGATGAATCGGAATTAATATTATTCAAGGAGGGAGGAGTTGGATTGTGGTCCTATCATGTGAAACCACTCTTTGATGAAGGATTTTGTGGAGATGATTTGCTGTGGATAAGGAATAATATTGAGAATGGAGGAATGAAGTTTGCTTGTTCTGAATTGACTCAGAGATTGAGAAGGAATGAGAAATTCTTGCTGGATGAGGAATATTGTAGAGAAATTGTAACGTGGGTTGAGGAATATTTGAGAGAACCTGAAGAATCTCTTATTGAGATTTCTCTGGTTGACTTTGAAGAATTGGAACAATCAGTGAGTATTAAAATTATGCTGGATTTTGAAATATTTAATGAAATTCAAGATGGATTATGTGATACATAGAGTAACGAGTGGTGTGGATATTGTAAAGAAATTCTCAGAATTGAAATCAATTGAGGAAATGGCTTTTAAGAGTGAGAGTAAGTTGTTTTGAAAATAGTTCTGATTGTGTGAAATTTTGAAAGACGAGAAATTGAAACAACAGTTGGGAGGTTTGTTTAAAAATCCTTGGCCATTCACGAGTTCTGGATTAGATTGGAGGTTCTATCCACTATTGATTGAATCTTTTCAGGAACGAAACTCTGAGAATGAAATTCTAAACATTCATCAATATTTACAAACCAAGATTAAGGAAAGTGATAGAAAAGGAGCCATGTACATACTCAATTCGCCCCATGGAAGTGGAAAATCCTTCTCCATTTCACACATTGCTTGTACTAATACGGCATTTTTGTTGAATATTGAGCTGGGTCTGGCAAGTGATGCCATTCTAACCTTATTAGCGAGTTTCTTAGAGGTAGAGTCGACACATGGTAAGAAACAGAGTCGGCACAATTCAACTGAACTCTTGTTCATGATTTATAATTCTCAACTCATCCTAATGCAAACCCTTTTGAAAAACAATCCAAATAATTTTACTCCTTTTAATTGGTGGATTTATGTAAATAGTGCAATTGGAAGAGAACATTTCAATAGTGTCTTCAAACAATTACTGGAATACGAGACAGCCAATGTGCATTTTGAATCTTACAAATTATTCAAATATTTACAAAGGACTATTCGTGAAAAAATTGGTCAAAAACCTTTGATTTTCGGCATTGATGATATGGGAGTGATTGGAACTCTAAATGATGGTAAAACCAAGAGTAAGCTGGATCCTTCCACTTTGATTGGAAAGGTTTTCAATAGTCTTCTCTCCTATCCTCACAATAGTGCTATTATATCTGGTAGTAATATTTCACAAAGCTCAATTAGACACCTGACTGGAGAATTGAAGAGAGATTATCAAATTATCTCAGGATATGGAGTGGTTGGTTCCAGTGAGGTTTACAATTTTATTGATAAGCTGTTGAATGTGAAAAAGGTTTTACCTGATTCGTATGTGCAAATTTTAGCCAGTTTGGCAAAGGGAAGAAGAGGAATATTATTTGAATGGTTGGAAAGTATTATAGCTTGTCCTCCATTTGATTCATCACAAACTTCACTTGAAGAGTGGTCAACTAGAATGCTTACATCATCTCTGGAGAATGTTATACAGTCACATTATTCAATGTATAAGAAATGTCTCAACGATATGAATACGAAAGATATGGATGTGGCATCTTTGAAAAATGATGTGATGCAAAATCTTTCACTAAGGGGATTTATCAACGTAGACGAGTTGAATCATCAATTGGGACTGGTAACAAGAGGAGTGAATCACCTGTCTCTTCTCAATTTTATTACTAATAATGAGCTGGCTTTTACAGTGCCTTCATTATCAGATTCTTCACAGTATTACAAGATACCTGAGCCGCTACTAATGTACTCAGTTAACAAGGCACTAAATTTGGAGGATCTCATTCGAGTTTCCAATAGTTGGCTTAAGAAAGTCTTGAAAAGATCTGATACAAATGAAAGAGGATTTGCTATTGAAATAGTTTGTGGATTGGTAATGGCTAAGATTTCAAGAGAATTGAATGGAAAACCACTCACAGATCATGTGCTTTTCAAATCATCAAATAGTGAAGAATCATTTCTTTGCAATTTTACACTCAACCCTAATTTAATGCTTATTCAAAGTGAGGATATTTGGAAAGTATTAATTGGATCTCACAAATATGATTACAAATTTACAGATATTGATATTAGCTCATTTTATGGAACAAGTTTGGATATTAATTTGAGGTGGGATGGATTATTATTGGGACAACCAATTAAATCGGATCAGAAACCACTTATAATAACATGTGGAGCCAAGATGATTAATAGTGCAATTCATCCTGAGCAATTTCTCATGAATTTACAAAGCACTAGTATTTCGAATGGATTCATGACTAAAGACCTGAAACGAATTCAACCTAAATGCGAAGAGGATAGAAAGTTCTTGACCTCAATGCTGAATTCTAATCCAAATCAAGATGTTTGCAATTTGAGAATATTGTTTGATTATACAGCAGATGCCACTCATTTCGAATATTTGACATCTAAGGAAAAGATTCCTACTGATATCGAACCTCGCATCAAATCAAAGGTTGTTGTATTGAGTAGACACAATCCTATATTCTATCAATGGTTCAAAGAATCTCTTCCAGAAACATTTGAAATATTCGAAAGATATTGGTACAAATATTGTTACATTAGATAATTCCAATAAAATTGTTTCAATAAATTAGTTTTTAAATTAAAATTTACAAATCAAGTCCAGTATAATACAAGAACAAGTAGACCAATCTCATGTACCAATAATCAATTATTAAATGTGGAAGATTATTGCTTGAGAAGATTTGTTCACAAATAGCATCGCCAATAACCTTTGGTGGTTGAGCATTTCTGAGAATGGCAGCAGATTTCTTTTCCCTAATAACACCAATTCTTCCAAATTCAGTATCTGCTTGAGGTTTCAGATTCAAAATGGCAGTCTTGGAAAATCCTGGCTCAATACAAGTAACTCTCAATCCCTTCTTTCCAAGAGATTTCATTTCTCTTCTCAATGAATCGGTAAAGCCAACCATGGCAAATTTGGAACTTGTGTAAAAACCAAAGAAACCCAAAGCTAACAAACCAGCAACTGAAGCAACGTTGATAATGGCACCATTATGGCCATCTTGACCGTCCTTCATGAGTGGATACAACAAACGAGTCATTCTCACGTGACCAAATAGATTTGATCCAAAAACATCCAACAATTCATCCTCTGGATATTCAACAATACCCATTCTTTCAGTACATTTTGGAGAATTTGAAACACCTGCATTATTGACCAATGCAAAAACTCTATCAGTTTTCCATTCCTTCAAAATTTGTGCAATTCTTTCACTAGCTTTTTCACACTCTTCCAATTTGCAAATATTGCATTCGATAAATGACAATCTTTCACTTCCATATTGTTTCAATTCTTCACTATAAACCTTTTCCATCACTTCCTTTGAAATATCCAATCCAATCACACGTGCATTGAATCGAGAGAGCAAATCCCTGCAAATTGCAGTTCCAAAACCTCCGGCAGCTCCTGACACAACCACCACACGATCACGAGATGGAATATCGAGCTTTGGCTTGGTACGTACAAATCTCAAGTAGTAAATAGTAGCAGCAATGATGAGCGAGATGGCAATACAAGTTAGTGTGCACATTTTTTTTGATCAGTAGTTGATGAGTGTCGATGTGAAATTTTGTATCTTGCCAATATGGAAAGGATTCTTGTTGGCAGAAGATGAAAGTAATTTGTAAATATGAAGGGAGGACCTGTTGAAAAGACGCGATGATGAAGGGATAATAGAATAAATAGATACTGTTGCATTCGTAAAGTATGATGTGAAAAATTGTTTGAGGATGGATTAGAATTATGTAGTGTGAAAGAATGGTTTGTAGGTATCTAAAAATGGGAGTTTGAAGAAAGATTACACTAAGGTGAGTATGGTATGAGAATTAAGGTATCTATTCATGTAAAAAGTCCGTATTGTAAACTACAAGTATTCTCAATCAATAACAGTTATTAGCGTCATTTTAAAGATTGAGAAAGAGATCAATATTAGGCAGTGGGAGAATGGTTCAGTATTTATCTTAAAGTGGCAGTCTTGAAGAGCAATCTTGCGAATACTCTAACAAATAGCAAGCATGGTATGAGAAGGAGAAGGAGTGGAGCACACAAAATCATCAAACCAATGAGAAGATAATCACTCACGACTAATGTAAAGGTAGCACGCAATGCCAAAGTGCTCAATTGAAAAGCAGATTTCCCATCATTGTTCTTCATTTCAAAGAGAATTACATCGTCAGTATCTTGAAAGTTTTGTTCGTGCCCAATTATGAGAAGTATGGAAGCAATCTTGTTAACAATTGAATTGTTGGATCGAATAATTTCGTGGAGAATATTGTTACCTGTGGATGGATCTTGGAATCTGAGAATTTGTGAGCTCTTTCTATTCAAATCATCATAGTCTTGAGGATCGAGAATATCCTTGGCTTCTCCCAATTTTGCCATGAAGAGGCCCCACATGATGAGCATTGGATTGATATTGCCATCCAAAACTCGTTCAATAATTTTAGAAGTATCCTCAAAGACAAGGGATCTTAAAAAGAATGGAGTGTTGCCTGGATAGATTCTAATGGAATCCAAGAGCAAGTTGCTTTCGTCACTTTCAAATAAATCAAGCATCCAATAGAATTCCTCCCTCAAAACATCTGGATTATTGCACTTACCCAAATGAATATAAAAAGCAACGAGAAGGGTTGTCAAGTATTTGTGATCTGGGTCCAGTTGATCCAATTTCATTTGTGTTCTATAAAAATCCAATCCAAATGTCTGTCTAACCTTGAGTGGAATATCAATATCATGTTTCTCTCCAAACTCAATCAAGTACAACATTTCAGGAATTAAATACTTGTAATTCTCACTCAAAATCTCAAAAAACCTTTCATCCTTCAACATGACATAATGATACTTATTTACCAAAACTCTAAAATCATCATCGCATGGATAAAACTTTTCATCAAAATCTCTGTCATCATCCATATTCCCCAATCGATTCTTTAAAACCTTAAAAAGCATATCCTTTGCATTCATAGATTCATGAGTAATGGCCAACAACTTTCTCTCTTCAATAATTGAATTCAACAATTGTTCCGAATATTGTTCAGCCTTCCACATTTCTACTTTATTCTTTACATGGAGAGGTTCCAACAAATCGATCCATTGCTGAATAAATAATCGATAATTAGTACATTGACTCGTTCTAAATTCTCTTTTAATATTATTATTATTGCTGGAATTAATTATTAAATTATTATATGAATTATGAAAAGTCGGAATTTTGCAAAGGCTTTGATTTTTATATAAATTCGGAGTAATTATTGAAGAGCAGTGCTGATGATTGAATTGGCTTACTTTCCATGCTGATGATGAAAAAGCTCCTCCCTTGCAAAGTCTTTTAATCATTTTTTTAAATAATAATAATTCCATTTTGCTAAAATATTGAAAATTAAATAAATTATTGTTTTTTAGTAAAATAAATAATCTTAATAAGAACAATCCTTCCAAACACACATCAACACACAATAGGATCCATATTTTCCGTTTGGCCACTCGTCTTTGTAAAATCCATTCCAATGCTCGTTACAATCAGGAGTTCCTCATCACACCTTGAAAGATCAAAGAATAGAGTGCAACTAACCGATGCATATCTATCTCACATCACAAAAAAAGAATCTACAACATGTCAAGAGGCGAATCTTTGCCAGTAGCAAGAATGAAACGTGCAGTGTCGGTTGCTGTTGTTGTCTTGTTAGTTTGTTTGTTGTTGATCAACAGTTATTGTAGTGCAAGAGTTTCGTCTATTATTCGTGGAGTTTCTTCATCATCTAATGGTGGATCATCGGTTTGTAGAGCTTTGGCTCTTGGTGGAGGAGGCGATCGTGGAGCTTATGAAGCTGGTGTTTTAAAGTATTTGGGTAGGTTTCCAATGCAATATCCGAAATCTAATAATCAATATCACCAGTTGAAAATATAAATCCAGAACAAGTTCAATATCAAGTCATTGGAGGAATCAGTGCAGGAGCCATTAACTCTGTAGCACTCTCTCAATACAAGATTGGAGATGAAAAAGCTGCAGTTGCATTCATCTTGAACAAATGGTTGAGTTTACAAAAATCTCAAGTTTACAAAGATTGGCCATTGGGTATTGCTGAGGGATTTCTTATTAAGAGTGGATTGTTTAATACCTCTCCTTTACATAATTTCCTTACTGCCAATGTAAATGTCACAAAAATTAGACAATCTGGCAGAAGTTTACTTTTGGGAGCTACGAATCTTGTGACGAATTCATACGAAAGATTTGATCAATTTACAGATGATTTGATTGAGGCAACTAGAGCTTCAAGTGCAGTTCCTGGAGTATTCGAAGCAGTTCCACTCACAAAGAATGGCAAGGAATCTCTCTATGTGGATGGAGGTGCCAAATACATGACACCAGTTTCAGATACAATTGCCGAATGTTTCAGAAAGACTAATGCCTCTCGTGTTGAAGTTGATGTCATCTTGGCCATTGGTGATTTACAATTTGGAAGTCATGACATCTTCAATAAGGTTCAAACTACACCATTCATCTTATTGAGAACTTTATTTGGAGTTGTGGATGATATCTTTACAAAAGATATTGAGAATGCTCAGAATGCATTTGGTAATCGTGCTACTATTAGAGTATTCAAGCCATCGAAATGGTTGCCTGGATACTTTTTAGGTTTTACAGATGCTGCTGAAATGATTCAACAAGGATATCAAGATGCTGCCAATGTTATTAAGAAGTAAAACTGTAGAGTAAAAAAATTGTAATTTTAGTAATTTTTTGTAGTTTTTAGTGGATTTGGTGTGAAAAGATTATTGTTTTTGGGTTGGTGATAAAGTGTACCAATTGAAGGTTTGATTTGAGCTGTTATCTTGAATCTTCACCTAATATGGACAGTCTCACAAAAATAGAAATAATAACGGCTGAACTAGGACAAAACCAAAACATGTTAAAACTTTGCAGTATACACTATAACACATGTAGATTGATATTCTATTGTGAAGTTTCCAATAGCTGATTGTTATTCTATGAAAAGGTCAATTCGAAAAAAAGTCAAGAATTTATGTGAACTTTTTCAACTTGCATTTTAAATTCACAACATTGTAATGGCTCATCGACATGTTATACTTTATTTCGTTCATTTATAGCTCTATATTCACGTCACTTTGTATGTTGATTTTCATTTCCTACAACTTTCATCAAAAATCACTCAGTAACTATTTCACAATCTTACAATGTGTGAAAATTGTGATTTTCTACTAGTGACTGGAAATTTTTTATTTTTAGATGTTAAACAAAAAAAGATCCCAGCGTAATCCTTTAATAAAATTCTACGCGCCATTTTTTTGTGGAACAAAATTATTTTCAAAAAAAATGAGCACAACACCAAAGAAAATCCAAACTCCAAAGAAGACTGACGCAGACTTGAAGTCGCCAGCCAAAACACCATCAAAAGCTTTAGCTCCAGCAACAACACCAAAGAAGACACCACACAAAATGGAAGATGAAGATTCTGTTGTTTTAGATTCTGTTCCAATCACACCAAAGAAGACTCCACTCAAGGCTTCATCTGCTGTTGTTGCATCATCACCAGTAGCCAAACCAACACCAAAGTCTGCCACTAAACTCAGAACACCTATCAGTACACCAAAGAAGGTTCCATTCGCTGATTCTAGCGATTCTGAATCCGACTCTTCTGATGAAGAAAAAGCCACAACAGAAAGCACTGCTGAAAAGTTGAAGAAAAAGACTTCTCCTTCTGCTTCTTCTGTTAGTGGTAAGAGAACACCAATTAGTACTCCAAAGTCTATTCCATTCGCAGATTCTAGTGATTCCGATTCTGATGATGAAGATGATCATCATGATGAACCAATTGCAGTCAGAACTGAAAGACTCGGCACTCCACCAAGAAAGGAAGTTGTTTCATCTGTTGTTGTTGATATTGCTGCTGAACCAGTTGCTACTAATACTGCCACTCCAAAGAAAGCTTCCACTCCAGCTAAACCATCCAATTTGTCACTCCCAACAAATATGGCTGATAGTAGCGATGATGAAGATGTTCCAGCAAAGGTTAAACGTACTCCAATTTCTACTCCTAAAAAGGTTCCATATGCTGATTCAAGTGACTCTGATTCTGACGAAGATGATGAAGATGTCAAAATGACTGAAGCATCTGAAACCACAAGTACCAAACCACTCACACCTTTAAAGAAGGCTTCTCCAGCCTCTGTCTCAGGAAAGAGAACACCAATCAGTGCTCCAAAATCAGTTCCATTTGAAGATTCCAGTGATTCTGACTCTGATGATGAAGATGATCATCACGATGAACCAATTGCAGTCAGAACTGAAAAGCTCGGTACCCCTCCAAGAAAGGAAGTTTCAATTCCATTCGAACTCGACGAAGAAGAAAAATTGGAAGATGAAGAACACGATTTGGAAGTTATGAAATTGTCAGAAGAAGAAAAGAAGCGTAAGCATGATAAGGTTGAATCCTCCACCACTGACTCTTCTGAACCAGAAAATAAGAAGAAGAAGTATCAACATGCTCAAAAAGTTGGTATATCTGAAAAGTTCTTACTTGAATCTCTTCAAAAGACTTATCCATCTATTAACTTTGCTGCTGTTCAAGCCAAGAATGTCTATTTCCATACCTTCTTTGAAACTCAAAGAGACAGAAGTGATTTTGGTAATCTTATTGGAAAGGAAAAGGAAAGCTTCTATCCTTTCAATGAAGAAAGAAGAAAGCAAAAGGAAGCTCGTCAACAAGCCAAGAAGGAAAAGAAGGCTCAAGAAGAAGGATCAACTGAAACTAAACCAAAGACTGACAAGCCAAAGAAGGCTAACAATAAGAAGGACAAGCCAAAGAATAACAACAAGAAGAATGAAAAGAGAAAGGAAATCAAGGCCAAGAAGAATAATAAGAATGACTCCAAGAAGACTGAATCCAAACCAGTCAAAGAAGAAGTCAAACAAGAACCAAAGCAAGAAATTAAACAAGAAGTTAAGCAAGAAGTCAAAGAAGAAAAGAAACCAGCCACTACCACAATCACCAAACCATCTGGCTTGAAAATCAAAAAAGCATCTGATGCCCTTAAAAAATAAATGTAAATAATACGAGCTTGTACATAAGAAAATCTTTATAAAAAATTTTAAGGATGTTTAGGGGTTCTTTATTGGTTGTTGTTTTAGCAGCAGTAACCTTAATGTTCTCTGCTATAGTAGCTATGGGAGAAATGGCATCTCATCATGAACCAATTCATGACCATCATGTTATTCACTCCATCAATAACAATCCGAAATCATCATGGAAGGCAAAAGTCTATGAAAAGTTTGCTAATATGACTGTCGGAGAGTTTAAGCAAGTATGTTTTCTCTATTCATCATCAATTTATATTATCATCACGATGTTATAATTGTATACGGAGGATAGAAATATTTAGGAGCAATTCATGAAGAAGCTATAACACCATCATCAAAATCAAGATTTAGCATCGTAACTGGACCACCAACTGCTTACACACCACCAACTAATTTCGATTCGAGACAAAAGTGGCCTCAATGTGTGCATACTGTGAGAAATCAATTGGATTGTGGATCTTGTTGGGCTTGTAAGTAATTTCAATTTGGCAATGGAAGTTTGGATTGAGTTCAATGATTTAGTTTCTGCCACGAAGGTGCTTTCAGATAGATTTTGCATTGCTAGTAATGGTTCTGTGAATGTAATCATGTCTCCTCAATATCAAATTGATTGTAATATGGATAATCTTGGATGTAGTGGAGGAAGTCTACCAAAAACATGGAATGTAAGTTTCATTTCTCACTGATTATTCGAAACTCTTGCAGTTCTTGACCAATGTTGGATCAGTTTCTGAACAATGTAGACCTTATAAAAACAATGATGACGATGACTGTCCATCCAAATGTGTCGATGGTAAAGCTCCATCTTTCTACAAGGCAAAATCCTATGCATCCATAAAAGGATTAGATAGTATCATGTATGAAATTCAAAATTATGGACCAGTTCATGCAAGTTTGACAGTTTATAAGGATCTGATGAGCTATCAGTCAGGTGTCTATTCTCATCTTACTGGAAATGAAATTGGTGGCCATGCCATTGTCATTATTGGTTTTGGAATGGATTCACTTTCAAAGAAGCCTTATTGGATTATTGCTAATTCTTGGGGAGAAAGTAAGTTGTTCTTTTGGAGACTGTGAGTTTCTAATAATTTGATTTCTTGTTTATTTATGAATAGAATGGGGAGATCAAGGACATTTTTGGATTTTGAGAGGATCTAATGAGTGTGGAATTGAGAGTAATGTATGGTCTCCAAGAGCTGATGTTGATAAATTTGTTAAATATTAAAACCACATATCTACTTGTCAGAGACAGCTCTCTAATTCTTTCTTTTTTCTTAACAGTACTTTATGCAATCAGGTGGTGTTTCTGAACAATGCATTCCAAATGTCAAGATGGATCAATTCCAACAAGTTACAAGATTTCCAACGCACCACGTCTCAGAGATGACCTCCATGATGGATTTGGAGATGATTCTCAAACAAAGAAACCTTGTTGGACAGTTGCAAACTCATGGTCTGAAAGTAAGTTGAATAATTTATGTTTTGAAAGATGACACTTTGAAAATTATCTTAAAATTTGTGAATTTTATTAAGGATGAGGAGAAACATTATTAGAGGAACCAATGAGTGTGGAATTGAAGGAAATGCTTGGGCTCCATCCATCGTAACTTCCAATTCTGGTAAAAAATAAAAATTTCCAAATTTGCAAAAATTCTAATAGAATTCTGAATTTTTCAGTTTGAAGTTCTAATAGAATTCTATTAATTTTTAAAAAAAAAATGGAAGAACTTCAAACTGAAAAATTCATTCACCTCCTCCAAATGCACATTTACAAAATTTCCTCTCCTCATTCCTATCCTTCAAATATTGATTTTCTTGCTCACGAATTTAAAAAACACATGATGGAGATCTGATGATTATTCCGAAGCAAATTATTTTTTCTTCGTCCAATCATCATTCCAATTACAATAATTTTGGATTTTCCAATAATTTGGAAAGTGAAAGGAAAATTTTCATTCCAGATAATTTCCATGATGAATTATTCAAGAAGGAAAAGATTGAGGAATTGGCAATTGATGAGGAACAAGTGTTTAATAATTTAAATTCAATGAATTTGATTAATTCCGAATATTATTCAGCATTTTTCATGTTACCTGCACAGTTTGTGAGTGAATGTGAGAGGATTGGATTATTGGATGGAAAATTGCAGTTACTGAATGAGAATTCTTGTTTGAAATATATTGAAAAAGGATTGAAAAGGTTGGAAATGACATCTGCCAATGAGGATTGTGAATGGTTGAAGAAGTTTATTGGAAAATCTACAATTGAAAATGGAAAATTGAAGAGAAAATGTCAGAAATTACACAAAATTTTATATGAAAACATGAACAATTTCAATATCAAAAATCAATTTCAAACAATTGACTATTCAAACATTCCACTAATGATTACAAAACACATTGAAATACTCCACAACGACAATTACTCAATAATCATGTACTATTTAAAGGATGGCAGTAGAATTTTCTGGAATACCAGACATGTAGAGAAGGCATGGAAGGAGGGAAATGAATTTCTTCAATTGATTTATGAATTATTTGTGGAAAAAGTTGAAATGAAGGAAATTTTCATTCGATTTTTCAATCCTATTGAAATACAAATTTTAGAAAAGTCATTGAAAATGTTGAGGAGATTGATTGTGTGAATAGGTTTCAATTTCAGTTTGCAGGTTGACCAATTTTACCTGTCCAAAAAAATGTCAAAACATCAAAATTATGAACACCACAAAGAAAAACAACATGAGAATCATTCTAGATCATCATCATCAGCAAAATCTTCATCATTGTTGGAAATTTTACAAAGTTTCGGAATTATTGTCAAGACCAAAGTTTATTTTCATGATCGGAGAAGAATTGCAAATCTGGAGGAACGTCTGCTGGAGTTAAAGCACAAAATTAATCCCAAACTTGAAGGTGCCAATGACGATCTAGAACTTGAGAATCAAACCAGAAATGGAAATATACTAATCAGCTCGAATCCACTCGAATATTTTACTAATATCAAAAGATCCAAGATTGTAATTCGATTTAAATGTGATTTTGATCATAAGAGCATTGTTAAGGATGTGAAAACTAATGTGGATTTCAATGTTGCGAGTGAAAATAAGAGAAATTTGATGTTCAATTCATATACGAATCAAGAGAGAAAGAATACGAATGTGATGCATATTGAATTTGATTTGAAATTTGATTCGATTGTGGATGTTGTAAAGTATTTGAATATTGCTGAATGTAAGAATGTTAACTTAATGTTGGAGAATGAAATTCTTTCGAGGTTGGTGGAAATTCTTGATGTGGATAATGAAAAGAAACAACTGTACATCAAACTCAAGACATTTGACACTAATTCAACCACAAACTTGTGTAATTACTTTTTAATGGGTAAAATTGATGGTAGTAATTCGTGTTTCATGCTGGATTTGACTCGCCACTTTACCTCCAATCTCAAAACTATTGACAGCATTTACAGACATTTCACACCAAACCTTCTTAAAAATCGAATCTACGACAAACATAACACAAATACCTTCCACGATTGTAAAGATGTTGGAATCTATAGAGTATTAATTGGATGTTTCTTCTATGGAATTACAGATTCGTCTGCTGGATGGTACATTAAGCGCACTCAAATTCATCCATACAATATTCTCAAAGCTAGAGTCAGTCCTGAAATAATGAATACCGGAGAATCATTTTCCATAATAGTAGAGAAAACATGTCATCATTCACAAACTCCTTTTTCGTCTAATTTGGCATATTCTACAAATGTTTCTGGAATTGTGGATGTTGGGTTTTACAAATTTGAACTCAAGTCAATTTGTGGATATCATTTTGGTGATTTGGATTTTAAAAGAGAGGTTTATCATTTTTCATTGTAAAGTGTTAAATTCTGATAAAAATGATATTACCTCATTATCTAATTTACAAGTCTTAACAATACATTAATTTAACAAATAGTGGTGGAGAATTTTGAAGTTATTGCCTCACCTTGTTCTTCATACATTTCACGGGTGACCCACTTGTCGTGGTTGTAAAAGCTTTCAGCTTCAGCGCATGTACCCATCCATACGCTATACTTGCTTTCTGGAGGGGCTGTAACACCAATTTTGTAATTATTTGGGGCAAGCTCGCCTAACTCCTTCTTTAATCTTTGAGCCAAATTTTTAAAGAGAGAAGAAGCACCTGAAAAGACAATATTCTGATACAATTGTTCTCTAGTATCCACTTCACAAGAGCTAATGCATGAATGAATAACTTCAGCCAATCCTGGGCAATCCTTACCAATCAAATGAGGTTGGAATAGAGGTTCTGGAGCTTGATACAGTTCCTTTCCAAGGGAAATAGTGCAGTCATCAAAAGTGAAAGATTGCTCTGGTGTTGTGCTTTCTTCAATATATTCATCTAGAAGGAAACACTTTGCCTTGATGGTATCAATATTCCTTACACCTTCACAATACTTTGGATCCAGTTCAGTACCAGTTGAAATTCCCTTTTTGGCAATTAATTGCCCAAGATAATTTGTTAAATCATTTCCATTTACATTTAACTTTTTGATATTTTCCTTAATTATTTTTCCATCCACCACAGGTAAAACACAGGCAACACCTGCTCCAATGCTAACATCAACACCAGTTCTGGCATATCTCCTCAAAGAAGCTCTACCCTGATTTACAAACATCACAGAAGGGCTACAATAAGTTTCGTATAATATTTCTGCCAATTTATACCTATCTTTCAATCCAAAATATGAAGAAACAGAAATAGCCATTGGATATTCAGCAACCTCAGTTCTGCATTCCTTATAGAAAGTATCCCCCAACACTGAATCCATCAAAAACCAATCAACAATTTCTCCCTCTTTCATCGGCCTTTCAATTACATCTTCCACCAACAAGCCTTTCATACTATCAAATTTATATCTAGGTTTATCATTCTTCATCACACCATTCATCACATCACATCTCGGAACGCATTCATTATTCACCAAACTAGCCTTTATTGATGATGACCCCAAATCCATCACGAACGGAAAAACTTCATACAAATCCAACATTTTTTTTTGGTTGAGTTTTTCAAAGTTCATTCAGTTTGGCGGCAAATATTTTTAAAAATTTACAATAAAAATTAATTTTAAAAAAATGAGCAATGAAGATAGCACGAATACAACAGCTGCATCATCATCAGCAACAGGAAAATCATTTGATATTGAGGTGAGGACGTACGATAATCACTCTCTGATTGTTACTGTGGAACCCGATGAAGATATTATGAATTTAAAAAATAGAATTAATTGTGAGACGAGATTTATGGAGAGAGGAGAGGTTTTGTTCTTGCATACAAAGGTGTTGCAGGAGGGTAAAACAGTTTCGGAAAGTGGGTTACAAGCTGGCTCTTTGATTAGAATACTCAGACGTTGGAGATATTAATTTATTATAATTCTGACATTTTGCAAGTAACAAATGAAAAGATAATGATTTCATACTTTACTTGTTGGACAAAGAAATAGATGAATGGTAGACTCAATAATTAATGCTCAATTGTTCATGATCACGTTGCTTTTTCCTGACAATCAGTTTCTTGATCTTGGCAATGTGAGACTTGTAATCAATGACCTTTCCTACAACTCGTCTCACTAGTGATGAAGGAGGCAATATTAAAAGAGCAATACAAGCTAAAATTCTATAGATGATACCAAATAGTGGAATAGTTATGGCCATTCGAGGGAAATTCTTGAAGGCATAGCCCATTAAATCTAAACCTGAATTTACATCATACACTTGAGAATATTTCTTCACTTCTGTCAAATAGAGAGCTTCTGTAGAATATCTCAAAAAGGAGAGGGAATAAATGTAAGGCATTGGGAAGAACATGTCATCCATTTCACTCATTGTTGGTCTAATACCTGAAACTAGATAATTAATCACAACAAACACTACTCCAGCCACCTTACTTAATGAAGCAGGGAAGATTAGTGATAATAGATAACCAATTCCATAACTCACAAAGTTTGTACTCATCAAAATAACATAGCTATTAATTGATTTGTTAAAGTTGTTCATATTACTATTTGAATGTTACTTACTATTGCCAAACCTCTCCTTGAGGGTTACTGATAATATAAAAGATGGAAATGAAGATTGCTGGTGTAATCATAATGATTGGAATTTGAATCAGATTCTTTGCCAAGAAGTACATCATTGGAGATATATTACTTTCGTACTCTCTGATAAATACTGTGATTTCATCTCCAAAATTACTCAGCGAGCTCATCAATCCACAAAGTGCCAAACCTAAGCCAAGAATAGATGCCATAGTCATGATTGGATCATTAACTGGAAGGGAACATTTGTATCTCATTACTTCAGGACATTGATCAATCACTTCGGTTGCTGGTGGTCCAATATATCTACTTTCATAGAAAATAACACCAATACTGAGACCTGCCAAGTAAACCAAACCAACATCCAAAACAAATCCAGAAGTGTCTCTAGTGAGTTGGAAGAGACATCTCTTCAAACACATCATGAATTGAGTAAAGTAACTGATCTTTCTATTGTCATTCTCCTTCTTAAATACTTCATAGGAACAATCAACACTGGTAGGTCCGCTTAATTCAGAATTTTCCACAGAATCAGCATCTTCCCTCTCAATAATTGGAGAGGTAGCACTTGATGGTGAAAGCAATGCGGAATCTTCTTCATACAAATGTCTGTGATCTTCCCACATGGTAAACAAATCTTCAACCTTAAAATCAGGATCACCTTCTCTTTCAATATTTCCAGAAATAACATCCATAATATAATCAGCAGGATTAGCATTTGGAAGAGATTTGAATCCAATACTCTCAAAATATTCCACAGCTTTAATGCTTGGACCACAATAGACAACTCTGCCTCCCTTTCCTAGCAACATGACCTTGTGGAACATGGCAAATATTTCATATCTAGGTTGATGGATAACTGTTACAACTGTAATGTGTTGATTAACAGCAACATTTCTAAGAATTTCAATAATTTCTCTTGATGTAGAAGCGTCCACTGTAATTACAATTAGAAAAACTGTCAAATAGCATTGTTAAATACTTACATCCACTAGTTGGTTCATCCACTGTTATATTATTAAAGATTCAAATTTAAGAAAGGAAGAAACAAAATACTTACAAAATAAAACACTAGGAGCTGCTGCAAGTTCAAGACCAATATTCACTCTCTTCTTTTGACCTCCTGATATACCTCTCTTCTTTTCATCACCAATAATAGAGTGTTTGACATCATCCAATCCAAGAATGGAAATTAAACTTGACACAAATTTGTCTACTTGCTCATTGGTCTTTCTCTTATCCAATCTAGTTCGAGCAGCAAAGTACAATGTTTCATAAACAGTCATTTGACTTTGCATGATATCTAATTGTGGCACAAATCCAGTCAACTTTCTAAACTTTGTCAAACTGGCTTCATTTCCATTCAGTTTGATGGTACCAGTTACATTACCATAGTATGCTTTACCACAAAGAGATGTGATGAAAGAGGTCTTACCAGAACCTGAACAACCCATAACTGCTAACAATTCAGAGTTTCTAATTTCTCCTCTGACACCACTCAAAATGTTAGTTGTCTTTCCAGATTGTTCAATGGTTAAACACAAGTCCTCAAAAGCAATATTGACACCAAATTTGCTATCTCCGTAAGATTGTCTCAAGTTCTTGGAGGCATAGGCAGATCTTACATCTTTAGAATTGGTATTGTCACCTGACATTTCCTTCATTTCCAACATGGCAGCTTCTTGATGTTCCAAATCACGTTTCTTATTACTAACAGATCTGACATATTTAATGAGCGAGTGAATACCAACAACTAACATTAAACAAATGAAAACAAAGAAGAAACCAAGAATATTAAAGTCAACATTGGATTTTCCTTCGCCACACAAAGACAACCAACCACAAGGATGAGGCATTACAGTTCCTTCTGGACAATAATGACCTTTTGGACAAATCAATTTTTCAGAAGGAGTTGAACAATAGTAGCCACCAGGACAAGCAGTTGGAATCAGAGTACCAGCAGGGCAGTACTGAGTTCTTCTGCATTCCTTAATAGATGAAGGTCCTAGACAGTAATGTCCAGCTGGACAAGGCAATTCTTCAGAAGTTCCTGTTGGACAATAGCTGCTGTATGATCCATTGTAAAAACAAGTTTTTGGTGTAATAACAAAGGGATCTGAACAGACTGTACCAGCAGGACAGTCCAAAATACTGACATTCTCAGTTCCAAATGTTGGAACATCAAGAGCTCTTGCTAAAGGACAATAATCTCCAACACTGCACTTTCTAATATCCAAATCAATTTCACTATGTCTCTCAATGTACAATCCAGGAGCAATCGGAAGAGTAGGGAAATAAGGAGCCAAAGTTACTGTTCCCTTGGAAGGAGCAAAAGGAGCAGCCAATCCACTAGCATAACAATTGTAATCGTTATCTGTACATGGTTTTGGAAGAACCATCATTGGTTTATCACAAACAAAGCCAGTGATACAATCTCTCTTGAAACCCAATGTACAAAAGCTGCCAATAGGACATGGAAGGAGTGTATTTGGTCTCTCAGTGTAAAACTTGTCAGGAACTGCTTGCAATTCATTCTTTGTCAAAGATGGACAATAAATGCCAGGGAAGCAACTTGACAGGTAGAAACCAAAGGTATTAATATTGATTGGTTTGGCTGGATTTTTGATGCACGAAGTTCTATAATCTTTGAGGAAGATATTATCTGGGTCTTCTTCCAACATATCACAAATTTCCTTGTATCTAGCTAATGATTCAATTTCCCATTTTTTCCTTGTTATGGATATGAAGATATGTTGACCATTGCCAGAAATGTATGTGTTAATGGCTCTGCCAATGAGTTGCAACTTGTTGAAAGGCTTAATGATAAGTTCTTTTGAGAGTGGATCACAAAATCTTTGTTGAACTCCCAAAACTAACAAGGCATTATTCTCCATAGTGATGAAAACGTTGTACTGCAAATAATCGTTCATCAATTGTCTGAGATTTTCAGTTCCTAAAGCTCCAAATGCTTGTGCTTGACAAGTGACACTTCCCATACTTGTTGTCAAAGCTTGTACACAGGCCATATATCTATTTGGATCGAATGGTCTGTTTGGATTCATAGGATCACCTCCAGCACTAACAATACACAACAAGTTAACAGCTGTTCTGAACTGCTCTGTATTCTTGGAGCTTTCTGTTGTAACTTGAGCCAAATACTCCTTAATAAGTTCAGGAATATCAATGAATCTTGAGTGAACTTGAGTAGCTTTTGCTTCCAAAGGAATACTATATTCATTGGCCAAAACACAAGTATTAGGTCCAGATTGGTAATATCCAGCAGCAATATCACACGCAAAATCTCTATTGAATGGATGTTCATTAGTTAGCATATCAGATAAATTCTTGAGAGTAAATGCTGAAAATTCAGGTAAATTTCTAACGATTAATGTTGAGTTTGTTCCATCAAATAAAGTAACAAGTAAGTGAACTTCTTGTGAAGGGAATCTCAATTCTCCCTCAGAAAGTGAACAACTTGTTGAAGAATTGGTAGCAAAATCAATTCTTCTCAATTCTTCTGTGATGAAAGAACTACTGGTAATGTGTTGACCACTGCCAGCATTGGTTGTAAAAACCAAGTATGGTGATGTTGAATTACTATGCAAGTCAAGATTCAAATCTTTAGTGACAAAATTGATAACTGAAACTGATTGTTCTGTTTGTACAGAGATGATATTTCTGGTTGGAATAGATGAAGATCTAGTATAAATAGAAGGAGAATAGGAAGCAGTATTGTTGATAGCTTGTGTGAAAATGTCAAATGAAATTTTAGAGCTTCCTTTTGGAGGTTGAATAGAATAAGTAAATTCATTCATCACAATATTGCAATATTCATCCATTTTTGAGAATTTAAGATATTTGGTCGAAGATTCCAATGAGGAAGATGTCAGAGCAACCAAGTATAATTGTCCATCAACATTCAAACTCTTAAAATCCACAACACTTTCGTTATAGGTAATTTTTTCACATAGAGCACTTGTTTCTCTATTGAGATAGTTAAAATAGAGAACTTTTAAAGAGTGTTGACCATCCGAAGAGATGATATAAGCTGCAGTATTGTTCAATCCCAACACAAAGGCATCCAATTTCTTAATTGGGTCACTGGTTTGATTTTCAAATTGGAAAAGTTCATTCGTGTTAAAATCCATTGCATAGATTTCACCAGTATTCATTCCAAACAATGAAAATCTCTTACTTGTAACATTCAAATCAGGCAAAACAAAAGGTCCAAACTCCACAGAACTGATTGATTTAACTGTTTCACACTCAGCTCTCTCAATATCATTTGAATTCAATCCAGTTTTGTAATCATAACAATCAGGACTCAACTTGACACTAAACTCATGATCACTGAAAGGATACGGAATCACATAGGGATTAATATTCTTACAATAGCTAGGTCTTATCGAAAGAGACGACAATTCACTAGTTTCCGTACAAATATCCTGATCCCATGTTGTTGAGCCATTTGCACAAATTCCTTGTGGTTGAGTAGAATCATCTTGAAAATTAGGAGATGGAGGTCCACTCGGATTATTCGGATTGAATGGCCCAGGTCTTTGTGCAGTGATGAGAGTGCTTGGTCCATTCAACAGTACAAGACTCGACAGCAGCAGTATAAAGATGACAGTCAGAGATGATTCTCTCCACCAACAATATTGACTGCTGTAGTAATGATGATGATTTCGTCTGATGTTATTCATCGTCATCTTTGAAAATTATCAAGTTGTTACTCGGATAGATGATGTTGATTTTGTATAAAGATAACAGACAATGAATCATACAACAACGCCAGCAAGACTGTTTTGATTTTTTTGAGTTTCTTTTTAAAAACTCTTGATGGCTGTGCATTGTTGAATGGTTCTTGTTTAATTCCAAGTCAAAGAGGGATGGCGCAGTTTTTAATTGCTTCCAAAAGTGATTTAGAAGAAGCGGAATAAAGTGGAATAATTTTATGGATATTGGTTAAGGTTACTGGAGTAAAACTGTTTGTAAAGTATTATTTATTAGAATGTTTGTCACTCTCTTGTAATTTGTGCAGACATGCAGCAATTAAGTGTTGAGTTGGTCTGTCATTTGGCTGGTCTGATAAGAAGATTTTTAACAAATCCAACGCATGGTCCAGTTTCTTATCTTTGTAAAAGGTGCATGCTTCATTGTAAAGTTTCCACTTTTCTTTTCTCTTCTTTTCTTCCAATTCAAACATCCATTCATCATTCTGAACTACCTTGCTTTCAATAAGTTCGTAAAGATGACACTCTTCCTTGCCACGAGAATCTGATTCTTGAACAGAAGGGAATGGAAGTGACATTTCCTTAGATTCAATGTATCTCAATACAAATACTTGATTTACCACTTGGTAAATTTGTTCTGTTACAAGCACTTGGACTCCAACTTCTCTTGCCACTGAAGCCATCAGTTCAAATTCCTGTCTCAAGTTTCCGAAAATACTAAATATCTTGGCATCGTTTGTACCAACATTTCCGCAGGTGGATTCCCTTGAAGTAATACAGAATCTGAAAGAAATATTATCCAACATGTAAGAAATTTGTCTGCTAGATTTGAATGAGTGAGCTTGAGTCCACTTGGTTTTTCTCACGTTATCCAATTTTCCAATCAATGTGAGAGTGGTTGTGGCTGCTTTTTCTTGATGTGCTACTTGATTAGATGAAGCATTGAAAGCAATCATTAAGGCTCCATTTTCAAATCCGTAAACTAAACCAGAAGTTGTTTTTCCTATTTGATTCACTTGTTCAAAAACGTCACCAAGCATGAAAACAATATCTGAATGCTCCATAACATCAAGACAATCCAATATACCATCCATAGACATGTAAATAACAGTTACAACTCGTTTTTCGAGATACAATGCAAATCTGTTCAGAGTGGATTTGGACATCTTTTTCTTTCTTGAGGAAAAGTTGTGACCAGAGGCAGACATAAGAGAGGTACTTGATCCTTTTTGAAGGAGGCCATTTTGATGAGATACTTGCTTGATCATATCATTTTGCTTTGATTCATCAGTTTCATTTTCCAGTTTTTCAATTTCCTGAATTAAATGGGGAGGAATGAACGATCTATACAATTTCAACCTCTTCACCACTTGATAAAATTGGTATTGAAGTTCTCTGACCTCTGTGAAAATAGTATTTGAAAGATCTGCAGGTTCTATATCAATTGTCGAAATGGAAGTAATCATTTCAATCAAGACATGGAATGGTTTCACCAACCTCACAGAAACTACAACAGCAGCAATTACACTGATTAGGATAGCAATAATACTACCTCCAAATGAAGCAATAAGTGCAATACCAATTGGTGCATTGTAATTCCATGTTGGAGCTGCCAGAACGAATACCCAATCGATTCCATAATCTGTCCTTAATCTTTTGAATAGAACAAAATGATCATCAGCTGTAGAAGAAAACACCTTTCCTTCATCTATAGTGCTATAACCCTTAGGGAATAATTCTTTAATTCTTTCATCCACTACTCTAATTTCCTCATTTGCACACTCATTAGGTTTAAGTCTTATCAGTTCATGGTCTGCGCTCCAAGACATGAGTGGTGAATTATCATAAGCTTTTGAATAATGGTTGATGATTTTCGAGTTTAAAAAATTACTTACTTGCTATCATGAAACCAGTGTTGGCCTCAACAATGTATGCATGGGATCCTTCTATCTGTTTCGTAGATGATTTCAGATTTGAAGAAATTGTGGATGTTGTTGTATCAATAGCATAGTAATACTCAAAAGTACTTCCTGGTTTCACATTGTTTGTCTTTTTAGGAACGCAATTCAGCAGTGTAATAAAAGTCATATCTGGCATAGAAGGATCAGCATAACTCTCTGAATACACCACCTTTCCGGGATTTTCATTACAAACCTGCACAAGGTATGATAAATCGAAGGGATTATCAGATATGTCCGGAGTTACAGACCTGTTGCAAAAGTTAGTGTTCTCCCAATCTTTGCAATAGTGAAACTCGTTATGAACAAGTGAAATATTCAAGTAGGCTGGCCCATCTGTCCACTTCATGATACAAATTGCTGTTCCATAACTATCGCCAACATATGTCGTCACGAATATTTCATCATGGTAAATATGTTCTGCTTTGAATGCTCTGAATATTTTCAACTCGGTATCTTCGTAATTATACATTGAATAGGTTGCTTCAAATTGCATTTGTGTAACCTTATTAGTAATGACCAATTCTTTCAATGTTTTCTCTGAAAAGTTTACAATATTTAAAAAGTCATTATCTCGTTTGTCATTACTAACTGAGAGGAATCCTGGAAGGAAGGATGCACAGAAAGTTGCTACAACAATCACAATACTGAGTAAGACTAAACTTGAGATGAGAATTATTAATGTAGTTCGAATGGAACATTCACAACAAACACTGAATTTGTTAAAGTATGATTCTGTGTCATCAGCATTTGGTTCATCAGTATGTGGGTCGTCATTCTATGTAGTTGGTGATTCAGCATTTTATCATCATGTGATATGAACAATTTAGTAAGGAAAGATATCGAAAAACATACCTTAGCTACAACAAATGATCCAATAGATGTGGGAGCCATTGAAGCCGCTGATTCTTGTGTCTTCAAACCTCCTACATATGAATTGGCATGTGTGGTTACAAGAAAAGAAGCTGCGGAAGGCTGTGCTGCCATAGGCATTACCTTAGCTGTTGTCATTTTCTGTTATCCAGATTGTATTTAATAAATTATTGTTGAAGTGAACAATTCTCTTTCCTTAGGTTATTATTAATGGTTGCTATTGTTAAATAATACAATAATTATTTAAATAATAGAGAGAAATATGATGCTTAATCTAGCCTTACTCTGATGAGTTCGGTTTGCCCTTTTATAAAACTTGAGTGGCGAGAAGCGGTGATGTGATGATATTTTTTTAAGGTTTTAAGGAGAACCTTGCCACACTCGTCTGTACAATTAAGGAGGCAACTCGCTAAATAAAGCGGAGAGCATATAACCGTTTTCGAGCAAATAGACATCCATAAGCAGAAACGTGTTGTTTGGAAGTTTGTGATCTATACGTGATGGTTGTAAACATAGGTAATATGACTTGATAAATCTCCTATCCAAATTATTGTATTGGTTGAACTATCAAATATAGCCTTTATCTAATTAACTTGTGAGCATTCAGAGCTACTCTGTACAATAAAAATCCTTTATCAAATCGATCTGCCTCATCAAATTTAATCCAATTATCAATAGATTGACAAATAAGATCGAAGGCATGAGTGGCTCTCACAAATTCTTCCAAAAAGAAGTAACACGAGTTGAAATCTTGCTTGTTGAAAAAATCCATAAACTCATCATTACTGAAAACTTCAGGTCTCAAAACTCGTACACCTTTCGTCCAAAGAGGTGTAACAAGTAGTGTTAGAATTGAGGCATGTAATTCTTTGGATTTGGTTCGATCTCCAAACATTGAAAAGATGTGCAACAAGTTAACTGATCTATAATTGGGTGTATCACGTGCCAAGTTTTTAACGAGCCCAGCAATTACCCTATCAAATAGCTGAGTTGCCTGATACTTGTCAAAGCAAACTAAAAGATCTATCACCAGAGTAGAATTTAAACTTGAAAATGATGGAACATAATTGCCATACATCATTGCAATCATGGCAGTAAATGTATCCAAATTTTCCTCATTCTCATCCACGATCAATTCATTCGTTAATTGTTCCATCATGTTACTCTCAAATATTGTTCTGAACCACTCTGATTGTGCCAACACAAATTTATGAGCATAAATTACATTCAACTTTCTATTTCCATAAGCATCCAATTCATTCACCTGAGATGGATCTTTCCTCTTTAATATTAATTTAAAATCACTACACAAATCATTGTTGAAAAATTGAGTGAAATGCACCATTAAACCATTGGACGTTATTCCATGAAAGATGGGCGTTTCCAAAATACTCTTTTCTCCTTGTTCTACGAGTGTTCGTCTACTTCTGATCTGTTCAAGCAAGGTATCCCGTAATGACATTTTTTTGTTTTAATTGTTGCTATCAATTACGAACAGGGAACAATTAAATTCAATATTACAATCATCTTCCAATTCACAATTTAAATATCTTGATATTATTATTACTGTGATTGTTGATTGGTTATAATTATATTTAATTCTACTATCATCAATATATTATTATTATTATTATTACCAAATATTCCATCACAGAGAATCAATTAGTCCTCATCATCCTAGTTGCTTTTCAACTGTGCTCCTTCTGTGCTGTTGTTGTTTTAACAACCGTACGATAAGTAAAATTACAGTAAATTTCTTCTTCCTTTCACCTCTCTTTGAACCGCGGTTTTCGAAGTGTTGTCTTCAACACACACAACAAAGATAATTCTGGTAAAGCTTGTTATTATTTGGTCTTGCACCAACAACAAAGAAGAGAAAAGACAATTTTTCAACCCGAAAAAATTTTGAAAACTCACATTCTTGGTTCGATTCTAGAGTTCTACAACAACTCGGCAAGAAAAAGAGACACTTTGAGACCAACACTCTTGTTGCGACAACAACAACAACAACCCGACAGACCATCACGACTAGAAGCTAAAGAGAGTAATTCCTCTAAAGTCTTTGGAAAGTAGTATTATTTGCAAAGTTTTTTTGGAGAAGATTTGAAGAGTGTATTTTCTCTCTCTATCTAATATATATTTACGTAAATATACAAGTAGCATTCTACTTTCTAATCATCATCATCCTCTAGTAGTACATACGTGTATATATTTTATATATTTTGTTATTACCTTGTAAAAAGAAAGACGACCAAACAATAACATTATCACTAGATATTGTTTAAATAACAACCTGTAATATTGAATATACCTTTTCTGTATACAAGTTACTATTGAATAGACACGTATCTCAGATCTATTAAATTTCATACAACAATAATACACAATAAGAAAATGTTTGACCATCAACAAAATATAAATTACGGAAAACCAAATAACCAAGGTTCTCAACTCAGACAATTTATCATTGAAAACAAGATGAACAACATGGGAATATCATCGGATAACAATTCACTTCCTATGAATAATTCACCAAGTGTTGCCGGCAATAACAATAATAATAATGGTAACAATGGTAATTCTATTAGACCGCCTATTATTAAGAAATTAACATCTATTGTTACAAGTGGCGCAGAATTACACGGTTCATATATGAATAGAAGTAGTTCGGCTCCTCCACAAGAAACACTCGATGAACAACCAAATACACCAACAAACACAAATGCTAATGAGCTCTATATTCGTTCTAATCCTCAATATTATGATTATTACTATTCACACAAGAATCTTAATCCAAGACTTCCACCTCCAATTCTTACTACTAGTTGGAGAAAGGATGAGACTCAACCTCCAAGCTCACCTGGAGCTGTTGGTGAAGAAAAGAAGAGTAAACCAAGATCAGTTTTGGATCAAATTCAACAAGATTTTCCAAGAACACCTTCTCCAGTCTTCAATCAAATGAATAAGGATACAGCAGTCATGTTTAACACAACTTCAAATGGTGCTCAACAAGTTCTTCCACAAGAGTCTTCCACCTCTCATCATCATTATCCAAAGATTCAACAACCTCAACCAAAGAAAGCTGGAAGAGGAGGTTACTATGAATCTAACAATGAAATGATTGGAAATAATGTAAGGAAGGTTCCTTATCCACAACACGGTTATCATCAAAACGCTGATTTGGATCAAGAGGAAGAACAATTACAAGAACAATTCCAACATGTTAATTTGAATCAGCAACAACAACAACAATGGATGGGTTCTGCTGATTATCCTCCAATGATGTTTAATGGACAACAACAACAAATGGAATATTATCAAAACTATAATAAGGTAGTAGTAATGAGGGATGGAATGTATACAAATGCTCCAAATAATATGAGAAATCAAATACCTCCTCAAAACGCACCACCATATTTTGGTGTTCCACCATATTATGTTCAACCTTTTATGGTTCAACCTCAAGGTTCACATATACCGGTTGAACAACAAATGGTCTCTAATAATGTTCCATATGCTAATCAATTCCATCAAAATCAATATCCACAATCACACCATTATCCTCCTCAAAATATTCAAAAGGTCGGAGGTCTTGTTAATAATGCTAATACTTCACCAACCTCTGGTGGTAATGTTAATAATCAACCAGTAAATAGTAACTCTAATTCGGCTCCAAACTCTAATGGAGGCAATAAGTCAGGAAGAGGTGATAGAAACTCTGCATCACATGATAACCATTCAAGAAAATCAAAGAATCATCAAAATACAACTTCAGAACGTAGTGAACAACAAACTCAAATGTCACCTCTCATGGATGAATTCAAGAATGGAAGATCTGGCCGCAAGTTTGAACTTCATGATATTGTTGGTCATGTTGTGGAATTCTCAAGAGATCAACATGGTTCCAGATTCATCCAACAAAAGTTAGAAAAGGCTTCAAATAGTGAAAAGGAATTAATCTTTAAGGAAATTCAACCATATGCCTTATCATTAATGACTGACGTGTTTGGTAATTATGTTATCCAAAAATTCTTTGAATTTGGTAATGCTCCTCAAAAGAAGAAACTCTCAAAGGAATTACAAGGAAATGTCTTGAACTTGACCTTGCAAACCTATGGTTGTAGAGTTATTCAAAAGGCATTGGAAGTTATTGATAATGATGATAAGGATACTGTTGTTAGTGAATTAAAGGGTAATGTAATGAGGTGTGTACAAGATCAAAATGGTAATCACGTCATTCAAAAGTGTATTGAACGTGTACCACCAAAGATTATTCAATTCATTGTCGATGGATTCAAAGGAAAAGTTTATGAACAAGCTATCCATAATTATGGCTGCCGTGTCATCCAACGTATTTTGGAACATTGTACAGAAGGTCAAACAGTCCCAATTTTGCAAGAAATTTTAGACAATATTTTGGCTTTGGTTGTCGATCCATACGGAAATTATGTTGTCCAACATGTTCTCGATCGTGGTAAACCAACTTTCAAGTCATTGATTATTGCAGCCTTGAGTAAGAAGATTCAAGAATTGTCAATCAATAAGTTTGCTTCCAATGTTATTGAAAAATGTTTCCAACAAGCCAATAAGAAGGAACGTGACAATATGATCACTGAACTCATTGGAGATATCACATCAAGAGATATTTCAGAGACTCCACTCTTTGCAATGATGAAAGATCAATTTGCAAACTATGTCATTCAAAAGATTATTGAAACTTGTGATGCCAGTCAAAGAAAGACAATTACTGAGGCTGTGAAACCACATCAAGAAAAGATCAAAAAGTTACCTTACGGAAAACATATTTTGAGCACCATTGAAAAGGTCAATGAACAACAATTGTAAACAAAAGCTGTGTAAAAAGAATGTAAACAAACATCTAAACTATAGCTAAGCTATACTAAATCGTGTAAAGGTAAATTGTACAGGAGTAATAAATAATGTACACAATAATTTGAAATGATTCAATTATTTTTATTGGTTAATTTTAAAAACTTCAATTTCTGAAACCTTGAAGTAGTAACTTCCTGCCAAGTAATTATTTGCTTCATTACTTCCCTTTTGGTAACCTTTTGGTAATTCATAATAACTGCCCAAGTTTGAACGTGACCTGTAATTCAAATTACAATCACTCTCAATCTGAATGTCAGCACCAAACAATGCCAAATAATACTGGTTTACCAGAATGGCATTTTCCTCTCGTTGGATTTTGAAGTGTTCGAATTGATAACTTCCGTTTGAATCTGTAATTTTGAAAATAAATGCTGATGAATCTGTGACACATTCTCCACTTCGGGATCTCCAAGATTTTGATGTGAAACCGCCAAATATTTGATTGTGTTCTGATTTGATAATTGTTAATGTTGGACCTTGATTATCACATTTTGAATGAAAATGTTCTGCTTTGAATCCATCTCTCGATCCTCTGTATAATAATTGAGGAATTGATTTACTTTTAGTGTTTGAATATAATTCACAGCCAATTGCAATATCACAACTATTAACAATAACAGAGGAAGATAATAAATTAAACCAAGGAATATCCACAGTAATGGCAGAAAATTTAAATCCTCCTAAATCCTGTAAGTTAATATTTTGGAAATGAATTTTTTGAATGTGTTTGTTTGTAAATTCTTTAAAATTAAATAAACATGCATCAAATGTAGATCCTAGGAATTTTGATAAATCTTTCAATTCTCTCAAATCTGCATTCTTAAAAACACAATTATTAAAAGAGTTGGTTTCTAAATTGGCTTGGATTAGAGTAAAATCAATTTCTTCGAATATTGAGCCATTAAAATCACATTCAATAACATTACAATGTTGTAAAGAGTCCTTTTTAAAGTTCATTTGAATTTTACATTTTACAAATGTTGAATTTTCAAACTTCGATTTCTCAATATTTGTATTTGTAAATTTAACATTTTCAAATTTGAATCCTGTAAAATCTCCATTTAAAAATAATCCTGAAAGATCACAATTAGAAATAATATTGTGTTTGGATCTCAATACTTCCATACAAAAGTTACAATTAAGAAAATTAGTTTCAAAAATATAAGAAACTGTAAAATCTGTTTTGGTTAATTTACAGTTGGACAAGTCAACTCTAACCAAATCAATTCCAATTAAACCACTAACATTCTTCATGGAACTATTTTTAAAACTGGTTTCTTCAAATTTACACTTGTTATTGAATCTACAATTATCGAATTGTGATTTTTCAAAGTTTGTTTTGCGCAAGATGGTACTTTCCAAGTTACAATCAATTGCATTACAATTGGTAAAGTTTGAATTTGACAAATCTGAATTGCAAAACTCAATTGATTTGAAAGATGAATTGGAGAAATCTAATGAACCGAGCTTTCTATTTTGGAAGCCTGTAACATTCTCAAATTTAGCTCCAATAAACTTTGTTTCCTTATAAATGGCATTTGATAAATTGATATTCAACAAGCTTGATTTGGAAAAATTAGTTTTACCCAAAATTGCATTTGAGAAATTACAATCATCTAATTCACACTCTTGTAAGTTTACACTTGTCAAATCACAATTACTGAAATTACATCCTCTCAAATTACTTCCTTTGAAATTGGTTTGTTTCAAATTCATTCCACTGAAATCAGATCCAATAATTTCTGATTTTTCTAAATTTGTATTGTTAATAACCAATTTACGTAAATCGAGGCCACTCAAATTCAAAGCACTCTTTTGACTTCTGGTAAGATTAACAATGTTCATAAAGTCAAATTGTGACATTGGCATGATTTGTTTTGAATTACTTTCTTTGTTAATACTTTCTGATAAGTCGTTTGACATATTTGTCAATCCAAACTTTTTACAGGCATTTAAAACTGATCGTCTCATATCATTACTCAATTCAGCAATCTCACCATATTGTAACCATTCAATCATATGTTTGAAAACATTTGGATCACAATCAATGAAATAAATTGAGTCATCAAATTGCTTGGAAGGTGTTTGATAACATGGATGTTGACCTGTGAACATTTTCTTGAATAAATTATCAGATTCTCTTTCATTATGAATGAAATCACCCAATGAAACTGTCATGATTGTTCCTCTGACATTTATATGAATTGGTTTGTTGCTATTCTCAAGTTTTTCTCTTGTCAATATTCTACTTTCACGTTCCTTCATGTTACTTTCCAACAATTCTTCCTTCTTTTTGAATTGTTGTAAAAGATTTTCTTCAAGTTTTGCCAAATTCTCTTTAGCCTCTCTCAAATGTTGTTCCATCTCAGCTTTGACAATTTCTATCAATTCTTCATGTTCTCTTTGAAGTTTTTCTGACTTTTGTTGGAATTCTTGTTCCAATTTCTTCTTGAATTCTTCCACTTGTTGATAAGCTTCATGAAGAGGACAATACTTTTCCTGATGTACTTTTAATTCACCTCTCAACACAATGTTCTTACACATTCCACACTTGACCTTCAATTTGTCCAACAATTTGGCAATAGTTTTAGCACTAGAACAATTCTTCTTAAAATCAACCTCTCTACACATTGGACAATCCGAAACCTTTTCAACACATTTCAAACAGAAAGTATTTCCACATGCATCAGAATTATGTGAAATTGGATCAACGAAAGGAAGTAAACAAATGGAACAAATTAAATCTTCGTCAATTTCCTTCTCGACATAATCAAACTGTTGTTCTTCTGCTTCTTGGGTACCATTGGTAGTGTTGTTGGATGATGTTGTTTTCGGTTCAGAATCACTCTCTAGTTTGCTTCGCATTGTTGTGTGATTTTTTTTGATTTGTTTGATTGATGTTTTTAACAAGTGACATGATGGTGAAGAATTTAGAGAAGGGAATTCCCAATTTAGTCTTAACATATTTTGTAACAATCTACAGTAAAGTTAGAAATTATATTTATTCAAAATTATTCGAATACATAAATTTTGAAAGAAGCCTCAAACCGATTCTCTTCTTCTTCATCTTCCAGTCCAAGAAGATCATTTGATACTACTTTCACCCTTAATGTTAAATCTCCTCTCTTTTGAGTTTTAATTTTGACTGTGAAGGTGTTTCCAATAGGAACAAGTGAAACTGAACTAATCTTATTTTCTTCTCCAAAGTAGTGAAAAAGTTGCTTAATGACATCACTTTCGAATTCTCCACTAGCATTTAACCTAATTTCTCTCAAATATTCCAATTCCTCAAACAGATCCTTAACTATTCCATGATTCATTGTAGGTTCGAGTTGAGTTAAATTTAAAATTCTTGCTTGTTTGAACTTTTTACACATTTGTAAATACTTGGAATGATCTTGAGTATGGAAGAAATCATCCACATGCTCCAAGGTAGTTGACCAAATGATCTAGGCAAGCTGTTTGTCCTTCCAAATAAAACGAAAAGACATACGAATCTTTAAACTGTTTCAAACTAAACTGAGAAACGAAATGGAAAAGAGAATCATAATCCCATTCAATTTCTGAAATTGAAATCCTTTCCAATTGATTCATTTGCATTACCGTATGTAAAACATCAGTATTTGCAAATCTCTCAGTAAAATGAAACTCTTTCAAAAGTTTACAATTATTTCTAATTTCAATAAATGTCATTACTTCGTAATAATCATTAAAAACTAGTTTTTTCAAATTTGGAACTTTTGAAAAGAAGGCAGAAATGTCATTCTCTGATTGAATTGGCGCTAATGACTCTAAATTAGTCAAAATTGGAATATTTGCATCGATTTGGGCAAGATTATTCCCAGAACAAGTCAAATGTCTCAAATTCTTGCATTCTTTCAAAATGGTATTCATGACAGATTGTGGTAAAGCATTCTTCAAATTCAATGATTCCAAATCTTTCAAATTGGAAAACCATTCTTGTAAAATTTTGACATTTCGTTCAGTTTCTAATTCTGTGGTGAAAAATGGCGTGAAATAAACATGTAATTTCTTCAAATTTCTGAAACAGCCACTCTTGTTAGATTGCTCAAAGAAATCAATGGATAATTCATAATCAGATTCTTGGCGGTCCTCAAATTCATCTTCAGCCATTTCTCCAATTTTTAACACTTGACAGTTTGTTGATGTTCTTGAAATAAAGTTGACTAATCTCAGAAGGAAAGATTCACTACAGTGCATTCTCTTGGTGGGGAATCTACGTTTGAGAATGATTCTGTTATACAAAGGGAATTTAGTCTGCAATTCATCTCTTCCTCCCAACGCATGATAAAACTTTTCACTTACAGGCATGACATTTGGCAGTAAATCTGTTATTGGATCCAAATAGACAAAAATATTTGCTAATATTTCAAAGGTCAGGTTGGTAAGAGATACACTTGGTTGGGAAAGCTTGAGTTTCTTTAATTTGGGTTCAAAGTCAGTTGTCTCTTGTCTTGTCATTTTTTTTTGATGATTGTTCTGACAAATTGGACTTTAATCGTTTTGTTTGTGAGTGAAAGTTTAGATTAGAACAAGGTTACATGTACTAAATATCCACTACGAGATGGAAAAACTTTCAAAGAGGGCACTTGGCGTACTCCATCAATTTACTTTTTTGAATTTCGTTATAATTCTGTTGATTTCAAAGAAATTCAAAGCTTTTATTGTAACATTTACAAGCCCAATAGCTTTTTGTATTTGTAATACAATTCGATTATTCTATTTCTCTCTTCTTCCAAACCGAAACTCAAATGATTCGTATAATCATGTAGGCCCAAAATTTCCTCAATTGGAAATGGAACATCTCCAAGTATTCTATTACAAAACCAAGCAAAGTAAGTACTCTGTTCCAATTCTCCAATTCTCAATTTTTGGAATCTTTCGTCAAAATCCAAAAAGAAAGGTGCATGAATGTCAACATTTAAATTCATGGCATGGAAAAGATTTTGGACTCCATTGAGGACAACTTGATCTTCATCAAAAATTGGGAATTCTTTGTTATTAAAAGTTGCCCAAAGTCTCAAATTTGGAAATTTCACTTGAATTCTCAATCCAACAATTTTTGGACAAGTTTTCAAAAAAACATTTACAATCCAATTCATGTTTGATTGAGTGACAGTTTGGTTGACGCATGTAGTTGTTTCAATTTGATTGTAAATGAAACATTCATTTTCGAAAGTTCTTTGAATTGGAAACGAAACTAAAGTTGCTTGATGATCTCCAGTTATTATTTGAGGATTTAAACGCTTATGAGTTTCGAATGCAATGAATTTCTTGAAAAAGTATTCTCTCCAGTTGATGGTGAAATTTTTGGCGTCTGGCCAACCTTCAGCAATGACTCCTTCCCAAAATAGTTCACTTTCATATAGAGATTCTCTTAGGGTGGTATTGAGTTTGTAAATTCTATTAATGAAGTAATGTTCCAGGCCACTGAATGTGTAAATGATTGCCCAGCAATCTGCTGGAATTTTTGTAATGGAAAGTTTAGTTTCAAGAAACGAAACTTTAGGTTCTCCTGTAAACTCTGACAAGTAAAAACAGTCCTCTGGACGATTTCCAATCATTAGCAACTCACCAACCTCACCAAAGTCTTCCACAGAACTATCTGATGAAGTATCTGAGTAATTATCATGTGAATTCTCTTCAATTTCGTCTAAACTTTCATTCGAAACCTTTCTTTTCTTTGTTTGATTGAACACCAATTGGTCCACCTCTTCACTACACCAAAGATCTTCATCCTGATAAACCTCTTCATTGGCAATGTGTTCTTCTTCGATATTAGCAAGCTTTCTTTTGTATTGATTGTTATTTTGATTGTTTGTCATTTTTTTATTGTTGGAATTTGATGTGGTTGTTGGTTGGCTTTTTATTCGAAAGTAATTGCACTCGATTTGGTTAATTTAAAAAGGAATACAATGACAGAAAGAGAGTGATTGAGATAAATTAGGAGAGTTTGGATAAAAATGAACAAATTTTACATGTTTGGATGAACAGAAGTTAACAAATTACAAATTTGAAGTTTTTAAAATGTTCTTTATATTATTCATTTAATGATATAAAAAATACATGAATTGTTGTTTTATTGTTTTTGATTGGTAAGCAGCAAAGAAAAAAATGAAAACACTTGTCAACAAGGTTCTCTCATCATCAAGCAGTATTACTGTTTCTGGAGGAGCCTCCTCATCATTATCATCTCTCAAGAATGGTTCTATTATTGTTGGTTGTGGTGGTTTCATTTAGATTTTAGAAAATCATCATCAATTTCGGAAGTCATCAGTATTATTAGTATTATTAACAATAACATTCACTAATGGTCATGAAGAACAATATGAAAATCAATTAATTTCATCATCTTCTTTCCATCATCATTATCATGAATCATCATTGGAAAATTATACTATTCAACAATCATCATCAATTATTGTTTGAAAATTAATTATGAACCGGTTACTATGTTCAATGTGCACCATGTTTTATCCGTTGTCAAACATCGTGCTAGTCATTCCAATAATCATCTTTAAAAAAAATGAAATTATTGACCTTGACCGTTCTCCTTGCGATCGTCTTGTTGTTGATCGTAACCAGCGATCCATCTCGAGTAAACGGCAGCAAGACCCACAACACACTGAGTGCTGAGACACTTGGCTTGCTTGGTGAAGTGAGCCAGAAGGCCAAGTTTATTGCTTCGATCTTTGCACCTGCAAATTATGCTTACAATGGATTGATTACACCATATTCCAAATCACTCAAGACAATTAAAGCCAAGGTCACTTTGACAGATGTAAAATTGGCAGCAGAAATTGCAGCAAATTATGGATCACAGGAACTATCAACAGTTCAAGGATACAAGTTGGTTAAGAATTTTGTGAATGCTGCTAAAGCAACCAATTGTAAAGTATATTTCAATTCTGCTACCAAGTCAGCAATTGTTTCTTTTAAAGGAACACAAATGAATGATCCAGTTGACTGGGCCAATAACTTGAAAACAGCCTTCTCTAGTTTTCAAATTGGAAGTTCAGCATATGCTGTTCATACAGGATTCTTGAGTGAATATTTAGTTGATCGTCAAAACATTTTCGACACTATCAAATCTCTTGGATTACTCAATGAAATTGGATTTTATGGACATAGTCAAGGAGGTTCTCTTTCTGAATTGGCTGCTGTTGATTATTTAGGATCAGGTAAAAGACCAGAAACAAAGGCTACCATCAAGGTTGTTACTTTTGGTCAACCAAGAGTTGGAGATGCCAATTTTGCTGCTAAGTCCAATCAAGTTAATCCAAATTTCGTTAGAGTTATCACTAAATGGAAAGAATTACTTGGACCTCGTCAAGATATTGTTCCAATCTCTCTACCAGTTGGAGCTGGTTACAGACATGCTGGTCTTCAATTGGAAGTTCAATGTGTTAACAGTGATTTTATTAATTGTCACTTGATGAAAGGGTATTCCAAGTCAATGAATCAATAAAAGTGATAAATGGACAAGCCAACAGTTTAATCTAATGTAATTTCACACACTGGCTTAGAATCAAGTTCCAAATGATTGAGGACGAACTGAACTAGTTGATTTTCTGGTAATCTATGTATTAAAGAACCATAACACTTGTTATTGATGCGAAGGACATTGATCGATAACACTCTACTCAGAAACGAAATCAAAGCATTCAAACAGTGTTCTATATCCTTATATGAGATTGAATATTTAATTTTATACAATTCTACTTGAGAAAACATGGATTACTCAATAAATGCCTAAAAACTCAAGAGAATACCATTGGATGACTAGGGATGGAAAATAGATTGATCATACTCAAATCCTAGAGGTTGGTTAGGATTCAGAGTTGATTTATTTGGGTTATTTAAGAGATTACTTAGTGAAGATTCATATCATTGATTATATTTCTTATCATCTATTAATGATGTAAATTTGATGGTTTCATTTCTTATATTGATAGATATTTAAAGGTCAGGTCAGAACTAACTTTTGAATTCTGGACTTTGAGAAGTCAAATGTTTGGGACGTGAATCTACTCATTAGATTGAATAGGTATTGCTAATAAAGTAACATTTCATTGATTTATTGATTATAACGGTCAAATTGAGTTGAATGGAAGTGAATCACATGTTGATTCATCGTGGATGGGTAGTTTCGCCACGAAGTGGTGCAACTACCAACCTTTGTAGATTGAATCAGGTTGATTTGCATGCAATATGAAATATGTAGCATTATCAAGAGAGTGATTGTTCACCAATTCAATGATCAATATTCAATAATCGGTTTGATTTCAATCAATAGCTTGATCATCAAGCTTTGAATTAATATTCCAGTAATTAACGGCAGTCTATTTTTAAAATTAATCAAAGACCATATATAGTATCTTGACTTTTATGATCTGGAAACTATCTAGATGTGTTCTATATTGAATAATCTATTTGAAAATGAGAAGAATTGACTCTTCTATTGAGTTTTATTGGTATTGAATGGTATTACGATTATAATAATCTACACAGAAATCACTCTTCAAATATAAACTGTACTACAATGTATGAGAAATATAATGGTGGAATTAACCAATAAATCGCTGAAATGACTGAGATGGAATGTAAACTATGGTCAATTTGTCATGTAATGGTGACTAGACCGTGTCAATTTCATCGTATTATTTCAAACTGATTTCCATCAATATAAAAACAATTCTATACATCAAACATGTCATACAGAATGAGTTTCTATATTTAATATTATGAACTGACTCTGTTGGATACCATCTCTATAAATATAACAAGATGAAAAGTGTCAATATATGTTTTCACATGCATGTTACTATGAAGAGTCATCATTATATCATATAAACAGGTAGTATTTCAAGTTTCAGTGAAATTGACAGTCTAGATATTGAAATGTTGATGCTTAGGTTTGAGAAGTGTCACCTTCACTGATTACTGACATGAATATAACAATTGAACATATGATTCCTGTATCAATAATTCATTATTCAATGATTTAGATATGATGGTAAAAATTAATTTCGGAAATAAGATTCTTCCCTATTGATTACCTTATTGTGCTTTTCGGTAAAGTATGACAGAGATTGGATTGGCCATTTTTTCAATTGGCCAATTATTTAAAAAAAATTCAATTTGATTGGGCATTTATTGGTCATTTATTGGATCCTCAAGGAATCTTTGCACTCTGTCTTTGATTTTGGCTGATGCTTTTTGGGCTTTTAATTTGCAATTTGTTGTTTGTTTTTCAAGTACCTTTTTGCTTGTTTCAACCATTTCTAGATATGGTCCAACTGTTTGAGTCTTGGAGAATTTCAAAGCTTCCAATTTGTTATCGAATTCTTTGAGTATCTCCTCTCTCGATTTTTCTAATTCAATGATTTGGGAATCCAATTGCTGAGTTGCTTGTTTGACACGATCTTCAACTGAACGAAGGAAATTGCTTGATTGTGTCATGCCAATATCTAACTTTGTCAAGTCAGCATCAACTAAATCACAAAACTCATTCAAGAGGGAGTCAACATTTTCATTCAAAATGTTAGATGGATCCAATGCATCAGCTGCAGATAGAATTGGTGGCTCACATACAAAATCTTCATCCACTCGCTTCCTTTTCTTTGTTTCTTTGGCAAGCTGTTTACCAATTTCATCAATTTTAGCATCTTGCCTTTCTGCCACAGGAGAGATGTTTTTCAACTTCTTATTCTTCTTGCATTCTTCATTGATATTCTTCTTTTCCGCATGGTATTCCGCAATAATTTGGACAGATGATTCATCCTCACTCTCTGAAAAGTCCAGTTCTTCATCATCCACTCCCTTTTCCTTCTTTACAATAATATTTTTCAATTCATCTTTCTTCTTCTTGAAAGTTTCAATCTCTTCCTCAATCTTTGCCACAATATCCGATTTGTTTTTTTCAATAAAACCGTCAAATAATTCAACAAAAAACTTGTTGTCCTCTGGTACTGTTGTTGTTGCTGGTAATCCAGACTTGTTAGGTGGTTTTTTGAATCCTCCTCCAACCTTTGGCATCTTGAAGTCATCGTTCTTTGTGCTATTAACTTGGTTGGGTTTGGAAACGTGTTGTTTTGATTTGTTTCTTCTGTGGCTCCATGGTCTTTATGATCTGATATAGGGTTATTAAGCGCCGTTTGGGTATTTTGTTGGTTTTTTTAGTAAAGTTTTAAAAAAAGTAATAGTCTATC